CAGTAGCTGTCGCGTGTGTGGTAAATTTTATAATCTACTAATCGATATCGCTTTCCATGAATTTGATTATTAAATTCACTCGTAGGAGATTCTCTATATGATTACATTTATGCATTGTTAAGTTGAATTTATCCACCCATTGTCAATGAAAACGACACGTGGGAATGAACATATATATCATACATTCTTTTCACCATTTATCAGGTAAAGTTTCTGTTTGGTCTTTTAAATGACTAAACATGTCAAGCATGCCTTCCATTCAATGTAGGAGCAAGGGCCGGATAAAGAAAGAGCTGACTGGGCTACAGCCTTGGGCTCCAATATCAAAAGGGTCTCCGAATTAGCCGTTAAAATGTGTGTAGGGAGGAGAGAGACGGAGAGAGAGACACACACACACACACATAAACCAGGTTATTTTAGGACTAACACTAGGGGTCTTTAGCAGTGGGGGAAACCGGAGAAAACCCACGTGGTTGGACAGGCCACCCTAGTCCTTTTCACGCACACCCATGTAATCGAAACCACGCCAGTTAACTCAATGACAGACCTTATGATACAGCGCACACACGCTAACCATTCGGTCACCCACCGCCCCCCCCCCCCCAACCAAAACAAAAGTGTAGCATAAATAAATATGGCATATGTTACGGTAGAGTATAACAAGGGGAATATATAATTTTAGCATCTACGGTAAGGCAACCACGTGGCATATGCCGAAAATCCCGCAAATGGCCAGTTGAGTGCAAGGGCCCCAGTGACATTTTCAGTCAGGATTCAAATGCAAGTTTAAACCCGCCCTGGCAACAACTATGGCCTTTTTTGTTTGTTCTCTGCCACGACAGCTTTATCGGTTTAAATGTAATGTCTTTGCAGGGAAGCGCCAAAGGTGAATTTTATCCAAAGGGAGAGAGAGAGAGAAATGGGGTTTAACGTCCACTCGACACAAACTAGGTCATTTCGGGACTAATTTATCCAAAGGAGAAGCTCTGGGTCTACACTAAGATCTGGAAGAGTTGTTATATAACCTGCGTTCTGTTACGCGTAATGAAACTGTCTGTTTGGCCAATAATTTTATTTTAACAATCTATGATCATAAATGTTTAAGATCACAAATAGTCCAACGTGAGATTTTTTTCTGCGAGTGATTAAAGATACATTAGGTAAGAATTTAATAAAGAGTTGGCCATTCTTGCTATAATAATTCAAAAATAGATGATAAAAAAAGAAAATATTGAAAATTTTAGTCAAATTCCTTTATTCTAGTTTGGACTAGTAATAGGCATCAACTGTATCCGAACCGTCTACGAGAATTGCCGATCATTTGATTGACAGACGATAACTCAACCCACATATTCTGGATTATCAAGTAACAATGTTAACAATCTCAATGGCTATGATACCCTCGCTAGGTAGGGGTTTACTCACTAGTTTCCGGTATTGACTTCAGTGACTAACAGTAAACGTTAGCTTGGTCGGCCATTTCTTGATTTAATTTTAAATGGACGACTGTTTAAATCCAAGCTGTATCCAAGCCATCCGAGTGTTTACAGAGACGATTTGGAGCTTTTTATATAAATAAAGGTCTTATTAATAATTTTTATAACATCTGAAGCCTAAATAAGTAGATTTAGCTCTTGCATAATGTATGTTTAAATGAATCTGTTGGCTGTGACGTCATTTTCGTGAGTAATTTACTGGATTCTAGGTAATTTTGTGCATGAAACAGGGCAATTACATACACCTGAGATGGATTGTTTGCATTATTTCAGATATTTCGTGTGAAATTATTACTTTTCACCTATGTACAACTTCATTTTTAACACACGAAAGGAAACTGACTAGTCTTACTCCAGCACTAAAACCACGCATTTCTGAATTACCTCCCCTGCATTGTTTTAAATTTAAAATAATGCAAATATCCCCGAACTTATATTTATATCATCGATGTCAATAAATGAAAATTTAAAGTAGTAAAATAACATGTTTAGCTAAACTAAAGACTCCTCGTACAATTTTATACATTTTTGCAGGATGTAGTACAACTTCCAGAATAGTCCGGTGGCTGAATCTCCACTTGAGGTGTGAATTTATCTGACTAAGTTTTTCTAGACCATTTTCTAGGAATGTCCTAGAGATGTATTAATTTGTGGGGAGGTGGGGAGGGTGGTTGCAGGTGTGCGTGTGTGGAGGGGGGGGGGGTATGTGTATAAGATCCACATTATTTGTGGGGGGGGGGGGGGCAATGTTTTTTTGGTGACAGAAATCATTTGGTTCAAAACTGACCGGATAAGCAAGAAGATTAATCCGATTGTTGATCAACAGCGTGCTTATATCCTTTTAATATGTTTCAGATACCCATTCAAATCGTAAATCTTCATTTCAGCCATGTATTGCAGGGTCATCTTGTTCGATCATAAGTTTTTCAGCTTCTTGCAAAATAATTGGTGCGTTTAATCTACATCAAAATAATCGCATTTTCCCTCGAAAACGCCCCCTCAAACGCCTAATCAACACCCAGGGGCCTCTTTCACGAAATTTTAACTAAGATAAAAATCCAAATTTTAGTAATTTGATTGGATAATATTAGATTGATTTTAGTGCTTAATCAATAAAAATTGAAGTACATGTATCTACTAAAATTTGGATTTTATCTTTAGTTAAGATTTCGAGAAACAGGTTCCAGATTCGGAATCTACGCAAAAAATAGAAGACCTTGGTCTAATAAATTCATATAAAAAAGTTGATCATGTTTTCCACATAAAATGACTGATATATTACCTAGGAAAAGTCACGTATGTCACATAAACTCGTTATGCTGAATATATAGCCAGTGTAGCTGCCACGGTTGACAAGATCAAATAGAATTTATAAATGTTATGTGTGCAAAAAATGGAATACGTAAAAATTATACTTAGATTACGCGGGGGAGGGGGGGGTATATTTAAGTTAAAGTCATTTGGCGACAACAACTGAAAAGGAGGGGCGGGGGCTCAAATACATTTATAGGCCTACCAGCTGTGCCTGTAATGCCTATATATTGGTATCTATGTGCTTTTCATTACACAGTACAATAAACAAAATAATGGATGAAAATCCAAAATAATGGCGCATAGCAGTCGTAGCTGCGCAGTTCTGGCTTAGATATTAATTGCTTCATTGTTTCCTAGTTATTTTATATTAAAGTCAGGACAGCGAAGCTTCAAGCCCTTTATATCAAAACACAAGAAAATCAACTGGCTAAACAAACTCAAGACTTGAAATGTGGAAAAAATATCAGAACTGTATTCTAGTTTGTCAAAGTTTTCAAACATTTTCATTGCAGATGTATTGCGAACTAATAACAATCACGCCTCATTGCTCACGAGATGAGTTTATTACGGAAGACCATTAGGGTCATTAAATGAAAAAAAAAATCTGATAATCTTGTAATTACAAGACAAGGAGAAGCCCATGGGTAATATATTTCAAGGTCGCCATACATTGATTTATCGAATAGTTAGGCCAACGCCGTACTTTATTTTATGTTACCGGATCGGCAAATTCATGCTCCCATTAATATCATACCTTATTTTCATGCCTCCAAATGAAATGAAATGGATTTTAACGTCCGACTAGTATAATGAAGACGGGCAGTGTGCTATGAGTGAAATTTTGCACAGCGGCAATACGGCCTACTCTTTTATCGAATTCCATATTGACGATTAGCAACCCATACATCAGTATATAGAAAGCCATAGAATATGATACCATGTTTTATATAAAAAAAAGATGTGAACTAGATATAACCAACGGGTTACCATTATTTGGTCGAATGATTGTACCCATTATGCTAATGGTATCTGGTGTTATGAATCAATTAAGAATGAAGCAAATTTTGTTAATCATGATTGTGTGTTAAATCTAATACAAGTAACGCTGTCATTTATGGCGAATTGGGACGAATACCTTTATGCATGATTTTAATCTTAATTGCATCAAGCACTCTTTGAAATTGTTGGCAATGCCAAAGTATAGAAATCAGAGGATATGTTACGTTAAGCCAGTATACTAGTAGATTTAGATGTGACAGGGTGGATTACCTCGGTTTCTAAAGTCAAACTTATTTTATGCATTTATGGTTTTGCATATGTATGGGAACTACATGTAGTTGATATACTTTACACTTATTTAGATATAAGGTCGGAGCAAAATAGTTGGACGTAAAACCCCATTTCATTTCATTTATTTAGATATAGATAAGCTAAATGTTGTGATCAGAAATGTTTGATGAATTAAATGGTGATTCTGGGCTAGATTCTTATCGTCCATATGAAGCTATAATAGAAATGAAATGAAATGAGGTTTAACGTCATATTGTTCTGCTCCGACTGGGTTAATGAAGATGGCCTATGATAGAACATGCAAAATAACCAACTGGCAATATTATTAGCATTTAACAATTTAGGGTGGCCTCAACGAGATTTCGATGTGGTAGTTACCATTTAGCCATAATATGTACTGGGCTTGAAATGTTGAATGATCAGCAGTATAATATATCTAAATTTGAGAATTGTTAATTTAAGAGGAAATACAAATCCTATATGGCCATATCGCCATCTTAGAAATACATGTACTTTATTACTTTGGATTAATTCTCAAAATTATTGTCTCCTAGAAAATATATTTGTAAAAACAAATTGAATATAAAGATCGAGACAGAGTTATAAGGTTTATATTTTATTTTTATGTATAAAATTGATATATTATTTGTTTAAACCATAATCAGCATTTAAAAACTTAGTAAATTGCATTACTTATAATACTTGACATTTCCTGATTACTGTCTACTACTATTGTATTATACCGTTTATTTAAATATTAAAAGTCAAAAAAGATGTAAATGCAAAATGATTTAAATTATTTGATTTCAACTTCAGTACGGTATAGATTTATCTTTTAAACAATATAATGTGACAATAATGACAACTTACATAAAGGCCTTGGAGCTATTAATAACATTTGACGCATGTCTATTCTTGACGTTGTCTTTGTTGTGTGGAAGCAGTAATAGTTCGCAGAAGTTTGTCATCAGTTAAAGAACTTAAGAAAATCCCGAAAGCCTTACACGGGTAAGAATTAAACAATGCTAAAACGGTTTTAATTTTTTATTTCAGTTTAAAGGTATAGCTTGGAATGTGATTCCATGCTATCTTGTTGATTGTAGATACTGCATCGGATATTCTGTATATAAAACAGTTTGACGCATGTGCATGTCATCTGGGACTCATAATTATGCAATTACATTTCTATATTAAGCGCAAAGTGTTCTTAGAGTGGCATTCTGTGATATCGTATGAATGACGGCCTGAGACTTTATGTGGATTACAAAATGGTTTTGTTACGATCCTTAGATGTTGGTTTTCTGTTATTTTCAGGACTCTACACTATAGAATTAACTATGATGAACTATCTGTTAATAGCTCTATTCTTGACGCTGCAACTAGTTCCAGTCTTGTCAACATTCTGTGTACCTCAAACAGGTAAATACAACTGTTCGACAGAAATAACAAAATGATTTTAATGGAATGATGAATTTCCCCGCTTTGGCTCGGATTCTTCTTCTTGAAACTTGGATTGACCCCTAATTTAAGATGACGTCCTTTCGGGTTAAGAAATTTCGTCCCATCCGAACGACTTGTCAGCTGTCCTTGTGTGTACCATAATGCAGAGCGCTTGATAAGCTGTCTTACATGATGGTGTGGCTGTTTGGGCGTAGAAAATGAAATGAAATGAAATGGGGTTTAACTTCCTACTGTTTTGCTCCCGGCTGGGCTAATGGAAACGGACATACGCCATACAGTGTGCTATGAGGCAAATTTTGCCCGGGCATCGGCACTACGACTTACTCTTATATCGAATTCCAACTGGCAAGGGATCTTTTACGTGCACGACAATGTATTCACGGGACCTCGGTTTTTCGTCCAATCCGAACGACTAGATAGCTGTTATTTGGGCGTAGGGATCTATAGTAAGTAGAGGTGTTTCAGAAGACAGTCACATGTTCTGGATTGGCAAAAGGCACACACATATATTATAATAATATGTTCCTTCTGGAATTAGCCCGCTGTATCAGCGGAACTATACATAATAATAAAAAGCTATTAATATGAACACATTCTCATCCTGAAAAAAATTTCGGGGTTACGTTTAGGTTTATCTAGATGTAGATATCAAATAAATCTCAGGTTATATTTGTCTTTTATAGTTTATGCCACTTGTAATATGGAGCCGACATCTGGGAATTCTGTTCGGGGTACAGTAGATTTTAGACAAAGGGTGGTAAGTTATCTCTTTGAAATTTGGGCTAATGACATCACGCACTAGAGGAATTATTCCTTGATAAATTATACAAATATCCATTTGGCGACCATCGTTATTTTATGATTTACTTTATGATTTAATTTAGGGTTGGGGATGTTGGCCTATTGGTAGTTTGGAGATAATGGTAGATTTAACAGGACTGCCAGCCGATACTGGCATCATTGCTCATGGATTTCATATTCATGAATATGGTGATTTGTCGGAAGGCTGCACAAGCACTGGCTCTCATTATAATCCTTTCAATAGAAACCACGGTGGGAGATTTTCTCGTGAAAGGTAATTCATCAAACTCTTAGTGTCATGCCTTATTTGGTGCTGCTCTAGAATTTTTTGTATGCTAGCCAATTCACATCTTTAGAGTCAAATAAGTATATTCCTCTAGTAAAATATAGTAGTCTGTACTCAGTGTGTTTTGTATATACATGTAATGATTATACACACTTCGTTGATTGTATCTTACGTAAATATCACATTTACTTTACAGACATGTTGGTGATTTAGGAAATGTTTTACAAGATAAAAATGGAAATATCTACACGGCCTTTTCGGCATATCTACCTACGTTAACAGGTCCTCGTTCAGTCCTTGGTCGTGCAGTAGTTGTAAGTAAAGTGGTTTACGTCGATATACTACCTTGGCCACCTTTAGGTTACTGTGTCTATCTATGGCCCTTTCCATTCAGCGCGCCTCTTTTACTAAATACATTTCCCTTTCCTGTGCCCATACTGCACTGGAGTTCGATCCCGGTGTTGACCGAGAAAAGGTTCCCCGGGGTTTTCCAGTGTGATTTCACATTGTAAATGTTGCAAGATGTAGGGCCTGTCAAGGAAGAGTGTCTAGTCGTTCGGATGGGACGAGAGACACGCAGTTGCATGGAATTCAGAGCAAAATGTCCCCCGTGGCACATTGCATGGTATATAGCCATCTTCAGTAGCCTGGTTGTTGCAGAAGAGTATATTTTCATTTTATTTACCCATTCTCTAAATCTGGTATTATGATATTTTAAAATATGTATTGATGACCTAATCAATTACCATGTATCTTATTCAACAGTTGTGCACTCTTGAATTAATTACGGGTATTATAAATGAGCTGATAATTACTTCGTGAAAACGATTCTTTGCGGGGTTCAAATCTTGACGTGGCCGAAAATAACCCTCAGATCTTTTTAAAGCTGGTTCTAATAGAGCAGGAGCCCAGGGGGTTAACCTAGCTGAAAAGTCTACCAATTTTCTCCTATATGGTATCAATGTATGTATATCTGGTATCATCAGAATGTATGTCTGCCTAGTTGGGGATCATGGCATTTAGGGCGTGGAATACCACACCCACCACCAGAAACCCGGCAGACTTACATTCTGATGATACCAGATATACATACATTGATACCATATATATGAGAAAATTAGTACACTTTTCAGCTAGGTTGACCCCCTGGGCTCCCGGTCTATAACTTGTCATGAGTGGCGCCTAGTTGGTAGTGACAATGATAATGTGCGTAGCCTTTCGGATGGGACGAAACCCGAAATTCCTTGTTCGAACTTGAGTGTGTGTGTGTGAGAGGTCAACAGGTGATTTACATGTCGAGGGTTTAGAACATAATTGTGATAAGTCACAATGCTTGATATACTGACCTATCACAATTATGTTCTAAACCCTCGATGTGTTGTAATATTTACTGTTATGTGTGTTATAATTCAGATTCATGAGAAGCCCGATGATTTGGGTCGTGGTATGAATGCGGAAAGCAAGAGGGCGGGAAATGCCGGTTCAAGATTGGGATGTTGCATTATAGGTCGATCGAATGGAGATAGATGGGACAGGGAGTGGGACGATGATTCAGATCCATAATGTATAATAACAAGACAGTTGCATCGTCGTCTGCTATGAAACCTCATTGCAATAAAGGCTGAGCAGCTGATAATCAAGATTGAATTAGTTTGTATTATTATAATGAATTAATGATGTGGACATGTAACTTAAGATTATTTGTCACCAATTTCCCACCGGCAGACTGGCCCAAGAAACATGCCGTGGTCACAACTTTATGCATCTCTAGCATTGGAAACGTCCATAAAACCGTAATGCGTGAGAAGCTACTGGTACCGTTAAGATCCCGACTGCCATTTGTCACTATCAAAGTAGCATGCCGTACCCAAATATCCCCCTTCCCATACCAGGGCTGGGGTAATGGGCAATGAAATGTAGTCATATTTTTGAAGTAATGACCATGTAATGAGTAATGGAAGATTTCAAAATTAATGAGTAATGGAATTGGAATTGGAATTAATTACTTTTCAATTAAATTTTACATGCATGGCACATATCAATATTTCCAACTGTGACAAGCCTCGAAGAAATAAATTAATGCAGCTAAGTCTCTAACTCAGTGGTTCGCAACCAGTGTGCCGCGAGATATTACTAAGAAAATGCGAAAAACCACGTGATCCTAATTGAGTATTTACTGGTGTCTACTGATAAATTCATAGCTGTGTTTTTCTTTATCTATATAGTTTGAGTCATTGTATGTGTATGACTAGTCTGTGTCTACAGTTGTATGCAGTTTATGACTTGCCATGTTTTTATTTTGCAAAATACAAATATTTGTCATATATTTAGCCAGGTGTGCTGGTAGCAAAAAAAGGTTGAGAACCACTGCTCTAACTCAATATCATCCAATGTCTCCGACATTTAAAACACAAATTATCATATATTTAAGACAAAATAAACATCCAGAGTTATGGACACTTGCAGCATTGAGGTCATGAGAGGTCGATCACTATCGATAATCAGCGTTTTAAGACCTTTTGTTTCAGATTTATGCTCCTTTTGCCGAAAATTTCGTGAATTTGATATTGGCCACAGTTTTTAACAGATAATTTTCAACTTTGTTGTGAAGCACTGGTTCACGCAAGGACGAACCCTATTGATATTTAGAATTTCTTAGTCTTCAGTTCGAGAGTAACCCCACCCCTTTGCCGAAAACCATCTGAATCTGGTAGAAATGAAATGGGGTTTAACTTCTCTGCTCCGACTGAAGTCGAGCATACGACATACCGTGTGCTATGAGGGGAATTTTGCCCGGACAGTGGCGCTACGGCCTACTCTTATTTCAAGTCCCAACTTGTGAAGGTTTTTAACAATTTTTTTCTACTTCAATCTGAAGCATTGGGAAAAGGAGAGGATGAATCCTATTGATTTCCCCTGTTCTCCATTCATCTATTGCAAAATGTGGGCGCATCTTGCATGGCAACTGCATATGCATGTCTATTAAATTTGTACCTAGTTTTAGTTTCAGCAACATTTTGCCAATATTTTTGTCATTTACATGTCCTAATACATCACCGGCAGTTACAATAGAAAACGTGAGATGGAACTATAGTTTTATTTTATATACAAGAGAATAATTACATAGTGAATTATACAAATACAATAAATTATACAATTTCTTTAATTACAACCAGTTAATATAGTTTCTTTCTGGAAATGTTCCTACATATTATAAAATAATAAATTATTAAGTGGAAGCGGGCTAAGCTAATCTTCATGCTTTCTTTCATTATAATCAAATGTCTTTAATCTCCTGATAGTACCTAGTAAATCAATGCTGACTTTAACTTGATATATTTTATGTTTTGATGGACACACTGACTATGTAACATGACCATTATAACATAATGAGCTTTTAGTAAAATCAATAAAATTATCATGTGAAGTTTAAATCTAATAAGCCATACAGGCACTTATATTTAAGCCAGTTTAAAAAAAACGTCAGCTAAGCAAGGTGAGTGTAGGGTCCACACTACTATAAACCAAGCCAGACATTGAAAAAAAAAACCAACCAAAAGAAACAGGGTAACCAAAAAGCTTTCTAGATGACAGGTTGCAAGCTAGGGTTTTAAACAGGTTTATTAGCCGCACCTTTGTATTCAGATGACAAAGTGATCTAGCTTAACCCATTAAATCTGCTTAACATAAGCGCCTGAATGGCATAAAATAAACAATATGTCATAAATTATACAATTTGATGAATTGGTTTTCTTGCAATAAGCTTGGTGTAGAAGTAGAAGTTTTCCCACTTTAATGCAAATTGAATTTGTCTCACTGCACTCTCTTTATAACATGTAACATTAATCCTTTTAATTAAAATAAAAAATATATCAGCTTCCACTACCAAACATTAAGAGCCTTATAGTAAGTGTTCCATCACATTCAACCAGTATTAGCAATGCAGAATATTGAAACCAATGTAATGCCAGTAAACTAATAGCAGAAAGTACTATAATTATTTGTTTTCTGGTGAATTATAGTATCATATTTTGTTATATTGTTGTGTAGTTGTTATTAGTGCATTGACACATTAATCCATTACTTACTTACATGTATTGTAGCATACTGTTTATTTATTCAATTTTAAGCACCTTAAAACACAAATGTTATATTTTTAGTAATGAAAATAAATTACACATAAATATATCTGACACAATTGCATATAAATTACATAGTAATGATATAATGAATAATCATTACTGTAACTAACATATTTCAACACCCTAGATATTTCTACCAATCACATTGCTCGTTACCTTTCTATAGTTACTTGCAATACGAGGACAGCTTCTCAATACCAGCAGTAAACAATCAAACCACATTAAGATGTTGTTATTTATTATACAAGAAATAAAGCGACCCATTGTGTTAGCAAGATACATATATGGTTTCAGAAAATGGTTTAAACAGTAACAAATTAACATAGTGAAAGCAAGGCACAACATGGCATATCAAATCATGAATTGATAATTACATAACCAATTTAACAGAAATATAATTTCATAAACAATAACTTGTAATAATGTGGAATTCCAGTGGCGTCTTATAAGACTGTACATAGAAACATAATATCTTCACAATATATTTTAATTAATCCTTTTTCATTTCAAAATTAGTGACATATTTTTTACACTTCAATAAGCTATATATAATTTTTATAGACATTGACATTAATTATACATTTAATACAGTTTGACATTTGTATTTTAAAGAAACATCAAGTTTCAAGGGTAAGCTTACCAATAAAATAATAAAACTCTAGTGATTTGTGATTGTTTAAAAATGTCTTCAAAAGTGTCTTAAAATATTCAAGACTATTCTGCTGTGATGAAATATTATAGTCAAATGGGGCCTAGTATTTGTATGAATCAACTAATAGTCTATACTATTTTTGTTGATGCTTTTAAAATATATTCTACTTTATCAATGAACAAAACAATAATTATTTCATAAATAAATGCATATAAGAGATTAGACATGTAATTTCCTGTAACAAAAGCATTCAGTTATTTTATCCCGGATATTGTAGATGTACACAGTCGTTTATTAATATCAGCTGTTGTTACAGATGAGAATATCATTACATAAAATAAACACAGCACCACTCCATACAAAAACAAAACAATTTCAAATCGGTTAATGAATCATAATAATAAACATCAATCTCATAAACAACTTGAAACGGATTTACTCTTTAACAAAAAGAGGCAATGGTGTCATTAATAAAACTGAAAAATATTTCTTAATCCATATAACACATCATAAAATGATCACTTCTCACACCTTATGTGATAGAAACACTGGCTGGTTTACTATACAATACAATATGGCACAAATATCCCAAAACTTAAGACTCAATCCAAATATAAAGCGTGTGTATGTAACTACAGTATAATAAAGTTGTATCACAAGTTAGATGATGAAGATGAATAGATAATGGATGCTTTAGATGATGACTTATTAAGTCTCTGGCTTCTTTTGTTTAGCACCAAGAAAACCCTGAAAACATATGAAAATATTGCTGTTATAAAAGCTGATGATCATCAATGACTTACATTTTATTACTCCTGGTTTTTGTACACTAATTTAATCAATATGTTGATGTTGATGTATAATATTGTCAGTGTTTACAGTTCCAGGACTAGAGAGAACAACTACATAAAGGAATAGATACAAAGAATATCTATTAAAGGTCTTGAGTTCTAACAACATCATTAACAGCTAAATCATACTTTTTTTTCCAATTTAACATACCTTTTCAATTTTGTCCAACTTTAGATATCAATTCATCACATATATTAGTTAATTCTTCATTTTCTCTTTTCTACAAAACAAAATAACAATTATTAGTTTGAAATATCAGATGCAAAGATCACTTGATTCAAATTTTTATACTTTGGCATCATTATATTGGATGGTTGGATGGTAACCTCCAGTATAATCATAATACCGGTCATAGTGTTTTTAACATTTAATCCTGTTTCTATTAAACCCTTCAGCATTAACAATAAACTATTTACTCAATTAATAGAATGCAGTATTCATCAAAGATTAAATTAATGGATAAAATGCTGTATTCCTCAAATATTTAATTAATGAATAAAATGCAGTATGTATTTCATAGTATTTAGAAAAATAATAAATTGTATTACCTTCTGTTCTAAGCTATGTTCTAATCCTTTTATTTGTATTTCAGATTTCTTTAAAGCAGCTTCTAATTTAGCAATATCTGTATATGTTGATTTTTTCACTTTCTCTATATCATGATGTGCTCTAAAACATGGTAAATTCCATTCATGAAGATTCATTACAATAAATATCACAGATAATAAATTAATTTGAAACTAAATAACTACAACTGCAGGGTTATGGTCTATGCAAAGGTATTGGAGTTACTTCCCTTTAAACTCCAGGATAAAATTTACAAGAAGGTGATTGAATAGTTGTTTATGTTTCTTTCATTTAACAAGCAGAAGATGCAAGAGAAGATAAATCTATTGATTTGCAAGTTCCAAATATAAGCCTCACATTTTATCCAAGTCTATTCTCCTGTAGCTAGAGAGCTAAATGATCTCAGAATAGTTTTGCAAATTTCAAATATTAATAGATTATTAGCAGGTATTTATAAATTTGTAACGGATATCAAACTGATTATTCCTAATAAAATGAAAGTTAATTCCACAAGAATTATAATTTTTATCTGGAATCTTTAGCTAGATTTATAATTATATTGAAAACATTCAAGTTTAATCAAGATGTTTTTGTAGACTTACTGTTCTAATTTTTCTTCTGCTTGTTGTTTTAAAGCTTGTAACTTAGCTTTAGATTTCTTATCTTTTTCTTGATATTCTTCAACACATTTCTTTAAAGCTTCTTCATTCTAAAAAATAGATATAAGCAATATGGTTTTTAATCCATTTTGAAACCAACCGGCCAGAGGCCAGAATTGAGTCAGTAAAGGCCCTTATTAACTTCATAAAATGGGGTCAATTACCCTGCACTACCTTTAATATCAACTTTAAATTTCAAGTCAGTTGGATTATAACTTTAGTTTAAGCCTCTAGAAGGCCCACAAGTAATACAGGACATTAGACGAACAACAATATACGTCCACATTTTCCATATTTAAATTAATTCATGTATTGGATTGGTTTTAAGTTCATGTCAATAATATTCCTCAATAATTATTTGTCTTCGTTTATTCGATAGATACTGAAAGCAAAACATCTGTGATACAAATAGAATGGTTCATGATGTTTAAACATATATCTTATAAACACGTACTTTAAAATTGTATCAATATCAATACTTAATAACAGATCAAAAGGAATGGTAGACTGGGTCTTGTTGTTTGTTATTCAGGTTGTGCAATTTTCACGTCATATTGAACCTTACATAGAATGCAATGTCTTGTATGACCTTTTATAAATAAAGTTCAAAGTGTTGACCCATTTTCATGCACGGTCATGGGATAATGTATATTCAGTGTAAATTTCAAAATGGAGTCATGAAAGAAACTGGGTTTAAAAACCATTGAACATGACCATGATTTTATAATTATTATAATTATCAATACAATTATGTGCCTGTGTCAAAAGTGGGAGGAAACCAGTATGAAAATATACCACACTATATATGTACCTTTTTAAATGTTTCCACTACACCCTTCGCTTTTTCAAAGCGCCGATGTAAATCAGAAAATGCAGTTTCCACGGAATTCAGATCTTCTAAGGCTTGGTCTCGTTCTTTCATTATATCTTGTAAGGATTGCTGAGAATTAAGGCAGGACTTCTGTCTTTCAGCTGTAATAAATATTTTTACAATTGTAACCTTATTTATTTTTTTTATTAAGTACAATATATCATAAAGACAAAGTATACCAAAGAACCTAATATGAGCCATCTTGCTACAGATATGACATTTTCCCCACCATATTTATTAGTGACGTTTTTTGTTTTCAAACTTAAATTTTTGAAAACAAATATATAAAGACAGTACAATTAGTTACCTTGTAATTGTGCAATAGTTTTTTCAAATTCAGCCACTACAGCCCTAGAAAAGAAATAAAGTAAATTTTATAAGAATTAAAATTGGACTGATGAAAATTGATTTTGAGCTTCACAGTTTACACTATACTATCTGTATAAAACTGCACTAATCAAGATATTATTAAAGAACTTAAAGCAGAGAGATAGAGGGGGAGAGAAATGGGGTTTAACATCCACTTGACACATACTAGGTCATTTCTGGACTAATATATGGTTCAATTTTATTTCAATAGTTCGCTTGCGCGTAAGGATCTTTAGCAGTGGGAGGAAACCGAAGGACTCGGAGAAAACCCACGAGGCTGGAAAGGCGACCCTACTCCTTGTCACGAACAACCAGGGAATCGAAACCATGCCAGTTAACTCAATGACAGACCTTATGAAACAGCATGCACACGCTAACCATTCGGCCATCCAACCCCCCGAACTTAAAGCAAGTAGACATGCAGTGTGTCTTATGTTTTTTCAGGTCATTTCTTAGACTTTTATCTAAAAATATGCTGGGCAACCGGGTAAAAATAATGTGTTTAATTCCTTCACTCATTTGTACCTCATATCTTCATTTGTCTGTTGCGCTTTTCGATGTTTTTCTTCCATATGAGCAAGTTTCTTATCTCGGTCAGCTAATTTTTTGCTCCATTCTTTTTCTTTATTTAATAATTCAGATTGAAAGGATAATTCTAATTCTTGTTTCATTTTATTCCATTCTGACTGGGAATATTTCATCACCTACAAATACAGTTAAAATATCATTAGCATGTGATTAACAACATATAATAACAAGTTCATGCAATAACAACGTTTAAATCACAAATTTATCAATTACTGTACATGGAACAATAGATGAACAATATATAATGATACATCATATAAAATATAATAGAACTCAATAATACCTGGTAAGCTGGTAGACCAAAACATATATATTTCTAATGATAATATCTCAGTCAATTAACATAGGGTAAACAATCTATTATTAATCCATGTTCAAATTCTAGTTTAGGTCCACATGTATAATTCTAAAGCAATATCCGACACTGGTATTTTCACAGACTGCTATGACTATGACCAATAAATAAGACTATAACTATAAGCTTTGATTGTTTTTATGATGAACCAGCTCCCGTTAAGCAATCTCTTTCTGAAGCCAACATTTAACATGTATTTGAAACATACTTGTTTATATGATGTTAAATATTCAAGTCTTTCAAATTTAATCTAAATCCTAATTCGGTCCACTTATTTATGCAATCTTCAACACCTTGTTTTTATACTTTAAAATATTTATAGACACATTTTCTAAGTAGTAAATGTACTTTTTTAACCTGAATTTAAAATCATGCTATATATTTTATATAAAACTCTCAAACATAAAACTCTAAAGATGGGAGAAGATCAATTGGGTGCACGGCTCAATGCTATAGGACATATCTATTTGTAAATTGTCTGTTTTTAATTAATTCAAATTCAGGATCAATTATATCTTTAAAGTTAAATATACATTATGCAAGAGCTAAATCTGCCTATTGCAGGTCTTTCTTTAGGTCTGAAATGTTATCTAATTATCCATTAGACATTAATTAACTTATCAAGACCATAATCAACTATCGTTGTCATCGCTAGCCTGTGATGTTTAGTGGATTAGGTTCCGATTTGCTGTTCGACTTCTATCCATCATTTAATCATGAAATGGATAATCAAGACTATGTTTTCTATCGTATCAACTTTAGTAATGATGATCAAGGATAGGTCGAAAAATTAAATCGCTAAAATCTTGGTTCAGAGTGAATCAATTTGACTGAAATTTTCAGCAAATTCCCTTTACATTATGTAGTTTTTAACTATTATAGTGAGAACTGCCAGTTCTTTATCTAATCTCCCATAATGTATCTTTAAAAGAAACTATTTTTATTTGTGACTTTGTGATTGCTACCTTGAACCTATTAATCGCATACACTAAACAACATTACATGAAGATAACAGTAAGTTACTAATTACACACACATACTAAACAGCATATTCCTGTAAGAACTTAAATGTCAGACACAATTTCTAGAAGTTTCCATAAATATATACTGGTACATGTACTGTATTCAAGTATTAATTACTGCTTTACATCACTAATATAAGGCCTGTTTATTTTCAGTTGTGTTAACAAATTTTAATGTTTAGGTTATATTTCGTAAATGAATGATAGTCATGATAGAAAATGAAAATGAAATGTAAAATAAATGATATAAGAAAATAATGTGAAAGAAACATCAAACTTAGCAATAAGTAGGCATTAAAGCATATTCTGGAAAAATAATTTTTTCAAAATGTAATGAATATTAATCATTATATTAGTCACAATGAAAGCACACAGAAACAACTATTTAATTATGAAAGTTTCATGGCTGGATTCAAAACACGGATTTGTTATATGGTTTTCTTAATATTAGTTTAATACATAAGTCGGTATTTAACACACAACAATAATCACACACAATATACATACTGAACTAAAACACACAATATACATACTGAACTAAAACACACACACACACACATTGAACTACAACATAACACCAAGCTACCAAAATAATAATAACAATACACCAGTTTACCTGTTCACCAGTATTAACACCCTGAGAATTTAAGGTAAAAAGTGCAAATCAGGAAATAAGTAAAATGTATAAATAGTTAGAGCAACTGAAATAATACAAGCCCAGGGATAACGAAGCAATATGATGAGTCTGTGAGAATGAATGATTTAAAATGGAAATGGATTTTTTTATAACAAATTACAAGGAGAAAAAATTTTAATCTGAGAAATTGCTTGTTTCTTAGAATAATCATTTTTAAAAAAAGGCGAAGGAATGTAGAATTTTTCTGTGAAAGTTGAATTTTTTAAAATGGGGTTATCTCCCTTGTAAAATCAGAAACGAGAGAACTTTTACTTTAAAAAAATGACATGTTGCATTTATTTTTAAATGGTCTTCGACCTTCGTCTTAAGTGTATTCTGAATATTTCACCATTTATATACAGAATATGATCTAATGGTAATCATGAATGACACAGATGCCCCTTTTACCATATAAAAACTGTAATTATAATATAATCTTAGTGATAAACAGCGTAATAATTAATTATTCGCTCACTAACGAATCCCCTGCCACCCTAATCAACTTAAAATAGGATTTACAGGACAAATAAAAGAGGTATTTTGTACAGTTTTCTAGATTCTGGGAGATAAAAATATAGATGAATACCTCTTTAATGTTACACTTTAAAAATAGAGGCGTACAAATGTTGTTACCGATATGTTAAATACATATATATCACTCAATAACATGAAGATAATAACTGACTGCATTCAAATGATAGCTGACATCACTGTACTATTTTAAACTTTACAATATTAAAGCTCACTAGACAAACATCAAATTACGGCTATTTCATATTAAAAGGGACAAATATTATTTACTGTAAAATCAACTATACAATTAATCACATATTTCCAATAACACCACTAAAATGTCAAATAGAAAAAAAATATCTAAAAAAATTGTTAATATTCTAATGTTACTGTTGATTTAAAATAAGAAGTTAGATTGGTTTTAATAAACTACTTGTATCCTCTTAATTATAACCATAAAAATTTAAAATGAAATAAATGTTTTGGTGTTTACCTGGACCAACTGAACGACTTGATCATGTCCAGCCATATTGCGGTCCTCCTGAAAAAATCAAAATATAAGATATGAATGAGGTACCTGTAAAATTAATTCAATAAATTTACACATCAGTACCCATTTGCACAAAGGTTACATAAATTTGTTATTTTCCATCATTCCAGCACACATTATCTTTGCTTCGACTACAACAAATATTGTCTTGACAAAATTACAGTTATACTACTAACTGGTTGCTCCTGTCAACAGTTCCCGGAATGGTTTATGTGTCCGCCAGTTAACAATAATTCTGTTTGTGTAATTCAAGAACAATTTAAGGAATTATCTGTATGACTTTTGACACCATATATCAACAACCGATATCCAGGCTTATATTCTCTGATGTCAGGAGCCGATTTACGTGTGCATAATTACATTCTGTGCAACAGGGTTCCCCATCTTCATGAGCCCAGTTTAAGAGCAAAACAGTAGGACGTTAAACCCCATTTCATTTTGCAACAGGGTTCAAACTAACAGTAATATTATTCTGTTAAATCTCCCAATCAAAAAACCATCACAATTTCTTTTTCAAGTTTTAACTTAGGTTGAAATTTTGATAAAACTACTACATGTACATGCAATTTAAAATAATTTCTATTATCAATTTTGCTTTTTAAAGTTGATCTGTTACAAATTAGTAGATTTAGTAAAATGATCATCTCATAATGACAGGCGTGGTCAAAGTCAGAGTATCAAAACAGAAATGCTGTACTTTTATTCTTCGATCACATACATGTAAATAATAGGTAGTTAAAATTACTGTGACTACGTACATGTACTAGTAACAGGTGACATACCCGGTATTATATCTTAGTTCATGGTCAAGAGTTTATTGTGAATCAACAAATACAGATCTGATTTATTTATATAACGATACTGTTTTTGAAAAAGTATGTCATAATTTTTCTTCCTAAGTGACTGATGATTCTAACCAAGTGAATACATTAACTAAAATATGAATTCTTATCAATTGTACATAACTTATGCATCAATTTGATTGTCAAAATTTGGATTTATAAAACATCTTCTATACCATACGCTTTTGTTATAAAAAAAGTACATCTTCTATATGATTTTGTTAACTGTAAGAACGCTGATGATGCCTCAACTATTCTGTGTAAATTAAAATATTATTCTGAAGGTTTCACAACAAAGATATATGGATACAATCTTATAATATAAATTTATGACTGATAAGTTTGGTTAGCAATGATTCTCAAACACTGCAATCAGCAAGCATCACACAGCATGCTTATAATATAAAATATCATTTAACGCACGCCATGGTCAAATTCTGTACCATCTTCACACAGTTCCTGATTATCATTTAAACATGAATAGTTATCTACTGAATCTTGGGATAGACGAGAGGAGTCTTCAATCTCCGTGTAATTATGAATCTGGTCAACCCAAGCATCTTGTATGTCGCTGCCCTCAATAAAATGAAGATTGTCGGAGGCCAGTGACTAGTGAATTAACAAAATATATGTAAAGTTAGTTCATTTTATTAAATATCATTTTGCAATATGATAAAATAGGACAGAAGTAGTAATTAATTGTATTAATAAATCACACCATCTTACATAGTTAGAATCTAAAATGCAGTTTAAATACAAAAAGCATCTTAATTCTAGTTAACTAGGCCTGAATCTTATTTCATTTCAAACTTGTCGTGGTTTCTTGTTAAAGAAATGCTAACTTGATCTTTCTTGTCTCATTTCATAAGGTATATTCCAATTAAGACCTGAATGTTCTATAAACTTATTAATTTGTTTCTCTAAAGATATATAAAATATGAATAAATTACCTTGGTGTCTGTTGATACAATTGGACTAGTACTAAATAATAATCTATCTACATCTTGGTTCGGTGGTACAGATTTCGCTTCAAACTGGTCTTGTAGTTTTCTAGCAGCAGGATGATTTTTACTTTTCTGTTTTACTGAAGAGGGTGAAGGTGTATTCAATTGCAGTAAATCCTTTTCACTGAATAATTAAATAAAAAGATCATTATTGATATAGTTCGTCAATCAATAATTGATTTGAATAAACTATAATAAAGTGAAAGTTTACACCATACATTTGTACATGTATTAACTCCCAGTGGGTTAAAAAAAAATTTTTATCAAAAATTTACAGTGACATAAAATATTTTAAAGTCTCTGAATGTCCTAAGTCCTTTGAGGGATTTGTAATCCTTACTTACTACCATAATCAGAAAATCAGAATATTAATCAAAATATGGTTCAATTCCATTCAGAATTTACATAGATATGAAATGAAATGGGGTTTAACATCCTACTGCTCTTCTCAGATATATGAATTGAAAGTTGGACATACACTGCAGACAATATGCAGGATATAGTCAACACACACCACCTATAAATTTCACTGAATCTTTTAATGGGCCTTATTCTAATCCAACTGAATCAAAGCCCGGTGATTATCGACAGTTGATATTTTGAGTTTGTTTTCTTAAAGGGGCATTATGTAAGATTTAGATAAAGAGCTCACCATTCTTACTATAATAGTTCACAAATAGATAATGCAAAATTAATATACTGAAAATTTCATTCAATGTTTGAAGTTTTGACAAGATTTGTCATAGATTGTTTATTATCGTAATAACAGTACTTGTTAGATTCGATTCACCATTTTTAAATTAAACCATTAAATGAAAACCAGTTTCAACTCATTCAATCTCCACCATCTGAAGTTCTAGAGAGTTGATCATGGGCTTATTATGTTAATATATGTCTAAATAATAGTTTATATAACATTTAAAGCCAAAATAACGACTTGTGGATTATGTCATGAGAAATTGGATATTTTCCAAAAAATGCAAATGACGCATAGTCTTTGAAAGAATAAAAACTTTAGTTAAAGTTGAATATTTTAGCTAGTTACTGATAAATTCTGTACAGGATACTGTACATTGTTTTCAGATCTCTAGTCATTAGAACTGATGATGGCAGGAAGCCAATCATTTTAAAACCCAAGTCAAGTCAATAAAACAGGAAACCAATATCAGTGCTAATACCAACATTTTCCAATAAAAATTTTACAGGAGTATCGAGAAAGAAATGGAGTTTAATATTTTGTTTGGACATCTTTTATAGTACAAGACCAGACTTCAAGTTCCAAACACTTACTACTAGTTACTGCAATTAAACACATTGTTTTGGAAGTCGCAGTAACAGTTAATAATAACAAATATTGCTTTTTTACAATATTGTACATATAGTACCATATGTATAATGCTTAGTCAATGACAACAGTCACTTACCCTTTCATGATTTTATTTGTCATCAAGATATAGACTTCTATCAATTATATAAGCTTACACAAAATACTATAAAACTGCTATAAACAGCTGATTGTTGATGTAACAATTGAACATAAGACTTCTTCAGTTCAAAATTTTAACAATTGTTCTTATTATTCACAAATTAAACACCAGCTGTGATTCGCAATGAGTTGTAATTCCTAAACATATTTGTGTTTCAGTTCTCAATGAAATTCAACAATTATTTCAGTTAACACATTAACTTTCACACTCTTTTTTACATTCAATAACACCTTTTCACATTTGTCTGCATTCCTAACACTAATGTGTTTAACTTACAGATATGCAGAAGTGAAAACTGGAATGATCAATTACACTCAACCATGCTTCTGTGTATCATGTATATAAGATAGCGTTACACATGTATGCTAAAAAATAGATAAACCCTAACCCTTCCTATCTTTTGCAGCACAATTACTTCTGCTAAACTTGTATGTTAAATGGCAGACTAGTTTTTTATACCTGCACAGTTAAGGTTGAGTCTGGGTATAGCGAATTACACATCATTTCAGAATAGTTGGATATAATGTATGTACAGGTTCAGAAGCTGGTCAATTAGTAATTACAGTGGAGCAAATTAGTTTACCGGTAATTGTAAAAGTCTTACATTTACAACAACAGTGGTACTGGTAGCAGATTTGTTACAAGCACAAAATTACAAAAGATATGCTCAGGATATTGTCTAGAAATTACACATATTAATGACTGTTCATTAGTACATAAATGACATTCAATAGTACCATGTTGAGCAATTATAAATCCTTCGCAAAATCAAATGAGTTTTGATTTGCTTTTTTAATTTAGCTTAATAGGCCTACATTACACAACTTCATAACTAAATGATAGATCCTGATAGAAATACACCATCACAATATGTAATTCACATGAATAATAGCTTGTATTATAAACAGGTTGTCTATAGTATGTTACTGCTATAACAGTATAGAGGAAAATGGAGGCAGTAAAAAATCAATATTCTATACTCATTTCTCTCCTCCAGTAGAATCGTGTTGGAGAATTCCAGATAGCCAGTAATACAATACTTAGACTGGAGTGAGAAAATCAAATAACCAATATGATGAAAATCGATAGTGTAAGCAATGTCAGATTTAGACAATCATCACTTGTATTGGTCAGACAAACCACAAATAGGAAAACTCATTGATTTCATGTAGTATAAAATCAACAATCTTAGAGAGAGAGAAAGAGAGAGAGAGAGAGAGAGATGGTACAATTTTATTTAAATAATTCTTCTTCCCTCGAAGTCTATAGCAGTGGTCTATAGCAGTGGTCGGAAGACTGGGATTGGCTGAATGACAGACCTTATGATCTAAACTGCATGTTAGACCAATCGGCCACCCAACCCTTCCTATGCAGATACAATTCTAAACAAAATAGCAGGAAAAAATGAAATATACCTTGCTGTGTTTTAAATTAATGTACAGTGTTAATTGTTTACCATGAAGAATAAATAACAATAAAATCTCACATTAAAACATGTTATTACCATTTCTGTCCAGACTAGACTACACTATATGATGAGTCATTTCAACTCATTAACCTACCTATAGGTATACTACACTAGTTGGTGTGTTCAGTTTATCAAGAGAAGGAAATGTCAAAGTGTTTTACATGGCTACTTTAGCTGTACATCTCAGCTACAAGACTATTAAAATCAAAACAAGCAAGGTCTGGATTAAAACCTACAGAAGCACTAAGCACTGAACTCCTTGTACACCACCCACACATACTTTATATACAAGATTCTAATTATATTCCCAAGTCTAAAATATATCATTAACCTATTCAATACTATATTAACAGTATTATTTACTTATAATAGTTATTTTATTTTCTTAGGAAAATATAAATTTGCAACAGCTTAATCCATGCTAAACTGTTCTCAAATTGATTATTTAACATTTAATTAAGAAAACAAAATCAACAGTAGATAATCTTTTGACTTGGATTTTAAAGGCCCATCAAAATAAATCATGAACCATGTTAAGACTGATATTCCTTTCATAGGTTCAACTTTCACAATTTTGTAATTTTCAAGTTATTGACAATCTTTCAAATGACAATTAGAGACTACAATATTCATGTTGTATGTGTATATACACGGGTGATTTTTTTGTCATTTATTGTGATGGAGGCAATCTTTTCGAAGGTGCTAAGCACATGCTTATGTTTAATCCAGGACTGTCTATATTTGGATGTAATTTGAACCTGGTACAGGGCCCTAATGACACAACCACCCCAGCACTTGTAAGCAGCAGACCAAAACTTCTGTCATAATGAATGGAGATATATCATTATAGTTACAATGACATAATTCAGTTTTTTCCCTTAAAGCTATATAATTGACTAACAAATTTTTCATAACGATAATAATAATACAATGAGCTTTGAATATTTCTGTCTACAGTCAACTCACCTTGATAAAGAAGAATTTGTTGCAAATCTCGGGGGAGTGGTTTCTTCCTCTTTTTCTGAAAAAAAAAGAACACAAAAAATAAGCATACGATTGTAAACTTTTTGAACAATACACTGCACAATCTTTTACAATGATTGATAGAAAGAAAACAAAATAAAACTATATTCCTGGATACTGATGACATACACACAAACAGATCAAAATGTCAGATATCGACAATATCAGCTGAGCCCCATAATAATATAATTTTTCTTAATGAATAACAAAACAACAATTTTATCATTGTATTTATTGTTTGTTCAAGCCATCTTAATGTAAGCTTACCAGGTTTCACATTCGACATATAACCACCCATCTTATAACGAGAGAAATTAATGAATTTTACATTTCAAATGTATAAACATTAACTTGTATTCAGCCATATAGTTACCCATACTACTAGTTTTATGTCTTAACCAGATTATATTTAACATTTCTATAAGAGGAAGTGTAAATGTGTCTAGCAGGAAACTTGCAATATTAAATATTATAATCATCATAATGTAACTATCTAAACCTTATGGCAATTACTTGAGTGTGTTGCATTTAATGCACAGTGAGCAAAGGATCATATGATTGAGCTTGTAAAAAATAAAATGTTTAATATCTGTGTGATGGTATAAACATAATTTCAGTGACAATAAACTTAACAATGATTGATCAACTTGTTTTAACAATGGATTATACTGTTCATGTTATCAACTTTCTTAACTGCAGCATATATAGTGTCACATGTATTCTCTGTTTACATTAAATTTGTTATAGAAATTCACTTCAACATCTTAACATCAGACGATCAAAATCATGCAGATGTAGGTTTTACGGTCAGGATTAAGGCCAGATTTTCCCAATATTTTAATGTTTATGACTGACAGAATGACACTGATCTAACTGCATGTGGTATACTAAAATCGATAGTTAAAAACTGTATTAAGTGATAATAAACTAAATCATCATGGGATAATTTATCTTTAGTAGGCATATCGTCTATCTAATGAAGGCTCACTAGTCTAAATGTACAGAAATTAGTATTCAGAAGTGTTTCTCAACAGACAACCAATCAACATCTAATAATGGGGACATTCTGATTGAAGAATTTTTCTTACAGAACATACACATGTGGGCCTACATATATGATTCAATAATCAATCACTACAAATATTTGTGATCAAGTCATCAACTACCAGACGATTTCTATGTTTTTACATCAATTAATAGGTAAGTTGATTACAGGTAAAGTAATGATATGATCGCTGTGTAAAGTGAAATAGTTAGGTAAACAATTATATTTCACTGGAACAATTTTTTTACTCATTGTAAATTCAGGATCTTGTTGACGCCTGGTTTAAAAACATCTTAAATAATAATTACACATGTACTTCAATGTATGTAATAATTCTCTGACTTTTACCATATCATAATCTCATAATTAACAGGAATAGAAAATAGTGTATATCATGATATATAATACAATATACATGTATCTGTACATAGATCCATGACATATCAATACCTATATATCTCGCAACCAGGTATACACTAACATATTTTAGGTCAACACAGAATATTGATTCACATTTAAGCTCAATATATTTCCATATTCTAGAGAGAAGTAAATTAGCAATACATTGGGCATAAATATTTGACCATTGGTGTTTTAATACTTCAAAACAAATTACTTGTTACATCAGACTTTCTAACACAGTCTTTTGTATCTAAAGAAAAACCCACAGTTAGATGTAGCTCTTCAAAAGATTAAAGCACAGACTATTATGAAGCAGAGGAGATATAAGCTGTAAACTAGATCCCTTAGAGTTAGATTTATGTGATTTAATCCCAAAACAGATTAAATACACATTATGCAAGAGCTAAATCTACCTATTGCATGTCTTTCTTTGGGCCTGAAAAAAGTTATATAAACTATTAATTAGACATTTATTAACATGAAAAGACCTTAATCAACTCTCAATGTCATCTTATGTGTCAGATTTTCACTGGATTTGAATCCGATTTGCTGCTCAATGCTCATTGATGATTTAATCCAAAAATGGATAATCAGATGTTTATTTATCTTACCGACTTTAGTAATTATTACTAGGCTAGGCCTAAAATTCAAACGCAAATATCTTGGTTCAGAGTGCAGCAATCTGACTGAAATTTTCAGCATATTCTCTTTACATTATCTAGTTTTTAACTATTATAATAAGAACTGTCAGCTCTTTATCTAATCTTCCATAATGCGCCTTTAAATAGATGATATATACATTTAACGACACATTCATACAATACAGACAGGTTCCTGACTGCGTAGGTTCATATATACGTGATATTCAATGAATTTTACTCATTTTCTTCCTTTACTAGTACTAGTAGAAGTTCACTACCAGTCTAAAGAGTCAAAATTATGCCCAAAGAATGGTATAATTTTGTGCCGCAATCTAATGATTGATATGCTTCTATGTTGGCACCCCTATTCAATAAGTATGGATTATAGTTAAATACAATTACATAAATGGTAATGTATCATCTTGTAGTGAAATACTGGGTAACATTAAATCACTTATCTACACCATATATATTAATCCTAAATAATCCTAAGAGTAACAATGAAATGACATAATAATATAAATTGTATTTCTAAAAAAACAAGTTAATGTTATTAAATATATGTAATGGAAATGAATACAGGTACAGTTTTAAATCATATGACACAGTGATGGTGCATGTTATTTCATCAGCATAGATACATACAATTACAAGACTGGTAAGTCATTATGGTTGGACAATGTTAAAAAGAAATCTTGGCCAAATCAGGGTTACACATGTACTTATCATTTATAGTTGATCCAAATACAACCTTACATGGCCGATCAAACGGATAAAGGACATAACTTGGGGCAAAAAATTTGGAAAATCTATAGGCTTATTCATCTCACAGACTTTTAATAACAGTGTTTACAAATTCCAAGTGAAGCCGAATTGGATGATAATTTAGCCTCTAAGAGCTTCCACAAAAACATACATCTGATGTGCATGCATTAAGAATGAATGACATTCCATTTTCAGTATTCCATTACCCTACATGTATATTATAGAGAATCTCCTACGAGGCTTGTTTGATAAATTTCATAATCTACTGAATTTGATTGGTTAGTTGAAAGGGACAACTTTTTTTTAACTTTAAAGAACATTCATTTTTTTATTAAAAGTAACTTCTTTCTTTTTTTTTTTTTTTATTAAAAATGGACTATTTTTATTTAATTGACCTTGATAGAAACACTGGGTCAATATAAAGGACTTTGCAATGGTTGAATTGCTGTCAAAAAATGATGTATCACTATGTCATAATGTAATCAGGTTCAGTAAAAGTGAAATCTATAGAAAAGAATTATATATATTTATTTGTGCATGTAAGAAAGGATTTGGGTGATAAATAAAATCTCCTACTAATCTTTTTTGATAACCAATTTTTTTATTACTTTAACGACGAGTGTTTATATTTTTTGATATCAAAAAAGACTAGCCAAGTTTTTTTTTTACTTTATCGACTTGTGTTGATATTTTTTGATATCAAAAAAGACTCGTAGGAGATTCTCTATTTAATCCTATGTTTTATTTATTGTCATATATCAAAGCACAGAACATCTACATAATTTTAGAATCTTAAAATAGTTTGGTGTTTGCAAAAGACAATGTATAAGTGAGCCACTGATCTATACTCTACTAGAACATATTTTTTTAAAGCAGGACTTTTGATAAAAACAAAAAAAGACTGGTGCTTCCAAAAAGTAAAAGAATGGAGCATAACCTGCATGGTAGAGACTACCCATGGCCACTCTCTAGTGTACTCTCCCTACCAGTACATCTAATTACTATTTTAAATAGTCTATATAGTAGACTTGATTAATATAGAGATGTAAATCAATTCATCTCACACTTCTTACTTTATATTTTAAAATACAAAGTGATAAATGTAACACCTGAGGCCTTATATAATTATCTAGAAATACCAAGCACTACAGGTAACGTCATGATTTTATAATAAATGAAGACAATTTTACTGACATTTAAAAAACTGAAAAGAAAAATATATGAATTGTATTGAAAACTGGTATGTTATATATCCGAGACATGATAATCACCAATTTACCAGTAAGAACGGGCTATTCTTTATTCTGTGTTATTATAGCAGATATATGCAGAGATAACTGTAGGGTGTGTAACATTAACTGTAAGTTATCTAAACACCTAATATCAACAATAATAAAACATTCAGACTCAACTAATTTAGCATGGAAACCATCTGATGGAAATAAAAATAAACTTACAAATTATGGTTTTACAAGGAGATGTTACTTAAATTCAAAGGCTTTCTTAAGATTACTACATTTTACAACTTTGATGAAATGAAAACTATTTTGTCCCTATTATAGACTGGCTGGTCATTAAAATAGTTCAAGTAGTAGCTGAGAGTGTAAATATATTGAGACCAGCTATATTTGTTTAACTGTGACAATTTGAGTTCATCTCTAGGTTTCTGCTTAGAAACGTAAATAAACAAACTTGGGGGTCACAATTGTGATTTTCATACTATATCAGTTAATCAGTGTTTTAAAGGATCAATTACTACATACAGTGAAAGTGGAATACCAATATTTAAATTGGTAGACCATTTATGTAAGAGGAATCAAAGATATATTTCTTGCTGACATTCTTTTTCCTGTGACTGTGTGTACATACATACTGCATGTATATAAAATACTGGTAAGCTTATCCCAAAAATTTTCTTAATAAAATTATGTTTCTATTTATAACTCTTAGCTATTACATGTAATGATGAAAATGATGTGTTTGACATTTTCAAAAAGTCAAAGCTGAATATGATCAATATCATGCTACTGCATAAAATACTATGTATGTGTATCAAAGCTACATAAAATCTTGGGAAATTCAAACAAATAACACTAAAAATTACACTCATGTCATCTTACGCAATTAAAATTTTTGAACTGACAATGATCTCTTCCATATTACAGTAATTGTAACTCTGCTGAAATATTTATAACAATTACTAGTTGTTTTACTTTTCTTAACTTAATGACAAATTATATGAAATACAATTTCACCATACATACATGTATGTATAATACACCTTAGTCACTATCAACATTAAAATGGCACCAGATGGCAATGACAACATTCAGTACAAGTTATCAACAATATCAATATATATTGATGATAATTATAAATAATTAGAACACTTACTAATATAAAATGTTTATGAATGTTGATAAAAGATGTGAATCAGTCTTGGTCTTTGTTTAAAACTGACAACGTCCGGCTATTCATATTCTGATTTCACTAACAACAAACTGTTCAATAAGAGATCGTGCTCAACTCATTCACCATAGACTAGGTCAAAGTCACAGCATATATGTACTTGATTTAGTATAAAAGAAGTAGATCTAGCGTGTAGTTGGTAGGTATAAATATGTAGATAATTGATAATAATAGGGTTTTCATATTCTTAGATTGAAGAAACAGGGAAAGGAATGGTTTCTCTGTAATTTCGTTGTTGTAAATGTTAATTTCTTTGTCAATTCCTGATTCAGTCAGCCATTATTTAACATTGTGCAGCTGGGTTTTGTGTTTAAATGTCAGTCTGACAGAAGAGAATATCTTTGAAAAACTGATGAAAATCATAAACAGTATCAAATACAAAGATATTTTCAAAAACAATGGGCCATAATAAATGTAATTATGCAATTGACAGTCAACACATATAGTTGTAAATTACAAATTAATGTTTTCTTTCGTCATTCTTTTACCTTGTCTATAGGCCTATGTATTTAAACTACTGGTAATTATGATTTGGGGACTTTAAAATGTTTTGATATTGCTCAGATTCGAAAATAATTTGTTTAATCTTCAATATTTAAGTTCTAATTAAACATATATAGTATCAATATATACATAAGTTCAACAGGTACATTTCATATTTCCAAACAAATCATTAATGAGACTGAATCAAACAGATTTTAGAAACATCTAAGCAATTTATCAAAACTAACAAGAAGATTTTAGCTTGCTAGCTTACCCATATCTTTCAACCTGACCATTGATTAATGTAATTACCAACATTTCTTGAGTTTGACAAAATCAAACAATCAAGTGGCAGACATATTGAATTGTTTATAAGATATAGAAATATAGATCTATATTTACATACTAATAGACATGTTCATGCATGTTGAAAGGAATAAAAACATCTTAATCCTAGATACACAGTAATATTGTATTACTTGGAATGCTAAAAAGAAAATTTGCTTGGGATATATTTCAATGTTGAACATTTTCTTTTTATACTTAACTGTACTTGAATTGTTGAATATGTATTCATTGTATAATTTATAAACTCTATTGTTGATGAATTAACAAGTTTTATTACATGTACAGCCGTTAAATCTTTTTTCTTACAGAGACATGCATTAAGAATATGATCTGGAGAGATGCCAAAGGAAACACTTACAAATTGAAAAAAAAAAGTCAAGTGAACAATGAGGTTCTGTTCATGACAGATATTCCCTAGCTATTATAGATCGAGTTTTGTATTTAACAATAAACACCTAGTACATTCAACAGCCAAGAGATTGAAATATATTTTAAACAATCAATATCAAGAAAATTAGGACTGCTAATAAGGTATGTTCATAACATATATATATTTATTTCAATTTCATTTTCTGACTTCAACTAATTAACTAATAAATTAATAAAAATTAGCTTTTCTGTTATCAATTTTCTGTACAAATAAATGAAATTTTTTCAAGATTCAGATCTTACTCCAAGATTTTATCAATATTATGAAGAATACATTCAATATAAACAAAACAAACATTTATATATCTCCATCAATTATACATACCAACATTGCTCTTTTTTATCCGAGAAAAAAACTTCTTTCCAAAATTAAGAGATTTAGCAGATGCTTTCTCCACCATGAGTGTTTTTGAATGAGCTTAGTGATGAAGAATAGGATGAAGGAAAAGATGATAATAAGTTAATTTAGCATCTTTATGCCTAAAAACTGGAGATGATATATTTCTAACACTCTATCTGCTACCAGTCACCTTCTAGTCAACAAAGAGAGTGGAATACAGTACACTGTCTAAAAACTGTTCCTTGTTGCAGACCATTTCTATTCTCAGAAGAACCATGACTCATACAAAGAGTCTTGGTTCAAATTTTCCACTCTGGCTTAAAAATGAGTTTTGTGTATTCACAATAGATTTTATAAAAGAAAGACAGTTTCAACATGATGAAATCACACACAACTGCAAAAATAATCTTAAACATGGAACTTTCGATTTTGTTGGATCTTTTGGTACAGTTTAGTTTCCTTAAAATGATTGCGAATTAGCTGATATAAACTCATTTTTTAGAAAAAAAAGTAATTTTTAGCTGAACTAGGGCTTTACGAAAAAAAAAACCATGTGGGCAAAAGCACTGCTAATTAATAATTAAAATCCCTTTCTTTGATTGCTTATTTCTCTGTTATTAATTTGTCAAACAAACAGCTATTTTTCCAACCATAAGGGAAAACCACAAAATAATGCTTGTCTAAGAGAACATTTGGAATATGAAATGAAATAAAATGGGGTTTAACGTCCTACTGTTCTGCTCCGAACTGGGCTAATGAGGACGGGCATACGCCATACAGTGTGCCAGGAGGGAAATTTCTCCCGGACAGCGGCACTACGGCCTACTCTTATATCGAATTCCAACTGTCAAGGGATCTTTTACATGCACTCCAATGTGTACACGGGCCCTCAGTTTTTCATCCCATCCGAACGACTACAGCTTTTTTTTTTGTCAGGCCCTCCGCCCTGCATCACTGACAAGGGGGAACCACGCCGGAAATCTGGATGAACTTTCTCGGTCAGTGCAGGAATCGAACCCCCGACCTAGAGGCTTCTTACCCAGTTAGTCACCGTGATCCCCACATTTCAAATTTGGAATAAAATTATAGTCAATTTTACAATCACATAGTTAGTACAAGGTACTTGGATAAGTACATGAATATTTTATTCTTGTAATTTTGTACCTACATTATTAATTGCCTTTTAATTAAACTTCACAATACACAACTCAAGGTACATGAATGTATTATAGTAAATACGGTATGATGTAGTAATATCTAAAACTTCAACATACTGTCTTCAGATTACCCCAACATACACAGCTGTTAAAAACCATCCCCACAAAAAATACATAACTCCTTACTACTGCCAAATGTTAAAATTAGGTACATGTACCAAACTGCTGCAGATTGAAAAAATATTAAAAGTTAGACTTCTCTAATTTTCTCTGGGTTTTGCATTACCGTTTTAATATATTTTGACATTTCAGTCAGTAGACATGGGGAACATGGTTTCAGTATGGTATTGGATAGTCTTAAATATCAGAACATAGTTAAAAGATGACTTGAAACATTTGGAGGCCATCATAATACAAGGTAAGTTGAAAATACATAACAATCAATATAACTTCTGACTGGAAACAACATGTGGGATGAAAAAACCTATTTATACCTTAAAATAAATTGAAACTTGACAGTTTAAATTTTAAATGGTGTCATTGTGTGCTATGAAAAACTAATGTATACACCACAACATAATTACCAGTATCTCAGTATGCTTACATTTCTCCAACAACACCAAGAAAGGACCTATGATTGAATAAACCAGTATTTTAGGGAACAAAATACACGTTAGTTTACTGAATGTTAAACCATACCATGTTTCTGTCATACAATCTTTTTATTTCCTCTAAATAAACTGATCATATTACAAGATAAACAGATTAATGAACTGATAGGTACAAAAACATCAATAGATCAAGTGTATAAACAGATACCCCAAACCCACATGAAGATGATTTATATGTCTTGATGTTCACCAACATGTAGTATTATTGGCTCAAATCAATACAATCTAAAGGTTTCAAAGTTATATATACAGTAACTAAACATTATGTTACTGAAGATATTCAAGCAATACTAAATTTTGACTACATAAATGTAGTAGTCTATATTTTCTTACAGTAGTGATCGATTGCATAGCGGTCACATCAAATGCTAATTTTACTTTCCAAATATGCTAAAAATATCAAGTGCACTTAAATATACCGGTAAACAAAACTCATAAGACAAGATACACAATATAAACTGACGTGCTGTATTATTGCAAGCAATAAACAACAAACAAATATATCGAATTAAGTGAATAGATCCGAGAGCCAGCCGTAAGCGTCCATTGCGACTTACGGTCACAGGCCTATAGTAATACAGGCTTCACTCAAAATGAAAATAACCTCACAATTAGGATCCAAATTTTTAAATTTTAAAGAAGCAATATTGTTATTGATTTATAAAAACAAACCACCCCCAGCCTTTGCACAGAGTTAAAAAATTCTATATTATGGATATATGTAAACTTATTGAATCTTACAAACATCCACTATTTCTTAAGTACAACGTTTAAAAACCTTAATTCTTGAATTGGTAGGCTACCAAAATAACGTTTGTTTGCTATGATATTGTGGAAGCCTGTTGCAGCCATTTACAATCTAGAGTCTGTAGATACTGTAAATTTTTCAAAGCAATATTATTGGTACATGTATCTCCTTTAGTTGATTTTATAGAAGTAAAGATGTATTCTCACAAAAGTATTATCAGATGGTTATTTCCAATAAAAGTATGCCGTATTGGTATTTATGGAAAGTAGAGACACCCAATATTACTAGAAAAATACTGGACTGCCTGAAAAACACCCATGGAGTGCGCACAGGACAAAAATAAGATGGTACCACTAATTGTCAGCCCGATGATTACGACTGTCTGCTCCAGTGACGTCAAAGGTTGCACACACAGTCTGTCTTAACCTCTTTGCATTAGGGAGCACTTAATGTGTATGGTGATCAACATTATGGCAAGAAAATGTGGAAAAGTGAGAGACCTAATAACGTACAACAGATTCTGAGACTAATCTGCGGAAAAAGAAGGGGGTAGGGGTTAATTGCAGTATTTATTTAAGCTTCAATACATGTATTTATGGTAAATGGACAGTGATTAAAGACAACATCGTCTTTTATATGCAATGAATTCTCCCACGACTTGGCTAGTTTCCACGACCGTAAAATTGATTTTTTACAGCTTAGAGTATTTCCTAGCTAATACAATGTTTTGAGAGGGATTTGAAGCAAATTTTTGAAAGATCAATTAATATATCATCAAATCATCCAGTTTGTACCTGGGAAGGCATCTTTAATATCAGTAAATAATTCATACGAGACAGAAAAAATATAAAATTGACATCAATTAACACATAGTAAATAGGCCTAATCAATTCAATAACCTTGGCCTTGCTTTGTTTATATTGATCTGTTCATGTTAGAAATATAACCTTCAATATATATAACCAGTCCATCTGGCACACATACTTCACTAAATGTTGAGTCATAATTATCTTACTGGCTGGATCAAATACTGGATAACATAATCTTTTCTTGGCTTAGTTAAAAATATAACAAATAATATTCTACATAAGCAAGGTGTTCACTCTATATGTTTCTCTGTTACTGAGATTTTGTGTTTACACTAATAGGGCCGTATGGATCAGCTTAACGCAATTCATATAGTCTCATGGGTGGAATCGGATTCAAGTCTAAAATTGGTGAAATGAAATGGGGTTTAATGTCCTACTTTTCTGCATCGACTGGGTTAATGATCACATTTATATGCCATGCAGTGGGCTATGGGAAAATTTTGCCCGGGTGCTAAAGCCTATTCTTTTTTTCAAATTCCAACTGTCAAGCATTTTTTTATTTGTATGCCATATGTACACAGGACTCTTTTTGTGCTATCCAAACGACTATCCATTGTACCTTGCCAGACCCTCCATTGACAAAAGTGAACCATGCCGAACAATCCTGATGAACTTTCTGGGCCAATGCAGGGATCGACACAGGACCTCCAGGTTAGCGAGCCAACGTCTTACTCACTGAACCATTGTGGCTTCCGTTCCAACTTTGAACAGAAAATGTTCATTTCACAGTTTAGTCTTCTATCACAAGATCCAGATATTTTCAATAAAATAATTTCTAGCCAGTAACTTTAAAAAATATTCATTTATGTCATTAAAGACCATGAAGTTTAAGTATTTAACAGTATATGTATATGATTACGAAGCACATGGCTATCTATCAGGTATATCAAACATTCAAGATCTTAAATTTAAATATAAAGTTTGGTGAAAGTGACATAGCATGTGCCAACAACTAAATAGAAAATTTTATCCAGAGAGAAAATCAACTGCAACATCTCAATTTTGGTATTGTCACTCACAATTCTAATGAAGTCACTTAGCTCTGGTTAACTTTAGCGGGAAGTGTTAATCACTGAACTCGGTCAAGACATCCACCTAATGAACATCTAAGTACCTCAATTAAAAGCAGAGTTGTTATGTTCCAAAGTATTGCCCAATCAGAAAATTCTCGTCATTGAACTTAGTCAAGGTATTGATATACATCTAATGAATCTATACTCGGAGTTTCACCGCTCTCACCCAATTAGAACCAAAGTTATCGTGTTCCAAAGTCTCAATCAATCAAATTGCTTAACTCTGCTTAACCTTAGTAGAAAATGCACATCATCGAACTCGCATTCGCCTAATACTACTAATAGTAGTAATATAGACACCTACACCAGGTTACACCAAGTTTGAACATCCTACTTCAATAAGGAGGAGAGTTATTGTGTTCCAAAGTCTTGACCAATCAAACTGAAGTCTGTACAGAAAATGATCCAAAAATTGATCAATTCAACTGTTTAAATATTTGAACAGCATTCAAATAATGCCAAAGTTCGAATACTTGTATATTAAAATCAGAAATTTGCTATAACCATCACCGATGCTTCTTTTATGTAATGATAGACTTGGTTATAAATCAAGATGTAGGAATCATAACATAACAGATTACATACAAGTAGCCCTTTATTAATTAAACATGTCTTCACTTTGGTTCCACAAAAACAGTAACATGTTAGTATTATTAGACTGTAGATGAACAACTGACTATAAAAGTAAGATTTTTGGTTAATGGAGTCAATATATATGAGCAAAAGAGAAGTTGACAGTGCTAGTACACTGCCTGAAAATAAATCATACACGCTTACATCATATTTAATAGAAGGCTTGATCTCGCTTTAACTACGTACATCTTCAAGGCCTTCACGTAATACCCTGCATATTTCGGCACTAATTTTGATTGGTGACAAGCCCAGCTTGTGAGTCTATCAAAGTCTTCGATCGGTGTGAATACCAAGTTTCACGCTAAAATGTCTACATGTGATAATCGAGTTGCAAAGTTCAAGATTCGTTCAATGTCATGGTTTCCGTGGAGGTCGCTATATCACAACCTCTGATTGGACGCTACTGTTCACGTGTCTGTAGATAATGTAGCTATAAGTTCAGGAATTGTGATGTAATCTAGCAACGGCCAGATGTTGTAAAACTCGCAGTCGTTGCTTCAGGAACATGACAAGCTTACAGCTTTTGTCATTAACAATTCTGAATTGTATGCTGTTCACACTTCAAATTTTCCTGACCTATTGTTAATCTCTTGTGTCAAAGATATGAATCATGATTGGAAAATAGCATATTCCTGAAGCAATGGCCAGAGAAATACCTCTCTGGCCATTGCTGAATTGGCTTCTGATACTTGAGCATTTGTGGGAGTGCGTCTAGATTCTTCCCGTTCAATCAAATCTATCCCAAGTACAGCAACATGACAGTCCTTCGTTTAATCTGGGGTCTTCCCTTAAACTTTGGACAGTGATTTAAGTATTGTTCGTCTCCAATCAGTATTGTTTACATTGTATCTGTGTTGATAGCCTCGTTTGTCACGCAATTAATTTTTCTGCAATACTCTGCTATGCACTGGTTAATTGGGCATAATAAAATTGTGAGTCATGACGTAATGTTATGTACATGTAAACATATTTGCTCCAATTTGGAGCTCTGTTTAAAGTGTAATGATATTGTTACGCAGTTAGCTATTGGTTGTTAATCAGATTATTGACCAGTCATAATTTGGAATAGAAATTTGCTTCCTTTATACAGCAGTGTGAAGTGGGATTAGCTCTAATCAAACGAAACACTGTGAGGAATAATGGTAGATACTTGAAAGTGTTTCTAATAAATATATTTTAATGTAGTTTATAATTTATATTTGTCTGAGGATGTTTTAGACAGTAATTGTGACTTGTGCAGTGGAGACATGTGCCCATGAGTATATGAACAGTAGAATCTGTATTCAGCTGCCAATTAAGGGGATTTTCATCACTGACTGCTTAACAGGAGTGACCTCTTAATAAAATCTCAGTGTTTATCAGTGTGACATCAAGTAAAATTTTATGCTTAGAATGCAGCGTGATCAAACATCAATACTTGCATCGGTAAATTTTGGGCTTGCTTAAACTTGCTTGGAACGAAAATTCTTGAACTCAAAATCTTCAATCAAATTCTATAAACATGGCATTTTGTACCAACATTAATACTACTGCCTTAATTGTTTTTATTTCATCAATTTGTCATTATTTCTGAATTTGTCACCGATTTTCAGGTGCTGTAACTCTGTATGTAATATAAGGGGGGACTAAAAGTTCTGTTAAGCAACAAAGCGGCAATGGAAGATAGATACTAGATCTGATTGTGACAAAACTCGGCTTTGACAGTAGATTCAGTTTATTAAAACCAGTAATAGGCAGTATCAAATAATGTATTGTTACATTTGAAAACAATGATCAAGGTTTGTCATTTAATAAAACAAAAGCTTAATTAACAGACAATCTAAGATTTATTGGTATGTTCACAGTTCATTTTACCTGATCAGTGGGGTTCAGATACTTAACTGTTAATCATAGGATTAGGGGAGGCGCTACGACTACAAGGTATCAACAATGGCCATTGAATGGGCGATGTTTTACTTAAATCTAAAACTAAAACACACTAACACAAGGTATAATGTTATGGATACACAATTACTGAGTTTAAAGTAGCTAAGTCTCTAACTCAATATCATCAAAAATCTTCAACATTGAAAACACGAATTATTTGTCAATTCAAATCAACATTGGTCTTGTGATCTTACTGGGAAAAGATGGGCTTCTGATATCTGATATTCAAGACAAAATAAACATTTTACCGTTGGTACACGAATCGTGTACCATAATGCGTTTCAGCATATCGAATGACTATTTAAATTTAACTAACAACTGGTCAGTAAAATCATCAAATGTGTAATCCAATTATTTTCCGGATTATCAAAACTACGGTTAAATGTGCTAATGACCCAGATTGTGATTAAGGTATGGTGACTATCGTAGCCACAAGTTATAATAATTAACCTGTTCTACGATTCATTGTTTTATAAGTAGGATTTTTTCCAACATGGACCGACAGAAGCCGGCAATAATGAGCCGATTAAAGGGGAAGACTAACGATTTTCAATAAGGTTTCAATAAATAATAAATATATATTTAGAAATAATCCCTCCTATAACATATGCAAAAAATAATTTGCAAGCGAGAAATTAATTTTTATTAATACCGGAAGTGACGTAGTTGGTTCGACACGCTCACTGGTCACTATAGTAAACATACAAATTTGGAGCAAGTTTAGCTCTGTATTTTGTGATCGTTTCGCCGTTTGGCAGAAAATCTGATGAAAGGTAATCTTTATTAGGATTTTAAGAACAAGAACTTACGGTGTTTTGAAGGTATAATATACAACGTGTTTGTGTAAATTAAGTTTCTAAACTGGACACTGTGACACAATTTAAGCCACATGGCTAATTGTTTACATCACGTGATAGCTGGCACGTGACAGATATTAACCGAACACAAATTGGCGACCTATTCGGCTAGTGACCTATTCGACCGATCCAGCTGGCAACCTGTTCGTTGGCAACCTATTCAGAATTAGAGCGCACCCCTTTAATATGATTGTGCCAACTTTTACTAATAATATTTCGAAAGCTTATTTAATCAGCTTTCGGAATATATTTAGTTGGATGTCCAGAATTTTGTAAGATAATGCGAAATTACATCCCTTTTCTGAGCTAAAGGAATGGATAAATGATAATATATTCTACTTTCATTTGAAAGACGTTACGTTGGATTTTATTGGTTGATAAAAATAGATGAGTTTGGGCGACTGTTGAATTTATTCTGAATAGGTTGCCAACGAACAGGTTGCCAGCTGGATCGGTGGAATAGGTCGCTAGCCGAATAGGTCGCCAATTTGTGTTCGGTTAATATCTGTCACGTGCCAGCTATCACGTGATGTAAACAATTAGCCATGTGGCTTAAATTGTGTCACAGTGTCCAGTTTAGAAACTTAATTTACACAAACGCGTTGTATATTATACCTTCAAAACACCGAAAGTTCTTGTTCTTAATATCCTAATAAAGATTACCTTTCATCAGATTTTCTGCCAAACGGCGAAACGATCACAAAATACAGCGCTAAACTTATTCCAAATTTGTATGTTTACTATAGTGACCAGTGAGCGTGTCGAACCAACTACGTCACTTCCGGTATTAATAAAAATTAATTTCTCGCTTACAAATTATTTTTTGCATATGTTATAGGAGGGATTATTTGAATTTCTAAATATATATTTATTATTTATGAAAACCTTATTGAAAATCGTTGGTCTTCCCCTTTAAGATCGAATGATTGAAATACATTGCATTGTTGTCAATGACTTTCAGGGTGTTTATCACGAATCAAATTCTAGTTCACAAGGGGAGGTAATTAAAATCACGTGATACAAAAATGGAGGTTCTTTCGATATCAATAAAAAAAACCTGTAAATGAGCGTTTACATCGGAATCAGTTTAATACATTTGAATGGATATTCACGTATGGGGCATGTAGATACATGCGGCATATTCTTTTTATGACTTGCTTATCGATGTTCGGGCGGGCGTTACATATTTTTTATTTTTCATCAAGACTAATAAATAGGCCGCACGCGCAACCAATTTTGCGTGCGGGCGGTGCCCGAGATACAACTTATTCTATTTGTGTTGCCTAATCTAGCAATCAGTTTTATTAAATGCATACATAATTCTTCATGCTAAGTAGAGTTATGCCCCTTACCTGGTATAACTTCAGCAGCTGGTCTTATTGGTTGTACATAAGGATCAAATGCTACATAAAGAGATTCTCTGCCTAAAGTTAATGCACACTTAGACTGAAACAGAAAAAGCAAACCATAAGATATAAGCCAATAAATAAAGGACCTACAGTTTTTTCAAATTCAATAATAATAATTATAAAGGAAGCTTGTTTATACGTGTATGAAAAAGGTGTTTGAACCAGGGTTTCTGATTCAAAATTTTTTAGTTGTGGTTAACAGTGGATAGTCATTGTGAGCTTCAGAGAATACCGTCAATAAAGCTTCCTTTCCCTACAAATATTTCTTTTTTTTGTTATGTTATCGTAGTCTGAATAATATTAATGATTACCACAACTTGTTTTCTAAAATAGTTGCACCTCAATAATATTTTCCATAACTTAAAATTCACAAAACGGCTTAAAGTTCCATGATAGGAAATATTATAGAAATTAATTTGGCATATCAGTTGGCTACATGTACTTACTGGATGTCTAATGAATAATCACTGAGCTTGTATATTTATTTACAGGATCATCATGTTAAATCTACTTGGATCATGATCTGAATGTATTCTTAATCAACTAGCAATACCGTAATCAACTCTTTGTAATTAGGATAGGTGACTAGTTTTAACATCCTATTGACCAACATCAAGGGGATTAAAAAGTCTGACTAAAGATGAAACTACAAATTTGTTTTTACTGGATTAATATAAATAAAAGCAGTCAATCAATGTAGATTAAGTTGAAATAATCAATTATAGATCAATAAATACATGTACTTACATCTCCAACTCCTATTTTTTCTAACATCTCCCAATTAGCACTATCTGAAAATGCTGAAAAATAAATAAGACGACAATAATTCTATGATGTTTTTTTTTTTCATGCTAGAAATAAGTGTACTAGAAATAGGCTTAATACTACACAATTGTTTAGAATTGATCAAATATGTGTATGCTTTATTTTAACCATTGTCTGTAGTTGTTATGCTAACACTATGTTGTTCTGTACTCACCATCGGTAGCTGGTACAAATCCCTCATTATCTTCACTCATTTCTGCATCTTCTCCAGCACCAAATTCATGAACTGCATCTAAACTACCAGCCATTTGATGGGCTAATCTTAGATCAGCGGATGCAGTCATACCAGATGGCACTTCACTGATATCCTGTTGTGCATCATGAAATGTAATATCATCATCACCTGAAGTATTACCATCAACTTCTTCGCCATGACAATTATTTACATTTGGCTCAGATGCTTTTGCAGAATCAGCTTGATCTGGTTGAGGACTATCTACAAATGGCGGAGGGGAAGCAAATATCTGGTTATCTCTATCAAGCTTATTGATATTTAAAGCTTCACCATCAAGTGTCATATCAGGCTTTTTTGCTTGCACAGGACTATTTTCTCCATGTTCTGGTGGGGATGGCGCAAATATCTGAATATCATCACCTGTATCAAGCTCATTAACTTTATTTCTACCATCAATATCAGCCAGATCAGTATTGTTTATTTGTTTAGAACCATTTTCCACGTGTTGTGGTGGTGGTGGAGCAAAAATCTGCATATTATCATCTTCAAGATCTGGACCCTTGTCATTTTGTTGGGCAGGTGATTCTGGTGCAAATATCTGTATTTCATCATCTAAGTCCTATATATAAAATATGCTCTATAATTTAAAATAGTTTTTGTTATTATATAGATACATTATGATGATCTAATTAAATTGTAAAAGTACCAATATATGAAGCTTCTATCAGGCATGTATTTTAAGCACTATTTTTACCAGTTAACTCAACAAATAACAACACCTACCACAAATTTTTTCGGTGTCTTCTTTACAGCTGATTTGGGTTTCTTTATACCTTTCTTTGGGGTTGGAGTTTTTCTAAAAACAAAAAAAACAAAATAATCCTTACAAATATTACATGTATATAACACAGTCTCAAAATAAGTGTCAACGAACATGTACACATTACAATTAGGCTATCAACTAGACAATACAGATTTTTAATTTAAAAATTCATCTCATGAACATAAACAATATAAATGTCATGCCAATTTTTCAAATTGATCAAGGAAAATAACAATTTGAAGCCTTTGAAATTTGAACATATATTTTAAGCTTTTCTGTCTCATGAACTTCAACACTACCGGTATAAATTATAAGATAACTCGGTTGATAACACTCGCTATAGAGCATCTACAAGACTTTTCAAATAGGTCATGGGTGCTAACTCGTGCAGTAATTATCAGAAATTGTTGAAAATCAATAGGCTTTATCTGAACACTGTGTATGAATTTAAAGCCAATCGAATTATCGCTTTGTTCCTTGAGAATCCCCAAGCAATGGAGGACAGGGGTGACTACATTACAGTATACAACTGTCAAAATATATCTCTTTAAAACGTGGTTGAATTTAAGGGCAGAAAATTTGGTAGGGTTCTTCCTTATGTTCTTATTCACAAGAGATGGTGGAGTGTCAGCCAATAAACATGTGCTTATACTTATAATATATTTAAATCATCAAATTCCATTGAATTTACTTATAATACATGTTCTAATCTAATGCTGTTCATCCCACATGCATAATTATCAATAATTCAAAACAATGTTGAGTTGGAGTCAAGTGTAGTTGGAGGACCAAATATGCCTCCAGGAGATGCTTTATGCTTATTTGAATATGTGCCATTCCACCAATTATAACTTACTTCTGTGTTTTAGATTCTGGTGAACTCTTGACTCCATTTACATTTTCCTCACGGCATTGATCAGAATCCAAAGTTTTAGACATTGGTGACTCAAGTTTTCTTTCCATGTTAACAATATCATCTTGCGCTTTAGGTGACTCTGGTTCAGCAAGATTCTCACTTTTAGATGGAGACTGAATTAACCTTTCTGTGTCATCTTTTTCAGGTTTGGACCCAGGAGATGCAGTCACAGATGACTTACTCTTTTGGGCAGATTTTTTGGGAGAAGCTTTTTTGGGAGACACTTTTTCCGGTTCTTCACCATAAGGTATGTCTAAAATGTTATCATTAATGTTGAGATTTCCTAATTCTTCTTCGAGTAATTTGTGGCCGTCAATTTCACCTTCATTGTTATTGACTAGTTTAACTGGTGGTGAACTAGACAACCTGTTTCTACTTTTAAATGGATCAATATCATCACTCACATCAGAAAACTTATCTGTCACACCAACCGATATTTCATCATTGTTATTATTTCCATTTAATGGAGGAGAATTTCCTAGTTTTGTTTTTGACTGGAAAGGATTAACTTCATCCAGGTTATCAAAATCAAAATCATATGTTCCTTTAGCAATAGGAATAGGAGAACTTTGGTCTTGATCTGCCATTGTACTTGTAGTGCCTTCTGAAAAAAAGAATGATGACTTTTTCACCTGGAGAAAAAAAATAATCCTAGCTTAATTGTTCTCATAAATCTTGTTTTAAATGTAAAAAAAATCATCTTAGCAACTGCCAAGTGGGTGGAATTTTGATGATTAATTACATTTATAACATATAGCTTTCAAATACAAATCTGTCTTCACAACACAGATTACAAATCACAATTTTGAGATTCTACAATAAAATCATCATACATGTAAGTTTATATTCACTTTCCATTGCCTTAAAAAGAGTTCTTTCAAATCATGGGATGGGTCCAAATAAAAGTCACCTGGTTGGCTGGTGTGTCTTTGGTGTCTAGGCTATTTAAGACAGATTTGCATTATTTTTTACTCATTTTATTCTAGACTAGTCAGACTAGAAATCAACTTTTTCTGTGGGTATTTGTGACATAATTAAGTATGATCCATGGACATGGATGGATGGTCAATCAGACCCAGGCCAGGGTGACTGGTGTTGACATATAGTCTGATTATATATCATAGTTAGACTAGAATAAAATAAACTGGAATTTTTTATCCATGTGGTATGGTTTCATTTTCTATCAGTACATATCATAAATTATATGAAATACATGATAAATGGGCTAATTCGGTGATATAAATAATAAATATTTAAAATATAGGTCACATTCCCAGTCGCGATGATTTGGCGGGCAGTCAAAAATAATCTACGTTGCCTCAAATTTATCCACTTTGTTTCTGTGAACCATAATTGAATTGGAATCATGGAAATCCTTTATTCAACAATTCTAGCCGAAATATTTACCTTTCACATTACAGTTAACTACAAGATACTGCACAAAGTGAAGAAAAATTGGTAAAAAATATCAAAACCTTTCTACACACTGACGATTTCTGAAGTAAACATTTATTCCTCAGTGATGTTATTGAAGGTGAGTACATCAAGGGAGACAAATCTTGCGATTCGATTCGATACAGACTACCATTGATTTTCCATTGACAATGCGATGCACATAAATCGTTCAACGACAACTAATCAGTTTGAACGACAACATTTTCCAAATTTTCTCTAGAAACTGACATGTGCTATGGCCAAAAGGCACCAATTTGATCACCGTAGTATATAGATTAAGGATCAAAATTCTGAACACTGGCGAGCCATAGATGGAGTTCTTTAAACATTTTAGCTGGGAAATTTACATACCCTATGTACCAGCCTTAAAGTCACTAATACCAACAATGAGCAAAACCTGACAGAAAATTTATATCAAAACTGTTGTCATCAATTCTGTACAACAAGTCAACACCGATTAACATGCAACCATGTAAATTGTACCTTTCTGATTTTCCACTTATTTATTCACCTAGTCCAAAATGTCTATCTCTTTCACACTCTGTACATCTTTGTTTCAGATATAATGGGAGCATGTTACATTGTGTTGAACAACGTCTGAAATTGCAAGAAATATTGTCATCGAAATAAAAGTCCATATGTCACATGGCATGTGAAGCGCAACAGACTCGCTGTTAAATCCAGAGCAACCTTAGTCTATAAATATCATCGCTATAATAATATTATGAGTTAATCAGGATTAAAGATCAAAAGGACGGGACTACTTTGGTTTTTGTTTTGGTTTTAAAAGGCGCCTATGTGTTTTAACTTAATATCAGCAGCCGCAGTGGGTCAGTGGGATTGTCCAGCGTGCACCCCCCTCTCTCTTGTCAGTGGCCCAGTGTAGGCCTACTCACTGGCGTGCACATAAAAGAAACATTGACACTTAGAAATCGAGGCAGTGGGAAGTCCGGGCAAAATTTCCCTAAAGAGCACACAGTATGGCGTATGGACTTCGCCCGGTCAGATTAGAAAAGTAATACGTTAAAGATATCTCGCCAGTCGATAAAACCGACTTAATTACAACCTAGGTTAACATGTCCTGTTAACTTTAATACTCCGAAAACTTGATATTCGTAGCTATTTAATTTTTGTGCTGGATAAATAAGACTGCAGTACCCGGTCCTCGAAATTAACAAAATTTATATAATGTTGTTCTTCTATCTGTTTGTGACCTCCAAATGTTAGTTTTGGTGAATACTTTCGGCCAAACAATTGGTGTTCGATCCATTAAATTGTGAAAGTTGATTATCTTAGCGTATTTTCACTACTGTGATTGTCGATGACGCTTTAAAGGAGGCAAGTCTTTAACTCGGTATCATCCACAGTCTTCGACATCGCAAACACGACTTGGTGGTCAATTTAAATCAACATTGATGTTGTTATCTTACCGTGAAAAAATGGGCTACTGATATCCAATATATAAGACAAAATGAAAATTTTAAAACTGACACGCGAATCGCGTGCCATGATGCTTTCGAGCGCCATTTGTAATGAAGCGACTTGATGAACGAGGCTGAACATACTTCACAGACCACCCAGGAGAATACTACCGGTCTAGACTGAAATAACCAGGCGCCAAAGACTGCCATTCAGTTTGGATTCTTCGCGTATTTCGCCGAGCATAACTGATTAGAAATTACAGTAAAAAACAGAAACGATTGGATGTAAACCAGTTTATAGATATATTACATTATTACATGCATTGCGTCCAAGTCTAGATGCCAAAGAATACAGATTTAGCTACTTTAATTATACTGTGTCCTTAGAATACCCTTGGTGTTGGAATCGCGTTCCTAGCGGGTGGGGTGGGGGTTGACTTGGCCTCTAGGGACGGGTTGTTCAAAGCTCCATTAACTTATAACGACTCGTTAAAATGGAGTTAAGGGATCGTTATCTTTAAGAGAAAGTCTGTTGCTGGAAGCCCCGTTAACTTCAATTACATGTCGTCAACTTGCCGTTATATTTAACGAAGGTCTCCATTATATGAGATTAGTCGGCTGTCGAAAAGATCATATTATACCAGTGTAGTTTTCTATAGAATTCTATAATATAAAACATTCTAGAGGGTGGGGTGGGGTTGGGGGTTATTACATTTTCTATAGGATAAATTCTATAGTATTCTGCAGGTTGTTTTTTTTTGTTCTAGTGTAAATCCTATAATTTTTCCTACAGATTTATTCTAAAATTTCTATAGAAAAATGGATTTCTATAGATTTTTGTTTACAAGTGCCCTGTTCTTCACGTTTCTGACAGAAAAGTAACGAGCAAGAAAAATAACGAAAATGTTTGCCAAAATTCTGCCACTGTGGGCATCTTTTATTTTAATTATAATTATTATTTCTAATGAATTTTAAGTGAGACTGAATCAATTTATTAAGCCTTTGGTAATAATAAGCAAACCCATACAGGCAGATGAAAAAGCTAATAGCGTACAAAACGTTTCGTCGATATTTATTTACGGCTATTTTCTCTATTATTATATGACTTTATGGTTTGGGCTTCCAAACCAAAGTTTTGCTGTGCTCGGTGCCCATATTAAATATATGTCATTTTTTTATCCACCACCCACATATTAAATTCTCACGGCTTGATCCCCGCTAATATGTACTCAGATTGATTATTTATCATTTAATCCATAAAAAAACAAACAAAAAAAACCAAAAAAACATAGGGTTAGATAATTTCCCGGCTTCGATTCAGTAGGATTTCAAAAAGGCCTATCAATAAATTTTCGCGGACAACAAAATGGCGACGGGCTTTATATATAAAGAACAGCGTTTCTTTGTAAATCGAACCATATATTATGTTGACTCACAATATTATTGTAGTTTGCAAATGACACACATAATAGGTTTAAAGAGTTCGACCCGGTTTCGGTAACAGGATGGTAAAACGGTAGCAGCAAGGGAGGGAGGTGGGGGTGAGATTGTAACGGCGCGCTAGTTGGGTTTATAGCTGCCATATAACGTGCCAGACAAAGCTACTGCGGATAAAGCTGTCTTGGAAGTCTTTCTGCATTCTCTTCATCTAATTGCAACGGTCAGGGATTATTTTGCACACAAATGTGTTTTCGTCCAATACAAATGACTATGAAATAGGCACGACCCTTTATAAGTGACCCTCAAATCTTATGACGTGACTTCTTATGCAAATATTTACAAAAAAACAAAAAAAATGTTGTTTGATGCAAACGTTTTATTCAAAATTTGAAAAGACATAATCTATAATGACATTTCCCTAAAAAAGAAAATATTACAATAACTATTAAAAAAAAAGACTAATAAATAAAACAAGAAAAACATATAATTATCTAACAATGTATATTAATATATGTATCCACTATATAATGGCAACATAAATATAACACTATATAAAACAGTTCGCTCCGCCTGAGAACATGTATCCTCGAGGTAATTACCTAACAATGTATATTAATATATGTATCCACTATATAATGGCAACATAAATATAACAATATAACACTATATAAAACAGTTCGCTCCGCCTGAGAACATGTATCCTCGAGGTATGAAGTAGATGCATCGCTGTGTGCAGTATATGTAACAATTATAGAGCGAGAGAGAGAGCGAGAAATGGGGTTTAACGTCCACTCGACACAAACTAGGTCATTTCGGGACTAACATATGGTTTAATTTTATTTCAATAATTCGCTTGCGCATAGGGGTCTTTAGCAGTGGGAGGAAACCGGAGGAAGCGGAGAAAACCCACGAGGTTGGACAGGCGACCCTACTCCTTGTCACGTACAACCGGGGATTCGAAACCGCGCCAGTCGACTCAATGACAGACTTTATGATACAGCGCGCGCACGCTAACCATTCAGCCATCCAACCCCCCTGTAACAATTATAACAATATAACTTTAATATATAACTTTATTATATAACTATAACATTTATTCACTGTATATATAACTATAGCAATATATATAAATATTTACTATATCTAAAACAATATATAAATATTGGCTATATCTATAACAATAACATATATAAATGTTGTAACAAAGTACTCTATAACTTTCATCAAATTGAATTGAACGGTCATTTAGGTGCTTAGAACTGTATGAGCTCAGTTGAATTTTGATAATATATTATGTTGACTTTTCAACTCTGTATAAACTTCTGTTAAGGCACGGACTGGCGATGATCTAAATAAACATGTAATTAATCCCATATGTCATTTACAAACCACATATGATCTGTGCACACTTCAAAGGAATACGCACTGGTCAGTAAGCATGCCATGACGAGATAAAAGAGACTATTACATGTATGACCATGAGCTTATCTATTATCCGAGGGTATATAAGAAGACAACTAAAGACGGGCAGAGACAGGGCAGAGAGAGACGGAGAGACCGGCGTATGGACTCAGAGGGGCAGAATGGTGGATTTAACATAGATATATGTGTTACTGTGGTACTCTAGTACCTGTATATAGTTTAAGTACCCGTGTGATCTCTGTTATCACTAAGATAGTGTTACAATATAAATATTCACTATATGTATGGCAATGTATTAATATTCACTATATCTATGACAATATAACATCGAACCCTGGGCCCCCAGGTTAGCGAGACAGCAAATAACATACCGATCCACCGTGGCTCCTGTCTTTATTATAACAATTTCAAAAATTTCAGATCATATCATGTCATCTTAAACAAGACTATACAACGAATTATGGTGGCTGATTGGTATTATGTCGTGATGTAGACCTTCATAAGACGACAACCCGACATAACAACATTTTAAGACATGAACATGTGGCTCCCGAAATTTGGTGTGAAACACTGACACAATGATAGGATGATCTCTATCGATTTTCCCTGGACAGTGGGATTTCGTCATCGAATTCCAACTGTGAAGGGTTCTTTGTGCACGCTAATGTGTACACAGACGCTTTCGTTTTTTTTTGTCCCATCTACACAACTAAACACTGTTCTTTGTTAGCGCCGCGTCCCCCGGTTTCGGGGATGGAGTGTTTCTGACAGGTATTTCGCCCCTTGGGTTCCGACGAAATTCTAAAACGTTTCTCACGATTTCACACACAGAACTTGATGGTTCTCAATTTAGCTTCTTCCGTCACCTTTATCAGCTCTATATAGTCAGAATAAACCTTCTGAAATCATGACCAAAACAAAGGCTCACCAGAATTGGAATAAAATCTTCCTGAATTATCAGCATGCTTACACTTTTATAACCAAACACCATACACCGAGATTATGTAAGACTAAGTGATGGACAGGGAACTGGGAAAATCGATAAGGCCCACCCTCTCATTGTCCCAATGCCTGACATCGAATATGAACCTGCAGTCTATATCGCGTCGGGTTTTTTTGCAAAACTTTGGTAACTAGAGACCGGAAGGTCACTATTGCTTCCGCAAGGTTTTCGAGGGAACATAACTCCGGAACTGAAGGTAGCGGAATGCTGATTATCGATAGGATTCGTGCTCTAATTCGTCACACTACACTGAGAAAAAAAAGTGGGTCAAAAATGAGTAAAACTTACTCATTTGGGTGAGTTATGAGAAAATACTCAGCTAGATGAGTCTTTTGACTCAGATTGGGGGCAAACAGGTCAGCTATGACTCAGTTCATTGAAACTTGCATGGACACTTCGAGTCGCCAACTAGTCACTTCCGAGTTATTTAATAATCAGTGTTGAATTTGTCATAAGTGAGTCACAGCCTGGTCAAGAGTGAGTCCTTCCGGTGAAATGAATTGAGGGTAGAATTTTTGGCGGCCGTTTGACGAAGACTGGACGCTTATTGACCTAAAGGAAAATCCAATGCATCTACAAGTATCTACCGTAAAAAGGTGAATCATTTGTGTTTTTATGTTATGGATAAAGCTTTATATTATGTTTACTATTATACAGATTAAGCGGCATAATATATGAAATAGGCCAATGATTTTGAATTTCATTAAAAATTGAAATTTAGATTTATTAAATCTATAAGAAATTATTATTATCCAGTTAGTGATTTATCTGGAAATCTTTAACTGCATGGTATTAGAACAAATTACATAAGGAAATGTCACTATAGGCCTAAAGTACAAGCACATTGGCCTAGGCTTAGTTACTAGGCTAATACGATTGAGTCAAAAGCGAGTCGCCATGTAGTTCATAAATGAGTCACAGCTACTTTACAAAAAGAGTAGGAAAATAAGTAAATACTAAATCACAACTGGGTCAATAATAGATCACTGTTTTTTGTCAATAATTTGGTAGGATTTTCGTACGTCTAACAGGCTTAAACTAAACATGACAGATGCATTATTAAGACTTAGAGCTAAATCTGCCTATTACACGTCTTTATTTTGGTTTCAAATCTTATATAAACTATTATTTAGACGATTATTCACATGACAAAACAATAATCAACTCTCTAGAACATCGAGTGGCAGAAGAAATTTAAATGGATCAGAACGCCCTGATATTTGAAAATTTAACGACGAAATGGATAATCGAGATGTACTCACGTTTGTCCAGTACCGTTGCTTCGATAATATAACAAAAACTACGCTACGTCTTCTGGCACGCATAACTTCGCTCAGAATGAAGTAATTTGAATGAAATTTTCAATATTTTCATTTTTCATTGTCTATTTTTGTACTATTATAGCAAGAACGGACAACTCTTTATAGAATTCTTAGATAATGCATCTTAAATGGTCTGTCAGGGTTTTGCAAGTTTTTGTGATATGTTACTGATACCATATCTCACATAAAGCGCTTCGCAAATTCTCTTGTAAGTTGTGCTGTTTTTTTCTTTCAAGGCTGGCTGGATGCTACTGTTAAAGCAGTTCAACTTTATTAAAAGAAGACATAAATAAAATGCTTTGTCCCACAGAAATGGTAAGTAAAGTAGACTTTTAAGTTTCACTTAATTCTGAGGGATGTGTGTAGTGTTATTTGACATTTAAACCATTTAAACATCAGCTGTAACTGTAAATATGATTAAAACACCGAGGTGTTTATGTTAATCTGAGAAATTTGTCATTGTATCATTGCAGAAACCAGAGAAGGTGATATCATGGATAAATAAACAACTTATGGAATTGGAAATGCGAAAGATTTCTTGGACTTTTCAAATGATAATGTGTTTTGGGAACATTAAACTGATTCTTAGTGATTATTTACTATGTCTGTATGAATTAAATACAAATGTATTTTATAATATTTAAGTTGGTAGAATAAAATACTTATATATTCGATAATAATGATCATACAGGCTTGGAAATATAATATTATTATGTTATTTGATTGTTCGGTTAACTAGTTGGTTAGTTCAAAAGACGAACGCACCATTACACCGATGCAGAGGTTGATACATCAAACATAAAGTTAATAGGATTCGGGCTTGTGCGGAGTCATTTGACTCGTTGTGTAGGCTAGTAATTTGACTCGTATCTATTTGCATTGATTCACTTTACTAGTCATTTGACTCACTACAGTTAGTTGCGTTACTCATCTGTTGTGTCAAATGACTCAATAAAGTAGTCAAAGAACTCACTTTACCAGACGAGTCACTTGACTCATTTAACGAGTCGTTTTATGGATTTTTGGGTGAGTCACAAAAATGAGTCTTTGGACTTATTGTTTGAGTCTTATGTTAGTCAACGAAAAGTGAGTCGTTTTATGGATACTTACTCAAATGAGTCAAATGACCCACTTTTTTCTCTCTGTGTAGAAAGCTCATAAACTTTGTTACGCTTTGTGTATGTAAGGCCATAACCGTTGCACCAAAATCGAATTCAACCAAGATCTTTTCATCCTCAACATTTAAAACGGGCAAACAATAAGGCACAAATTAATGTAAAACCGTGGCCGCATAAAAATGTACTTCATTTACAGGTTTGTATAGTTAGCTGCGTATCAGTATCATCGGCAGTCCAAAGAAACGTCCAAAAGCAGACGAACCGTCACTGTAACTTCCAGTCGACTACTTGCGTCATCAACAGCTTTATTTTCAGACATTTACAAACAAAACACGAAATTTAAACGAACTCGAATTCAGTGACCGGTGATCACAATGATTGCTAATGACACAATTACTAAATTTCCTCATGTAGGCTAATCTTTTCAGATTCACAAGGATACATACCATCTTTTCAACCCGACAATTCGCCATTAGTTTAGTTTAGTTTAGTTTAGTTTATGATGCCATGATATATATACATGTATTATGATCTGAAATTTTTGAAATTGTTATAATAAAGACAGGAGCCACGGTGGATCAGTACGTTATGTGCTGTCTCGCTAACCTGGGAGCCAAAGGTTCGATCCCGGTGCTAGCCGAAAAAGTACTTGGGGATTTTCCGGCGTGGATTTTCTTTGCCAGTGGTACAGGCCGGAAGTACTGGCAAGGTACAGCTTCTCGCCGTTCGGATGGGACGAAACCCGAAGTCTCGTGTACACATTGGCGTGCACGTAAAATACGAGTAAGCCGTAGCTATATTAAGCGATGTTATGAACTTGAATGTGAATTGATATTCAAATTGATGATTTTGTAAACTAAATATATCAATTAAAGAATCCGCGATATAAATTATATTCCCAAAACAATATCTATATAAATAAAATAAAAAATGTCTATGTGTGTGTGTGGGGGGGGGGGGGGTCGTCCATCACGCTTCGTCGTCGCAATCCACCCCCACATAATGTGGTATCAAATTAACCAGCATGACCCCGTGAACGTTGCAGGTATCAAATTGACCATTTAAAATTCATTCAAGCCGTCCTAAAATCATATACTTAACAAAAATAATTCTTTTTAAATATTCTACACTTTGGTTTCATCGACACCTCCATCTTGGAACTACTCCGACCATGCCACAAGAGGGCGACCTTCGGTTATAATTTTTTCATGACTAGTGGTCAAATTATTTTTTAGATACGACAAAATTCCTTGTGATTTGACTTCACATTTTGTATAGCATAAGTATTGAAATAAAATTCGGATTCAGTTAGTTCGACCATAGTCAGGAAGGCCCTAGCCCTGATTACCTGCCGGGGCCCGGATATAACCTGACGGTGACGATAGCCTCAAACGGAACGAGGACGGGCCGGGGCCCAACGGCGCTATGTCCCGGGCAGACAGGTGGCTTATAGTTTTTAATTCCACCAATTTTTCCAAAAAAAAGTGAACTGACTGAATCCGAGGCTAATTCCACCCACATTCAGAAAAGTCACCGGTTTTCTTCTTTCTTTATGATCAAGTAACAGTGTATTTTTTATATTAATTTATACCAACAATATTTAAAAAAAAAAACCCCAACAACATTACGCGGCATACCTCCGGGCCCCTCTTGGCTACGGGCCCTTGGACAAGTGTCCCAGCTGCCCTCTTCCTCCTCTCACAGGCCGGGGGAGGGCGAGGGGAGACATTAAACCTAAACCCAGAAAATGACCATGTTAAACATGAAAAGTCGATTGCTTTTATTCTGTTCGCTGTTTTGGTTTTTTTTTTCTTACCTTTTTTTTATTGAAGCAAAAAAAAATAAAATAAAAAACCTTTGGCCCAGAACTTATAGTATTTGCCCGAAAACAAATTCAAGGAAGGGGATAATATTTACCGAAGTGTCAAACAGTAAACGGTTTGACGGTTGTAAAACTATTATTACATAAGCGTTAACAGTTAACACCTTGTATACAATTCTTAGTTAGTCATCATCGCTTGTTTGACTAATTTATGATCATGCGCTCTTTGATTCCCCAGCTCACACCGAAACAACGCCCAATACACAAAATATTACCCATGTTAACCAACCACAGAACAGAAAATCCCCACATGTCAAAATTTCGCGAAAGTGAGGCTGGTTTGACAGTCCGCTTCGGTGTTCAGAAGTTAAAGTAAGGAACAGTTCGAAGATGTTACTGAAGTGGTTCTCATGATTGTCAGCGCATATTTTCGATGTTAGAAGATTTACTCCAGAAGCGGAAAATGTGCTAAGCCGTTAAGTAAGTAATCCAGGTTTTATTTTTAACAAAATAATAAAGTTAGGTTAGTTCAAGTTTAATAATAATTGGACTTGAACTTGGAACTGGCCTGACCACATGAGGCTGACAGGAAACTGGACCATCTGAACTTTAAACAGGAAAAAAACTCTGAAACTGAAAGAAAAAAAAAGATTAATAATTTCTCCTCCTATTAGGTTAAAATTATAATTATATTACTTCCCAGCCACCTTACTGAAACCAGACAACCTTACTGAGTTATTCTTCAAACATTGTAGGCCTGTTTCCAATACAAACAAACAAGCACCCTAAAAGTTCTTGAATCGAAAATCGTGCGGCATAAGTTGATCATCAACTGGATGGTAGTTTTCGAATCATGAAAATATCAAAAAAAAAAAAAAAAAAAAAGGATTGAGGCATAACATTTAATGAATAATTTTAATTTCATCGCAGTGAATATTGTTTTTTAAAACTGTTATTGTGTGGTTATTTACTTCTATTTGTATTTTCAGTATTAAGAGTAAAACTAGGCTACCTAATAATAAAAGATATTAGGCCTATAATCAAGATGACCAATTCCTTTATGCAACATGATGTGGAAAATCTTCTTCTCAATAAATTTGTTGTCATTATTGGAGATTCAGGTAATTAATAGACCTATGACTATGAGATAAACTGAGATGACCAATTAAGGTTACTGAATTTGACATAGGCCTGTGTGTGTATATAACTCTGGTGTGTAACCTTGTTCAAAGTTTTACGAGACATGGGAAATATCTATCACATTGTAATTGTTTGTTCTTGGCATTTTAGCAGCATATTTTATGTTCCATGTTTCAAGAAAATAATTATGCAGAACTGTAACTCTATGTTTTGAAATATTTGCCAAATGTGACACATATGGGTCAAAAAATCTAAACCCAGTTTTGCAAAGATTGTAATTACAGGTCTGGCTGAGGTTTTCAAACTGTCCGAGATTGTTCTTCTAGTTGCATTGTAGGCTATATTTTTATATGGAGTGTTATTGCCCCTCAGGTCAATGAAACTTAGTAAATAGGAAAAACCTGTCAAAATTCAGAACCAGGAATCTTTTTGTTGCAAATTTATGGGCTCTCATTAACATCTTGTATAAATTTGACAGATCAAGTGTGTTGTCCGCTGCCATTTTGTTCTAAAAAAGGATGAATCTCGGTACCCAAGTTAAGTCTCTCATAAAAAAATGTTTATGAAGCTGGGGATATCTAAAGTTTGATTAGCATTATGTGTATTTTTTTTTCTAATTAACAGTTCAAAGAGGTGTTTATAAAGATTTAGTGATGCTCTTAACAAAAAACAAGTATTTAACAAAAGGCCATTTAAGAGCCAAGGTAAGTTTTTCATGTATTTTGTATGGTTGTGATTTTTTTTTTCATATGCCTATATATCATGTTGATATAGACCTATATTTCCCCCACCACCATCTGTCTTGGTTAACAGTCCATGAAACACTTGGATAATGTTAGAGATTTTCACATGCTCACATTTAAATACATCATACATGACTTTATATTGTCACAAGTTCATTGGAATGACATTCTTTCTCATTTTCTTGTAAATTTTTCAAAACTTAGATGGTATAGTTGTAATATCAGAAGGATGATCTTGATCAAATATCAAACCTTGTCCTCTAATATTTACTGTCTTTGCTCAAAATCATGTAAAGTGCTGTTAGAAAGGAAAGATGTCAATGAATTTTGTGAAAACTTGCACTGTTTTAATCACATTATGTTATTCATTGATGAATGAATCCAATTGTTGAATATCTATGAAGTTGTTTATGGTAAAAAACATGTCAAAGTTTCTGGTTAATTTACTTAAATGAGTATATATTTGTATTATATTCCAGGGTGAATACACATTTGAAGGGGATGAACTGATCGAGGGTGGATGCCGAGGGAAAATGACAAATGGTATTAATTATCGAGAAGTTCGTCAGTATAACTCTGGAGATCATCTGATCAGATTTTATTTTGTGACTAGGTGTTACAATAATTATGTTGAAAGTATTTTATTAGATTTAAAACAAGAGCCTTATCCTGATGTTGTCATTATGAATTCCTGTCTCTGGGATATAACAAGGTTTGTATACTATTGATAACATTAATGGAACATATATTTTTAAATGAAAAATAGAAATGTTTATATAATATTAATTAAATAGAAATTGGTGATTCTTTGTGTTGGTATATTTCTAGTTGTATAAATTAAATTCCATGTCATGGATTGACCTGTAAAACAAAAATTAAATGCTAAATTAAGAAGTTGAATTTAACCTGTCGCTAGTCAAATTAATTTCAGTTAGCATTTTTGTTCTCCAGCATAAAGAAATCATGATAGCTTGGTGCATGTGATGCTGGCTCAATAACCAAGAGGTCCTGGGATCGATTCCGGATGTTGACTGAAAAAGTTCCTTGTGATTATCCAAACTTTTTCCTTAAGGAGGATGGGTCAAGGAAAAGTGACTAACCATTTGCATATAATGAGAAACCGAGGTCAGAGGGCATACATATCGATTTTGTTTTTGGGGGGCAGGGTGTTTAGCAAAAATGAGACTGACTGATGCACCGGCCCCTAATAGTATACAAGTGCATGCATGCACTTTGGGGGAAGATTTTTATACGTCCACATTTTCATATGGACATATATTGTCGTCGCCCCCGTCCGTCCGTCCACAATTTGTTTGTGAACCCTCTACAGGTCACAATTTTTATCCGAATTTGACAAAACTTGAAATATAGGTCTATCTTCCAAAGATCTTGGCTCCTTTCGATATTGGCATGTACCGGACCATAACTTCATGGATTTAGATTATGGCCCCTTATTGTACGAAAAATCACGTTTTTAACTTGTGGACACTATAGAGGTCACAATTTTGGTCCGATTTTGATGAAACTTGAAATGCATGTTTATAACCCAAATATCTTGTTTCATTTCGATATTCGCGCGTATCGGATCGTAACTTTCTGAATTATGGCCCCTGATTGTACGAAAAGTCGCGTTTTTAGCTTGTGGTCCCTCTAGAGTTCATAATTATGACCCGATTCAAAAAACGGTTTGAATATATCACCCTAAACCGTAATGTTGGTTGAGTTCGAATTTCATGAAAATCAGGTTAAAACTGCCAGACAAAATTTGTATCCAATTTTGATGAAACTTAAAACATATTTTTATATTTATATCCCAAAGATCTCAATCCCTTTTGATATTTGTCCCTCTAGAGTTCATAATTATGATCCGATTTAAAAAACTGTTCGAATATATCACTGTTACACCGTAATGTCGGTTGAGTTTGAATTTCATGAAAATCAGGCCAAAACTGCCAGACAAAAATTTTTATCCAATTTTGATGAAACTTAAAACATATTTTTATATTTATATCCCAAAGATCTCAATCCCTTTTGATATTTGTCCCTCTAGAGTTCATAATTATGATCCGATTTAAAAAATTGTTCGAATATATCACTGTTACACCGTAAGTTAGAATTTCATGAAAATCAGGCCAAACTGCCGGACAACTTATGAAAGTGATAATACATGGGCCTATATCGTCGATATATTGTTGTGGTGAATAAACATAGATATATGACATTGTCCTCATATTTTTATTAAACGTCTGCGCTTAGTCACTTTTGACCACCGATCGGCGAATTTGTCAATTGTGTCCTTCAGGTCACATTCACACACAAGAGTCGATAGTTCATTATTGAACGCATAACAGTTTTTACTAATTTGAGCTTTGAAAATCTGGCTTGTATTGTGATATCCAATCAATGCAATCATACCTATACACAGATATATTCATACATACATGTGTTAGGTATTTGGGATTTTTCCTTTCTATTTTGGCATTGTTTGTTAACCTCATTAATTCATTTAGTCATCGATGCATAATTTTAAGTGGATGAAACCTCATTTCTTCTTCAAGTTTAATATTAATACAGATGCTTACAGACAGTAATAAATATTTTTCAGATATGGTCGAGACGCAATCAACGAATATAAAGAAAACCTTCAGAAGACAGTAAAGAGATTTAAAGATGTTTTAAATGCTGATTGTTTATTTATATGGAATTGTACCCTACCTATTTCCAGTAACGCTCGTGGTGGCTTTCTTATACCTGAAGTATCCTTTATGAATAGCACCCTCCGTTTGGATATCATCGAAGCCAATTATTTTGCAAGAGAAGTTTTTGTTAAAAAGAGTTGTGATGTTTTGGATTTGCATTTCCACTTGCGAAATCAGTTGCATCGACGCACTGCAGATGGCATACATTGGGACTATACAGCACATCGTAGGATTACAAACCTAATTTTGAGTCACATAGCAAAAGCATGGAATGTTAAGCTGTCAAGACGACTAAAAAGAATTCAAGACCTTGACTTCAACCAGGCCAAGGATGATATTGAACCTTATGATTATTACCCGCAAGGTTACAAACGTAATGTTATGGATTATGGAAAGGAATATTCAAGCAATGGCTACGGTCGAAGCGACATGGAATATTCAAACAATGGCTACGGTCAAAATGACAACTACTCAAATTACCGAAGATCTCGCAAATCAAGAAATAAAGGTAATGTTGACCATCTACTTGAACTCGGTGGATTACAGGAAAACTTTGAGTCTAATCCCAGTTTTAGGAGAGTCACTATCCATCCGTTGGCAAATGAAAGTTGTTATAAGAATAGAAATAAAAACTCAAATGACCTTCATCATCAAGGTAATCATTTTGGCCCTATTCGTCATGTTAACCGACATAATCGCCATCCGTACATGTATAAGAAAGCTCGCTGATTAAACAAACAAGTTTGGTGAGATATATGTATTACAGTAGTTGGACAAGTAAAATAGAAAGAAAGATTGAGAATGATAGCTAATTAGATATTGTCAGATAACATTTTAAAACTTGTGATTAATGTATACGTTGTGGACTTTGTATGTTGAAAAATACATATATAATAACTAGTCAAAGTTGATATGATTTGTGCCATTAAAGAAATGTGGAGTACTGAAAACCTCACAATCATATAGTGCTGCAAATAAAAATTTTGTTTGCATAATTTACATGTCTGTTTTAGGACATGATAGAATTCTCTTTTTATTTCTTGTTATGTAATGTATGTATATTATGATTTCCTTGAGAAGTTTGTATCAAGGATAAGCAAATATTGGCAAACAGCCTTAGATATATTTGAATTTATTTACTGTTTTTGCTTTTACACATATTTGAGGTATTTGTGGTGCTATTAAATGTAATATAAGAAGAGATAAGAGTGACTATGAAGACCTGGTTATCCTGGGTGTCATTGTATTGAACTCTTCAGACTGATTGGATTCATGTGACAGGCTTTTTATATACTATTCCGAAACCCTGGTGGGGTTTCCATCGTTGGTCTCTTGGTGGGGTTTGCAAATTTGGTCTCTTGGTGGGGTTTGTGAATTTGTTACTAGGGGCGGTAGCTTGCTTTCTGGGGTTGTACAGAGGTTTAACAACTGATGGTTTAGATTGAAGTGCTAGTGTCCATAATTTTTTTGGTTGGTTTGTAACATTGTTACTTGTTATAACAATAAAGGGAGGCAACACCCGTTTGAGGATTATAAGGCTAAATATAAATCCAAAGTTGGAACTGTCAGGGGTAGAGAATTGTATAGCAAAAATAAAAATGGTTGGGGTGCCCAAGTTTAGATTTGTCGTTGATTTCATAAAGTATAGTAAACCCCACATAAGTGGAATCTTCACTGTACTTGGATAAGATTGTACGAAATACTTTCCAGGAAATTTTAGGATATTTTTCAAAGATGGCAACAAAACGGAAGTTATCTACTCTCACATACGAACAAAAGCTTGAAATGTGTCTTTGAATCAATTATTATCCGGCTCTTGCAGTTTATTTCTAACCAAGCTAAGATTGAATTTCGGTCTTTGGCTAACTCGAATCTTTGCTTAACTCGGATAAAATTGGTCAGTCCACTTAGATCTGACTTACTGTAGTTAGGTTTTTATGGAATCAACAACACATCTAAACTTGGGCACCCCAACCATTTTTATTTTTTCTATAAAATGTAGTTGAAATTGTTCATGTTATTTAGGACTGCTGAGATTTGGTCCTGTATTTGATAGTAGTATCAGTGCTGGACACAGGAGAGAAATTTAAGCTCCTTAAAGCTATAACTGAGAATGTGTACCAGGTATATTAGGTGTTCATTCATGTATTATTGTTATAGTTGATTTTATGCATATTATCTAATCATTCCATACTATTAATTTATAATTATTCTGTTCTTTTGTAATACTTACATATATAGTAGTAAATGTATTTCATTGAATCTACTCTTTTTTTTAATGTCCTTATAATGTCTAATATCTAATCATTCAATGCTATTACATTCTAATTATTCTGTTCTTTTGTCATACTTATAGTAGTAAATATATTTCATTGAATCTACTCTTTTTTTTTCTTTTTTTTTAATATCCGTATTTCATGCAGGAGAATGTTGTGGGTAATCTTGTCCTGGTATCCTTCCACTATTCTTATTGCAGGCTCTACAGATCAGTGTTTTAAGATTTTTACGCCTTGTAAAATTCAAAGTTGTGCAACGGTTTATAGGGTTGTATAGGGTGCATTGTATCACACGGTGATCTCTTAATTACTTAATCAATCCAGCCTATTATCAAAGATAATTCGGTTGAGTGGTAGATATGCATTCAGTACCCTATATTAATTTTGGAATTTGAATATTATTCACAATGTCTTGACGTCGAATTGGGCCTATTCCGACAGGTATGTCCGGAATATACGGTAAAACTTCTTTTGTATTGAAAAGCTGTGCTATTGTAAAATTAGACAAGGTGGGCAGTTATTAGAGCAGGGTGATTATTATATTATTACCTTGGATACAATATTAGCACTAGTTATTTTGTTCATAAAAGTAATGCAGCAGTTAAAGGGAAATAACTCTATTTTTCAAACAAATATCTACTTCCTATCAAAACAAAGACACATGGCAGTGTTGGTATGACAAAATCTGATCTGTACTTTAAGTGGCCTATCTATTTACTATCCAGTGACGTCTATTGTGTACCGTCTACCACATGATGATGAGGGCAGTAGGAGTGAACTGAAATATGAATAAGTTGTCTTTATACTAATAAAAAAAATGTGCGCTAGTATTGTTGATTATCCGAGTAGTGACAGTACTGAGGATGAAAATGAATCTTCCGCCGAGCCAGTATCCAGGCCTACTTCAAATGCAAGTGAAAGTACAGAGTCGACTAATAAGAGGAAAAGTTCAAATGAAATTCAATCCCCAGTAGAGATTAAAAGGTAAAATATTGTCTCCACAAGTAACAAATCAAACCATTCATTTTGCTTGTAGTTTTCAGTTTTAAAAAAAAAGTAGCTCCATTTATTTCCCCTACCCCCCAAAAAATGTTTTATATTTTAATAGATAAGCAAAATGACTATTTGTTAGCAATTGAACCATGCATATAACCTACAGCTCTTTTAGAGCAATACAGTAGGAAAACTGTTGAAAATTACGATAGAATTTTTAATTATGGTGTTGGCACACTACTCCTTTCTATTTTATGGCATAATGCTCAGCTCAGGATAGCCTACATGTAAGGCCTTCACATCTGCAATTCTTAATATATAGCTATAAGTGGAACATGGGTGTTAACTTACATGATTTAATACACGATTGGTACCTGCAATGCCTATACACAGGGATAATGTTGAAAAATTCTGCCTAAAGGAAAAACTAGACTGTGTATTGTTATGTGATCACTTTATGAATTGGTTGTAGTAGTCCTAATCTGGCCTATATTTTTGTAACAATGTCATTGTACAGTACATAGATTGGAACATGCAGGTTGGTCTCTACGGTGTGATTTATGGACTGTGAAATAACGTTTAATATTGTTGCAAGATTCCAGTAGCCATAGATGTTAAAAAAAGATATCATTGGATTAAAGTGATTGCAAATCGGACATTTATTTTCAGACAGAAGATAAAGAATATAAAGAAGAATTTGTTACCATTACCTGATTCTATACAAACAATGTTTAAAGATGACAAGAGACATGATGATGATAATAGTCAACATGGTGGAAGAATTAGATCTTTTCAACATGTGGCTGGAAACTGGGCAACATATGTTTATATTCCATGTAAGTCATTTTTAAATGTTGTCCCTTATTTTCAGGAAGTAATGTTTACTACAGATAAATAAATGACTTACAACACAAACAGATCCAGAAAGTTAAAGTTATTACCACTCACTTCGTAAATAAATTTTAACAGGTTGTCAGAGGAAAATAATTGCAGACCTTGGTCGTTTCATTTAGCATTGGTTTGGAAAAGCTTCTTGAAAAACTGTAGGTAATATTGATGATGTGGCAATATTGATACATATGATTTGATTTTTTTTTCAGTTCCTTCAGATGAAAGATTTGATGATTTTGTTCAAGAACTGATGACATGTCTTCAAGATTTAAAATTTGAGAAAATGTCTGATTACCATGTTAGTTTATCAAGAACTGTAACAATCAGGCATCACTGGATTGAATCACTTACACAATCTTTAAAAATCAAACTAATGAACTTTAATAGGTAAATAAATGCCAGTTAACTTATATACAATGTTTAAATAGCTGTGATAATAATGGTGGTGATAAAGGACTAATGCGCTAAGATAATAAAAATGAAAATAAGACAACTTGTCTGCGATATCACCCTGGGTTGAAGCGGACATTAAACACCAGATCAAAAGCAATTTAGTAATTGACATGGATGCCTGATTACATTATTGTTCATTGATTGTAAATAAGAATTGTTTTGGATTCTTTACATTGGTGTCTTATATTAAGGCACAAAGCAGGTTTCCCCTGATGCCTCCTCAGAAATTACCAACAATGGAGACCTGGAGTTTCGATTCATTTATATATCATTTCTGAATCACTAGATATTGACTCATACTTTTATGATAAATTTCAGATTTATATGTAGTACAGCAAATTTTAAATTTTATACAAATGATGAAAGAACAAGGTAAGTGTAATATTTTACAGGAATGTAAACACTGAGAATGTATACATTGTGTGTGGTTTATCTTCGGTATCAAAAGCTAATGTTGTTAATCTTTTTTTTTTCGTTCTCTCCTGCACATAGACCAAGAACATTGGATTTTTATGTGCTGGCATGATATATCATTGAATCAATATATAGCAATTCACCTACTCATGATTTGCATATTGAATCGTGAGACACTGAATCGATTTGTCACAATTATATTTTATGTTTTGTTGTTGCTTCAGTAAGTAACCTTTCACTCTTAATTATCCACATCACATATTATCAATAGGTACACAAGCACTCTTAAAATGTTTTGTTCCTTATTTTGATCCACATCAGTATCCTGATATAAAACAGTTTTATTTCTACAACTTCAGGTTTCGAGTTCACAAAACATTCTCAGAATTGAATTAAGAGTTTACTCAAAATTGTTCGCCTTATTTTAACTAAAATATAGCCCTTTATAAAACTTTTGTTGTTTTAATATATCAAATACATCAATAAGAAACTATGTGCAAAGTTTTGTGTTTGTGGATCAAAGATATTTCTCATAAACAGTGACTGAAAGTTTAGTAAATTCTTAACTTAAATCTGAGAATACTTTGTGAACTTGGGACCAGCAGGATTAAATTTTATCACCATCCATATCCTGTTGTATTCTTGGTAAATACTGACCCGGATATCAATCCTATGTAGCACCTGAATCACAATACGTATCATATCGTAACTGCAGTGGCAATACCCAGTACTAGAAAATACACAGTATGATGTATCAACATCTTCATTAGGCGGGTTGGCGCAGAACAGTTGCACATGAAAACCCATTCCAAATAAATGATATTTGTAATTGTGAAAATAACGTATTACCAATTATTACTGATAATATTTATATTTCAGAACATTTCTTAGTTTACAAGTGTCTGATTTGGGTGAGAAATTAAAACAACTGACATGTATAGTAGATGAAAGTTTTCAGGAATTTAATCTAGATAAATATTACAAGGTACATATACATAAATATATCTTTTTGCAGTGGGGGGGGGGGGATTAAGGCAAAGAGTAACACCTGCAGGGCTGGCAAATAAAATGTGATACTTTCTTGGTATAAAAGAAGACAGACAGAAACCCCAAGTTTTTTTCTGCCTTAAATTTCACATCTAACCAAAAGGATCAAATAAAAAGTCTATGTCTCTAAATGGTCTGGTAATAGTAGTGATAAGACACTAAATCTTATTGAATTTCCAAAACAGTCATGTGGTTATTTAGTCCATTGTCCCCATCCTCTGATCATATGGCCCCCCAGTCCATCTTGAAACCATACATTTGCACATAGAGAACCTGTTGCATAATATTAAATACTTCATTATTTTCCAATCTATTTTCTTTTTATTAGAATCCATCATATCATATAAGTATAGGCTGGTGTTTAGGGGATGTACTAAATAAAATAACTGACAGCAAACAATCAGAAATACAGGTGCAGTTATTACTTTTATATTTGATGTACTTTCACATTGTGTTGATTGGTTGCGAAAGGCAGGGCATATAAAGATCCCATGCTCTTTGGGTTTTAAAAGTGTTAATTTCATCTTAATAAAAGGATGTACCAGTATAACAATTAATTATGCTAATAACCCCCTGATTCATTCACTTTATATGATACATGCGTTTGTTGTTTGAGGTGTCTCTATATATTGTGTGTCTTGTCTGTAGGTTTATCTTGTGTAATTGTTTATGTGTGGTGCGGTCGTAATGTATTTACTACTATAGTTAATAATCCTTAAGTGGCATTTAGCGATTGGAAAACACATTAATAGAACACAATTTTTATGGGAAACAATCACTGGTTTATTCTAAAAGCACGATGTTTCGACAAGTATCCTCTTATCGTTATTGTGCTTGATAACGATAAGAGGATACTTGTCGAAACGTCGTGCTTTTAGAATAAACCAGTGATTGTTTCCCATAAAAATTGTGTTCTATTAATACTATAGTTAACTTGGCTGAACTACCAGTTATTGTGTATAGAGAAATGATATTTACATAAAATATCCTGTTAACATATACATTTGTATATTTGTAACCATATACTATATGACCCATGATATGTAAATGATATTTACATAAAATATCCTGTTAACATATATATTTGTAACCATATACTATATGAACCATGAACCGACTAAGTTCTATAATTGTCCAAAAAAACAAGCATGCCAACTTTCATGTGCATCATACTCCAATTTGTCTGCGATATCACGCTAGCTGAAAGTGGACATTACGCCCCATGAACAAACATACTCTGATCGGCAGTATGGAATCAGTATCAGGTTAAAGAAGTACAAGCATAGTATGGACCAGAAACTGAGCATGACGACATCAGCTATTTTGGAATTGGGACATTGTATTAACAGTCGATCAATGCACAATTGTCCAGATAACAAGCATGCCAAGTTTCATATGGATTGGAATTAAATTGGCTGTGCTTCGGGCTTATTTCAAAGAGCATGACCCCTAGAAGAAAAAGTACAGAGCATTGGGACCAGGTCCTGGTCCAAACTGACCTGTGTAAACTCTTTTACAGCATGTATGTTTGTTGCTTATTTTTCAGGATATGCTATCAAAATTTATAGTAGAAAATGAAGATTTATCTTATATAGATGTGCATGAAATAAAGTGTAAAACTGGTAATAAAGTTTTTACTTATCACATGTTAAACAGTTGATGTACCTTGATGTATAACTCATGATGAGGATGTGTTACAGTGATTGTCTTGGGGAAACACAAGGAACAGTGGGCTTAAGGACTGCCAGGAACCAGTGTATGAGAGTGGAATAATCACTTCCATGTTGATTTTGAACATGAATCATTCATATTTTGTGCAGGACAGAATGAGGAAACAGTCAGTGGACTTTTTTTAGGTGCCAGGAATACCAAGTTTCAGGAATACATTTAAATAATATGTTCTAACTAAAGATCTAAAAAAAAAAACCGATCTATATTTATATCTTTTATTTTTTATTATACAATGTGAAAAAAACCTTTGTTGTATATAATTAAAATGGTGGATAAATTATATTGAAAATGTCAATTATTTTGTTTTGTAATGTCTTTTCACTATCAATGAGATATTGATTTTAGTCTCTGTAGTCACGTTAATAATCAATTATATATCAGTATTACTTCAATTAGAGCACTTTCAAATTCAGTTCTTTTCTGAATGCATCCCATTCATTGCATTTCTCACTCAGATTGTATTCCATTTCTGGGACTTACACAGGCCCTTCAGCAATATTTACTGTCAACTGACTGATGTATACATGCGATCTTATCAGTGTATAATTTGTCCATTTATCCGTGGTTTATAACCATTTCATTACACTCTGTATACACGATGCACATGTCAATCGGAATATAACGTGACTGTATCTTCAATATGCGGTATAAATATTGTTTTGTCACCATTCATTACCTGCCACGTCATCGTCAGTGTGCGGTATGTGAATTCCATGCCTAGCTAACACGGCCGTCATTCGTAACTCAATTCTAGCCCGTAAAATACAGAATTCTGTTTCTTTTCTTGTACTATATTCTCTATACATTTCAATAACGGCATCACAACTTTGGTATCGTCTCTGCAAGCTATTTAATAACACCTCGTCCCCGTCGCGCACAGCTCTGTTAAGCCTTACTTCAATACCTTTCATACGATCTGTTAAAAGCAGGATTTGTTCACATGACCGTTGAAAACAGAAAGCTACGCGTTGGACCTCGTTGCTTAATTTCTTTAAACATGAAGTACAAGTGCCACAGGTAGAAGACGACGACATACTTGGGTTGAGGTATACCTATATATAAATACAATTTCCAAAAATGAGCCTGACCAAGGGCACGGCTTTTAAATTGTGCAGGCGGTGGTTGTATATTTATGTCATTACCACACATACCCGGATTAGGATTATCAATAGATTAACAATTTCCGCTTCACGCTACACCAGCAATGTGATTATTACAATACACACAAGTTTATTTGTATGTATTTATCAGTTTATTTCACTTACCATTGTTTTTATATCAATCTAAAATAAATCCGGAAACTGTTATTAATTGCGCTAGAGCAGTTACCAAAATCGAAGTTGAGTGTCACACGTTACGATCAACCAATCATATTTTATTTCTTAAACAAAAATTATTTGTGCATTTATATCTTTTAAAAACCAACGAAACAAGTCAGACCAGGTTAAGCCCCACGAACGAACGATGTCGGATTAAAATGGTTAATTTACTACTGGCTACAAATAATGTTTTTGTTATTAAACATTTTTATTATCTCTCTTTTTTTCATACATGTATATGTTCCGAAACAAATAAAAAAGACATGATAATAAAGAAATTGCTTTGGTATTGTCAGCCGGCATTGGCATTTTTTTTATTGTCCCCCGCCTTTCGAAGAAAGCTGGGGACTATTCAAATGGGTTTGTCCGTCTGTCTGTCTTCCGTCACACTTTTTGGGACATAATAACTCTCCTTCTAATTGACCTAGAATGTTCAAACTTGGTGTAGGTGTTTATTAGGCCAATGCCTTAATGGAGTTCAAAGATGAGCATTTTCTGCTTAGGGTAAGCAGAGATAAGCAGTTTGATTGGTTGATGCTTTGGGACACGATAGCTTTAGTTCTAATTAAGTGAGAGTGATGAAACTTGGTGAATAGTTTCATTACATCAATACCTTAACTAAGTTCGATAATGAGCATTTTCTGCTCAGAGTAAGTAGAGCGATAAGCAACTTGATTGGCCGAGACTTTGGAACACAATAGCTCTCTTTCTAATTGGGCTAGATTTTTCAAACTTGGTGTAGGTGTTTATTAGGTCAATGCCTTGATGGAGTTCGAAGATGAGAATTTTCTGCTTAGGGTAAGCAGAGATAAGCAATTTGATTGGTTGATGCATTGGGGCAATTTGATTGGTTGATGCATTGGGGCACAATGACTGGTTATAATTAAGTGAGAGTGATGATGTGGGACGCAATAGCTTTAGTTCAAATTAAGTGAGAAATGAAATGAAATGGGGTTTAACGTCCTACTGTTCTGCTCCTATGCTGGGCTAATTAATACGGGCATACGCCATACAGTGTGCTATGAGGGAAATTTTGCCCGGGCAGCGGCACTATCGCCTACTCTTATTTCGAATTCCAACTGCCGAGGGATCTTTTACGTGCATTCCAATGTATATACGGGACCTCGGCTTTTCGTCTCATCCGAAGGGCTAGACAGCTGTCCTTGCCAGGCCCTCCCTCCGTCTGGCATCGGCATCATTGACAAGGTTGAACCACGCCGGAAATTTTGGATGAACTTTCTCGGCCAATGCAGGGATCGAACACCCGACCTCCATGCTAGCGAGCCAGTGTCTTACCCACTTAGCCACGCGATTCCCTAAATTAAGTGAGAGCGAGGGCACTTGGTGTATAGTTTTATCACATCAAGACCTTGACTAAGTTCGATAATGAGCATTTTCTGCTCAGGGTAAGCAAAGCATTAAGCAATTAGACTGGTCGAGGCTTTGGAACACAATAACTCTCCTAATTGAGGTAGGATGTCCAAACTTGGTGTAGGCGTTCATTAGGTGAATGCCTTGATGGAGTTCGGTGATAAACATTGTCTGCTTACGGTAAGCAGAGATAAGCAATCTGATTGGTTGATGCATTGGGGCACAATGACTGGTTATAATTAAATAAGAGTGATGAAACTCGGAGTATAGATTCATCATATCATTACCTTGACTAAGTTCAATAATGATAATTTTCTGTTTAGGCCAAGGAGCGATAAGCAATTTGATTGGTCAAGACTTTTGAACATAACAACCCTGTTTTTAATTGAGGTAGAATGTTTAATCTTGATGTAGATGTTCATTAAAATGTCTTCACTGAGTCAATGATTAACATTTCAAGCTAAAGCTAAGCAGATCGAGCTAAGCAATTTCATTGGTCGATGCTTTGGAACAAGATAACTTTGATTATATCTGACAGAGAGTGATAGTTGATAATCAGTTTGATACTTTTAAAAAAAATAAATGTGCGATTAATCAATACGGGACATCAGCCCCACTGTTGGCTTGTTCATAACAAAATTATCAGTCTTCGACACATACGTCAAAAGTATTTTATATTACGGTGCCGAAATTTGAGGAATACATCGGCCAGCGATATTGAAAAATTACATTTATTCTTTTTAAAATTCTTTTTAAAAACAATTACTTGGCGTCCGAAAAACAACTTGTAGTAGTATGATTTATAATGAACTACAGTAGGTAGATACCCTTTAATCATAGATAGAAAATGTTGGACATTTAAATATTGGATACGTTTACGTAATACTGATATTAAGAGACTTTTGGCAAGGGGTATATTTCCCATCCGTATCGTCACATGTTACGTTGCGTCCATGTAGTTTTGGCATCAGTAGCTGAGCTGAGCTTAGTTCTATTACATCATGATTGCAGTGATCTAACAAGATCACCATCAGTAGTATTCAAGTGTCTAGTCTACAGTCGCTGAGCTAATAAATAGAATTTAATGTCGAATCTCATTAAAAAAGATCTTCGACTTTGACCCAACAGCAACTTTTGATTTCACTAATGTATCATTTCAAAAAGTTTATACCTCTTTTCCATAGAATCACATCATTTACAGATTTACTTAAGGCCCCACCCCCCTAAATTTAGCACGTAGATCAACCAACATGCAGACAGGGCGACCTTCGGTTATAGCCTATTTTTTTCACAAGTGGTCGGAACTAGAAACCGAACGTGGATGGTCCGGATCATCGTCTGTTCAAAGATGGCTGTCTCCATGGACATGGTGATGTCATTTTACTCTGCTTTAGACCTCGACCATAACTCAGAAAAAAACCCTTAAGCCCAGGGAGGTCTATACATCTCTCCATGGATGGAGGATAATGGATCGCTATACTATACAAATAATACTTTCATATAAAATTAAACTTGCGCGACTCAAATTAATTTTTAGAGAGAGAGAGAGAAATGGGGTTTAACGTCCACTCGACACAAGCTAGACCATTTCGGGACTAACACATGGTTTAATTTTATTTCAATAATTCGTTTGCGCGTATGGGTCTTTAGCAGTGGGAGGAAAGTGGAGGACCCCGAGAAAACCCACGAGGTTGGACAGGCGACCCTACTCCTTGTCACGTACAACCGAGGAATCGAAACCACGCCAGCTGACTCAATGACAGACCTCATGATACAGCGCGCACGTGCTAACCATTCGGTCATCCAACCCCCCAAATTAATTTTTAGAGACGACAAAATTCCTTGTAATTTGACTTTAATTTTTGCATAACTCAAATACTGAAATAATGCGTAATTATTAGACTTATATAGCAAATTCCGAATATCCGCGCATAATTTAAATATAGAAGTAGCCCGATACAATAAAATAGAACGTAATAAAGAAAATGCACATTTTGTAACCTGAAAGATACAGAAGAATAATTTCATTTTATTTTAAGCTGTCCTTGTTTTAATGATTTGCGTTATCAATTCATCAAACAAACTTTTTACGAAAACCGAATATATTCAAATTAATTCAATTATTAGGTACGACTTCAACATCAGAACTACGGAAATTAGGCATATTTCTTATTTCTGCCGATATAAAAAAAACCCACGCTATTGAATAATAATTAAATTTACCACAGCACCTGACCTAATTAGATTGTAATCTCTCTTTGATTGTTGCAGGTACATGGCCATTACTATGGTAATAATCTAGTTTATTTTCCCCGTTTTAAAGGCATGTTAGAAGATCAGAGAAAAAAATAAAATATAGGAAGATTTTATGCAGTTGAGGTGTACTGATTCTTCTTGTCATGTTTAAATCTTTGTATCCTATTTAAGCTATCAATTTAACACAGTTTATTTACCCCCCCCACACTTTTTTGTCTGTTCGTATTTACTTGCCATGTATATATTGTATGTATGTAATGTATTTGTGTATATGTTATCTGATGAGTCAGTAGAGAATTGAACAGGGAAGTTCGAAAGCAGGTCATTTTTAGTACAATAAGTATAGAGGTTGTAAATGGTTGTACTTTATTTCGAGTAGTCTACACATGAGTATGTGTATTTGTTTTGGACAAATTATCATCGTCGTGCGCTGTTTGTTTCGATAACATATCATGGTCTCCATTAGCTACGTGTTTCCTTAAAGGACAATATTGGTGCCAGGCATTATCACATATGTGATAGAGCTGGTAAAACACATTCAAAATATAATTTTAACACAGAGATCATTGCTACGATAGCTGAGTAATACAGGTTTCCTGAATCGGAAGTGACAAACGCCAAAGGAAAACACGAGTCATACCTCTATATAACTGACTGATGTGAGAACAGATACACGGCCGAATTTCTGCTCACTAATAATTCCTTCCAAGACCAAAAGTTGTTATATGGGACTGTCAGAGGATACCTGACAATTCAATAAAGTAATTGAATGTCATTAGATAAGAGAACACGAGAAAAATAGAAATAGTCCGTACATTCCCTTGTTTATATTCATTCTATACCTTATAAAAACATGGTAATGCACGGACTTTTTCTGTTATTCTTTCGTGTTCTCTTATCTAGTGGCAGTCAATTCTTTTTATGAATTGTCAGATATCCTCTCACAGTCTCACACAACAACTTTTGGTCTTGGAAGGAATTATTAGTGAGCAGAAATTCGGCCGTGTATCTGTTATCACTCGTCACACCAGTCAGTTATATATATATATATATATATATATAGAGGTATGACTCGTGTTTTTCTATTTTTCTTTCATGTTCTCTTATCTAGTGACAGTCAATTCTTTTTATGAATTGTCAGACATCCTCTCATAGTCTCACACAACAACTTTTGGTCTTGGAAGGAAATAGTAGTGAGCAGAAATTCGGCCGTGTATCTGTTATCACTCGTCACATCAGTCAGTTATATAGAGGTATGACTCGTGTTTTTATACGCCCACATTTTCATGTGGACGTATTATGCCGTCGCCCCTGTCCGTCCGTCCACAATTTGTTTGTGGACACTCTACAGGTCACAATTCTTATCCGATTTTGACGAAACTTGAAATATAGGTTTATCTCCAAAAGATCTCGGTTCCTTTCGATATTGGCATGTATCGGATCGAAACTTCATGGATTATGGCCCCTGTTTTACGAAAAATCACGTTTTTAGCTTGTGGACACTATAGAGGTCACAATTTTTATCCGATTTTGTTGAAACTTGAAATGTAAGTTTATAACCCAAGGATCTCGGTTCCTTTCGATATTCACGCATATCGAATTGTAATTTCCTGAATTATGGCCCTTGATTGTAGGTAAAAATTACTTTCTTGTTAGCTTGTTCTCTATCCATCTCTCGAAAATGTGGGCGTATCCTGCCTGGCAGCCGCTGGTTCTATTTTTCTTTCATGTTCTCTTATCTAGTGACAGTCAATTTTGTTTATGAATTGTCAGATATCCTTTTTACAGTCTCATACAACAACTTTTGGTCTTCGAGGGAATTATTAGTGAGCAGAAATTCGCCCATGTATCTGTTTTCATCCGTCACTTCAGTCAGCTATATAGAGGGATAACTCGTGTACGTTTTCCTTTTGCGTTCGTCACTTCCGGTTGTTGAAACATTGATTACTCATCTATCGTAGCAAGATCTCTGTGATAAAATAATATTTGGAACGTGTTTAACCAGTTCTATCACATATGTGATAATGACTGGCACCAATATTGTCATTTAAGTGCGATGAATAACCTAGTTAGGGATTGTTCGAAACAGTCATATGGGTAAGTGGGTAAGACGCTGGCTCGCTAGCCTGGAGGTCGGGTGTTCGATCCCTGCACTGGCCGAAAAAGTTAAATTCAGATTTTCCGACGTGGTTCTCCCTTGTCAGTGATGCAGGACGGAGGGCCTAACAAGGACAGCTGTCATCAGATGGGACGAAAAACCAAGGTCCCGTGTACACATTGGCGTGCACGTAAAAGATCCCTTGATAGTTGGAATTCGATATAAGAGTAGGCCGTAGTGCCGCTGTCCGGGCAAAATGTCCCTCTTAGCACACTGTATGGTGTATGCCCGTCTTCATTAGCCCAGTTCGGAGCAGAGCAGAACAGTAGGACGTTAAACCCCATTTCATTTCATTTCATTTCGTATGGAACCGTTTTGAAGTCGTACACTGATTTTTAGCGGAGTTAAACCTTGTAAATAGTTTATCGTTGTAAGAAATTGCCCACCTCGAAATTTTGAGTTGTGCATTCCGGGGGGTTGGATGGCTGAATGGTTAGCACGCGCGCGCTGTATCATAAAGTCTGTCATTGAGTCAACTGGCGTGGTTTTGAATCTCCGGTTGTACGCGCAAGCGAATTATTGAAATAAAATTAAGCAATATGTTAGTCCCGAAATGACCTTGTTTGTGTCGAGTGGACGTTAAACCCCATTTCTCTCTCTGTCTCTCTCTGTTGTGCATTCTACCGAAACCTTGTGAATATTTTACATGCCAGATAAGAAATTCTGAGTTTTGCACAAAGTTGTCTCTATTATTAAAAAACCCTGTAATTGCCCGACAGCCAGGTAAGAATCTGTTTGAATAGTGTGACTTTGTGGCGCATCATTTTCTGTGGAGTTACTGCCCCTGTCACCGAAACCTTGTAAACATCATACAGGTCTGGAGTTTTTAACATTTTATTTCCAAAATGCTGGGATTGTTCGGCAGGTTATAAAATGTATGATAACCACTCTAAAAACCAGCCTTTTTGAAAGTTATTGGTCTTTTGAATTACATAACACACTCTGGTGTTCTTGCTCCCTTTGACACAACTACTGATGAGCGTATATGTGTTGCCTTTTTAACTATTTATATACATAAAGGACTTATATTTATTTTTAATAATATAGTCTGTGATACTTGTTTTTATTTATGTATATAAATATATTTATGTGATATTGCTTTAATTTGTCTGGTCAAAAATCACCATGTGTTGGGCACCATTTAGCCCGGTTGGAGCTGACCTGCCATAAAACTCCATTTCATTTCATTTCGTTGCCTGATAATACTCTGTTAGATTTTTTTGAATTATATATGATAGGTAGAAATGGGCGATTCTTCCAGTTATCCCAATTTTTTGTAACAAGTATTTCGTTCGTATTGAACTCTTCAATATTTGGCGGGGTTGCCGGGGTTGTTTTACCGGGGTTTGGTATTATGGCGGGGTTCATGACTTTGCCAAATACCTGGGTTTGGTGTTACGGCGGGGTTCATGAGTTTGCCTAATACCGGGATTTGGTATTATGGCTGGGTTCATGAATATCCTAATGCTGGGTTTAGGTATGGTACAGGGTCGACGTGTCCGTCCTTTACCGGGGTTTCGGGCAAAGGCGGAGGACTAGTTTCGTTCGTATTGAACTCTTCAGACTGGTTGCATTGGGTGCCATGGGGAAAACAGGCCCGGGTAGGGTTTGGGGCCCGGGGGCTGAAAAAAGAAAGAGAAAAACAAAAAGTAGAGGGTGAAGAGTTAGTTGTTTATTAAGCCAAATATAAATGAAGAATGTGCAAGGTCTTGTTCGGTTAATTGGTAAGCAAGCGAAGGGTCTCGCTCGAGCTCTTCTTGCAGATTTTTTTGGATGTTAATTCGGAATAGTTGGTCAGTGGACGGGTTCCTGTCCCTCCATATGTCGCTACGGCTTGAGCATACTGTACCCATGTTTCCGCTACTAACTGGCTAGGGGAGACGTTGTTGTCCCAGTTTTGGAAACATGGGAAAGGTGCCCCTGACGGTGTGAGGTGGCGTGGGCTCTGGTAGCTGGTGGTAGCCACTGGCGAGGCAGATAACATGCGCAAGGTTTCCGAAGAAAAACTAATGGCCGGGTTGGTGGTAGGTAGATCTCCTATGGTAATAGAGACGGCCTCTTGCAGATGGTCTCGGTTATCGTTGAACGATCTAGGTGCTAAAGCACGGCTTGAGCATACTGTACCCATGTTTCCGCTACTAACTGGCTAGGGGAGACGTTGTTGTCCCAGTTTTGGAAACATGGGAAAGGTGCCCCTGACGGTGTGAGGTGGCGTGGGCTCTGGTAGCTGGTGGTAGCCACTGGCGAGGCAGATAACATGCGCAAGGTTTCCGAAGAAAAACTAATGGCCGGGTTGGTGGTAGGTAGATCTCCTATGGTAATAGAGACGGCCTCTTGCAGATGGTCTCGGTTATCGTTGAACGATCTAGGTGCTAAAGCACCCCTGCAATTGTGTTTTTTCAAATATTCATTCCTTCTATAGAGTTTACCGCAGAGGGTGCAGGTAAAACTAGGAGGTGTATGTTTCTCCTTAATGTGTCTAAGTAAGTGGCATTTCTTAGAGAGAACTTTCCAACAATGCTGACAGGCGTCCATGTTTGTAGAGAATTTGCTATGACCTCAGGAATCTGGCCTTCTATCCGTATATATATGCATACACCATACCGAACTAGACAATATTCTTTTTTTAAATTATATATTGTCTAGTTCGGTATGGTGTATGCATATATATACGATTAGAAGGTCAGATTCCTGTGCTATGAATTCGGGTATAGTATTACGACGTAACGTGTATGTGGCTGAACGTGGAATAGTGTAAAAAAAAGAGGTAGCACGGTGGCACCTAAGTTGGGGTTGGGAGGCTAAAAAAGATCCAAAGTTGGGACACCCAGTGAGGAGGGTTGTAAAACGAAGAAATTAAAAGGGGGATGGCCAAGTTCAGATTTTGTCGTTGATATCGTGTGGTTGAAAGGTTTTTAATCTTATAATCCAATTATTGAGCTAAATAATTCGACTACCAATAGGCCCACAATCGAACTACATTGGATTATAAGATTAAAAACCTTTCAACCACACGGTATCAACGACAAAATCTGAACTTGGGCATCCCCCTTTTAATTTCTTTGTTATATATAATATGGCTGATCAAAAAGATCATCGAATCCCACATTATATAAGCATTAATCATATTAGTTTTATGCCGTTTCTAAATACACAATAATTTCATCAAGGTGTGATATTGAAGTCTGCAAACGTTGGATATTGGCTATAATATACATTTACAAGATATTTTTGTTGTTTCTCCATAAAATTTTTAAAGACAAAAAATCCTGTAAAAACCTGGATATTTCCAAATGTTCAAATAGTTTGGGAGAACATCTGTTACCAGTAATTTGTCTTAAAGTTTTTCGGCAAATCTGCAGTAAACTATCAGGTGATTTAATTCTAGACGATATCAAATCGAAAAACTTTGTATCATCAATTTCCTTGAAGAGATGGCAGGGCGGTATTACTTTTAGGATTAAAGGGTCATGCCTAATATCATAGCCTGACGCTAAAAGTTTCAAAATCAACTTATGTTTCTGATTTTCGAGAAGGTCAACAAAAACCGAATCCAAGATTGAAGTACATGGATATTGACTTTGTCCATTGTGGTCGATGAGAATTTCCGCGGATTCCCAGTAACCATAAAGTAAAGCGCAATGAAATGGCGACTCTCCTGATACATTAGAAGCATTTATGTCTGCACCGTAATCCAGTAGAAGCTGAATACACTCCAATTTATTGTTTTTCACAGCTACATGTAAATATGTGTCATTGCTTTTATAGGAAATAATCCCACCTTCCTCCTCATAACAACGCACAGGTTCTACTCTTTTTCTTAAATCAACACCTAAAATGAATGATAAATAAACAGTTTTGATTATTTTTTTCTAAAAAGCAGGTACAGATTGTCTATCTGTCCCTGCCTCTCACCTATCAGGAAGTTTAATATCATCTTGATTTTGCCATATGAATTTTAATAGATTTTTGTATTTGGCTACCTCTTAAGGGTCTATTTAGCCCACAATTCATATATAAAAAATATCTACTATATCATTTTGAAAACCAAAGCAAAAGAACTGATACACTGGGTGGACAAGAGAGCTTTCAGGAATTCAAACATGGATATATTAATTTTATTTAAAAATTGAAAGAAATAATGCTCTGTTGTAATTCACTTAATATTATCTTATTATCTGTCCATAGATTATCTTTGTTTTGTAATAAAATAAAAAATGATAGCTTCATCATTGTGTTTTACCATTTTCTAGCAAAATAGAAACAATCTGTGTGCTGTTGGGTCCAGTACATTCCAATGCCCAACAAAGAGGCAGTGCATAGTGGATTTTTGATTCCGTTAATATCAACAGAACTCGCTCATTGACATCAAATCCATTTTTAATATACATCTGTAGCTGTAAATATTAAAGATATAAGTCTGACCAATAAAAGATATATCTTAAATTTATAACATGTTGGCAAAGCGATTTACTTAGACTTTTTTTTCGCACCTATTTCAAAATGTGTGTCTTACATATCTGTCAATTAACTGTCCCTAATTGCCTGTATACCTCAAAGATCTTCTTAACAAGGGAGTCACAGTGGCAAAATTTCCATCATAACACATGTTAAACCCCATTTCATTTTCTTCTTAACAATTTTAAACGCTGCTTGAAATGCCAAAATGTAAATCACTCCTATCTCCTCTAAAACAAGGACCAGTTCAAGTTTTGGTGTTATTATAAAAAATCTAAAAACAGAACTGTTCCGGAAAGCCTTTCTGTGATTATCTCATTTACCAATTTAAATATAGTCTATCTGTAACCTACCTGTACCCTGCTAATTTATTATTTTTTAAAATGTTATTATCTTGTTTTACCAAATATTTTAATTTCTTATAATATATTCTATCTACTGTATATTGTTTTACATTGTGCACTTATAATCATATATTTTTGTTTTGTACAAGCGCAACAGAGCAGCGCTTTACAAGCTTAATTGGTATTGACGCTATACAAGTTCAATAAATTTATTTAAAAATTTATAGATATGCCAACCAAAATTGAAACTGAAATGAAATTAAGATCAAATTTTAATTAGGCTGATATTGCAAATCTGACTTTCTAAAGTTTGTTTTTTATTATTATATTTTTTTTTGCTCATTCCTTGATTCATATAGCATAATAATGTTTAATTAAAGATTAATCAATCAATGAGGAAAACACTCCTTAGGGCAAGCTATCTATCAATAAATTACTCAAGAAGAACGAAAATTGTTAGCCTAGTTGGTTAATTACAATTTCACACTCAATTAAATCTGCCTAAAAATAAATCACCTGTTCACATTTACCTCCCTTGATTGCAGCCATCGCTTGCTGTTTTAGAATCAAACGCTCTCCTTTACTACCCGATCTTCGCTTTTTCTCTCTATTTAGGTGGGCGGTGGAACCGACAGCCATGTCTGTCATTATACAAGAAGATTAATTGATTCAAACTAAGGTTTGGCTAAAAATCCATAAAAATATCAAAACGAAGGAGCAGGTAACTCTTTGTTTACAACCATGATTTAACCTATTGACCCTTGGTTAATCCAATGGGAAAGTGTCGTCATAAATAAGTATTTCCGGTTTTCTATGGCGTCCGTCAGAAATTCTTACATGACTTCAGAGATATCTAAATTTCCTTGATGAATACCCCAAAAACACAATGTTATCACCAATAGAAAAAGAGCTTTCGGAAAATGACCAAGCTAGAGTGTGGAACGAGTTTTATCAGGTATGTGTGCTGGCTTATGTTTTAAACAGTAAACGTCAAAACAAATTTCATTCTTATTCGATCAAAATTTATACGAAAAAAACGAAATAGAATCTAGCTGCTGCTAGTAGATCTACTTTTGTAGACTATAGAAACAAAACTTGTTTGTAGTTGCACGAAAATGGAAAGATATTGCCACGATCAAGAAGAAAAAAAAAGGTTTGTAAATCTTCAGTTTGGCCTACGCCTACGGTATTAGGCTATCTTTTTATGTGATACAAAACATTAAACTAACCTCACCATTCCTTTTATTTTGTTTGTGAATCATAAAAAAATATTTCCGTTCATAAATTTTAAGACATATATTACAAATTGTTAGCCTACAGCCACAGGTGTATCAACAAATGTAACGAGTCTGAAATATCGGATTCAGCTCATACATATCTGCGATTTTAGTACATAGTTTATGTTAACATAGGCCTATAATTTACAGCCTGGTCAGAAATTTAACGTTAATTTTTAGTTAAAGGAGCTAAATCACTAACATTTGGGACCTAGCAATTCACAAAAGTGGGTCGCAACGCATATAATACTGTAATATGAATGTATATAAACTGATTTACATTTAATGGTTTCCGTTTTTACTCCAATTTCAAATCAGTTATGTTCGGCGAAATAAGTCAGCAATCTCAATCGAGTGCAAATTTCTAGCGTCTAGCAGGGTTCCCACGGTCCTTGAAAATCCTTGAATATCCTTAAATTTAAAATTTCATTTTCAAGGTCGTGAATATCCTTGAATTTCGCGGAAATAGGAAAACATCCTTGAATTTCAGTTGAGATCCTTAATTTTGTTTCAAATGTCTTCAATTCCTTTTAAATATGAGATTGATTGATAGTTGGTAATGGTTTGGTTATTTTTAAGATGAAAAATTGTAACTTTAGACTAAAAAATGTCCTTGAAAATCCTTGAATTTGACGTATATTTATCCTTGAATATCCTTGAAAAAATGTTTGACGAAGCCGTGGGAATCCTGTCTAGTTATTCTAGTCTACATAACTCCATTTGATTTGGTGCAATGTGTCTAGCCTCGTCCCTCGAGTCTCTCAATACAACTGGGGCTGAAGCGCATTATGATACACGATTCGTGTACCAATGTTAAAAAAATTATTTTATCTTAAATATCGGATATCAAAAGCTCATCTTTTCCTGGTAAGTTTACTTCGTCAATGTTGATTTAAATTTACCAATAATTCGTGTTTTCGATGTTGAAGATTTTGGAGGATTTTGAGTTACGGACTTAGGTCCTTTAAGTTAAAAAGGTTATCTTGTTGGTTGAATGCATGTTTGAAAATCCACACCATTAAAGCAATGAATGATGAGTGAATTTTAGTAAGATAAATTTTAAATGATCAATGCCATTCTAGTCCACACAATAAAACATAGAGGCTTATTTTTAACGAAAAATCCAAATGGCATAATTACAAAACTATGACATTGTTTCGCCTGTTTACATCTCTCCTCCCATCTGCATGTAAAAGTTTCAAAATCAAAGGCTCTTTTCCAGGTGGAAGAAAAAAAAATCGTTATTATATCAGGATGTTAAACGTGTGCTGTGATGACAATCGATAATAGTAATTTAACCAACGCTATCCTGACTTGCCTGTTAAGTTAAAGCTGAGATACAAGAAAGTCATAAATTTCTTCTTCTTTTATTACCCCGCTCTCTAAACTAAGTCCATCCCTTCTAATTTCGCTTCATATCTTTTAAAACTTTGTACACACTTCAACCTATTTTACAAATGAATAGTAGTTGTGCCTTTTGCTAATTTGGAATTTCTCAGATATAATAATTTTTATATTTCCTTGGAAAAAAATTTGACTTATTTTTTGGTATAGGCTACAGTTTTCATTCTGGAGCATATCTCATAAACATGTCAAGATATCTTTATAAACTTTGTTAAAATATCAACCTATAATTATTGTAATTGTGCCCTTTGCTAAATTCTCGGATGTAATAATTTTTGTGTTTTACCTAAACAAATTTAAAGCAGAATAATTGGGATACTAACTAATTATAAGCTTACATCTGATAACATACAGGTACATGTATACACATGGTACTACATGACGTAGTAGTATTGGAAATGAAATGAAATGGGGTTTAACGTCCTACTGTTCAGTATTGGTTTTTGATTATTAATAATATTGATAGCCAGGAATTCTTTCCCATTATCTTCAAAAACATGGCCAATGGCACAGGATATTGATGACTTGATTATTCTTGTTAACAGTAGGCCTACACTAACAGTTGTGTACAACTACTTGCTAGTTTAGTCTACTGAGGTTCTGAATATATATGTAAAATAAAATGTTTTAAAGGACTATCCAAAATGTCTATATCTCTAGACTGCCAAGGTTCGAAGGCTTGGCCTTCTTTATTATTTCATTACCGTAATATTAATAAGTATACTAAAATACTGGTAATGCTCAATTTTATTGTTTTTATTGAAGAGGTACTTAAGATACAATCATTTGGTATTATTGAAGCAACTATCCAATGGTATTATGTAAATTAAACAAGGAACCAATTGTGACCTATTTCCAGTGTAGAGTTACATCCTGATTCATTAATAATGAAAAGTTTAATAAAGTACCCCAAAATATGTAATTTCTAGAAAATTGAAGAGAGTACACCAATCTGTTACACATATTCGTTCTTATCTGCTTCTGAATAATGATCAACATTACATTCATTATTTTTAAAAATCAATACACCATATTTTGTGACAAATTATGAGTCAATTGGAAAAAAAGTAAGAGAATCTGACATTCTGAGTCCTACAGTCAATGCAATTTCAAGAAGTTTAGATAGTGTAGGTCTATGCATTTTATAAAAAGGATAAACCTGCCTCTATGATTTTTGTCAAAAATAAAAGATCTGTTGAGTGCAATAAAAATGAATTGATCAATATATTTTGCACAGATAATTACAAATTTGAAATTTTGTTCAACAAAAAGATTAAAATAATTTGTAATTAAAACTGAATGACAGGCCTATATAGTTAAATGAAAAGAATGTCTCATGGTCATGTGTGACTGACATGGCATAAAGATGTATAAAAATTCAAAAGCACTATGAAAACTGTTAGCTATATTTCTGTGAAAATAAGGGGGGTAGGATGGCGAATGGTTAATATGTGCGCGCTGTATCATAAGGTCTGTCATTGAGTTAACTGGCATGGTTTCGATACCCCAATTGTAGGTGACAATGAGTAGGGGCGCCTGTCCAACCCCGTTGGTTTTCTGCGGGTCCTCTGGTTTCCTTATTGACCCCTATGCAGAGGCAAATTATTGAAATAAAATAACCTAGTTTGTGTCGAGTGGAACACAAAAAAGGTTACTTATCAAATTTGGTCAGCATTCAAGTTTTCCTTTCTGATCAGCTGCTGTCTATAGCTATTTTTTCTTCGAGACAGCTATTTGGTGTGAAGCATTGGGGTCACGAGAGGGTGAACCTTATCGATTTTCAAATTTGGTGTGAAACATTGGGATTGTATGAAATGAACCCTGATGATTTTCAGCTTTCTTTCTGTTCCAAAGGTACATGTATAAACTTATTGCATGTCTGGAAAAACATGTGAACAAAATAGAGATTAGATTTCTTGAATTTAAAGTATCCTTATACTTATATCAAATTTAATCCACATCCAAGCCTTCCTTTCACTTCACTGTTTGGTAATATTTCCATGCTTTTGTACAGCTAACCGTATAAAATCTAGAGAATTATTATAGGCCTCCTGGCATACTGAGGATTTAGATATAATACTTTTAAATTTTTCACAGAGAATAAAGAATGAAGCCTCATTGAGAACCTTGGACGATGATAAATACAAAATAACTGCTGCAAGGAAACCTGAAAATCGAAACAAAAATAGATATAGAGATGTTAGTCCATGTAAGTATAATATATATGAATATGTATTCATAGTGTCACCATTAAATTCTTCTATGTTTACTGTGAACTGACTGTAGGTTTAATTTGGTTCTACATTTGTAGCCTACCTGTAAATAGTCTTCCAAGTAAGGATGAAAATCACAATCATGACTCTGGAGATGTACTGCATCTTACAGATTCTGTAGACGATAATAAAATAATCATTTTTTGTAGGAAATTCTCAAACTTTGATATTAAACATACATTATGCAAGAGGTAAATCTGCCTATTGCAGGTCTTTCTTTAGACCTGAAATGTTATCTAAATTATTAATTAGACATTAATTGACTGATCCAGGCCATAATCAACCCTCGATGGCATCAGATTTCTCCAATATTAGATAGATTAGAAAGATTCAGCCATAATTTGATTTAATTTAAAAATGGAGGAGGAGACTTAGCTTTGAACAACCAGTACGTGGTTGAAATTATTGCAATAGAGTAATTTGAATGAAATTTTCAAATTATTCATTTTACATTGTCTATTTTTGAACTATTATAGAAAGAATGGCTAGCTCTTTATCTAAATCTTACATAATGTATCTTTCTGAAATTTATTTTTGACTGAAATGTTGTGTGTAATTATATGATTTCAGATGACCATAGTCGTATTGTAGTAGAGAAGGGAGATGATGATTATATTAATGCTAGTTTAGTTGAAGTGGCATCTGCAAATAGAAAATATATTTTGGCTCAAGTAAGTAAAAATATACTATTCAAAAAAAGTAGGGGATATTTGATTTTTAAGTGTTATTAAAGTCACCTAATGAAACTGACGAAGAAACAAATGACAAAATGAAATGAAGTTCACATTCATCGATTTATTCCAAATGATCGTTAGACTAAGTAAGGCACAGACTGACCATTATAAGGGTAAAATGATACCCGGGGTTAAACAGCAAAGTTACCACAGCATCACAACCAAGTCAGTAACGGGTAAATCCTCCTCTGTTTGCCAAACAAGCATTGATCCGACGTGGCATACTCCTAATGAGACGTCTAAGGTCATTTTGGTCCTGATTGTCCCATTCCTGTTGCAACGCAGCAGCAAGTTCTTGGACATTGGCAGGACGTTGTTGACGTTGACGTAACCTCTGTCCAAGCATGTCCCAGACATGCTTGATGGGGGAGAGGTCGGGACTCAGTGCTGGCCAAGGTAATGTGGTGATGTTCTGTTGTTGGAGGTAACCTGTAACGATCCTGGCCCTGTGACATCTTGCGTTGTCATCCTGGAAGATGAAACGGCGGCCATGACGTCGTGCGAACGGCACAACATGTACTGCCAAGATGTTGTCCCGGTAGTACTGGCCTGTAACATGCCCTGCAACAACATGTAAAGCCGTTCTTCCAGCAACAGTGATGCCTCCCCACACCATAACAGAACCACCCCCAAATCGATCATGTCTGATGACGTTAACGTCTTGGAAGCGCTCGTTTCGACGACGCCACACCCTCCTACATCTGTCCAAAAAATCAACAGTGAACCTTGACTCATCTGAAAACATCACATTGCTCCAGCGTCGATTATCCCAGTGTTGATGATCCCTACACCAACGACGTCTTACCTGAATGTGATGATCTCTCAAACAAGGGATCACGCGAGGACGTCGGGCGCGAAGGTGACCCCTATGCAGTCAATTCCGAATCGTCTGGCCACTCACTCTCACACCAGTGTCTGTTTGAAGACGAGCGCTGATCTGATTTGCTGTGATGACACGATTTCTCAAGGCCAAGGTACGGATAAATCGATCCTGGGCTTGAGTTGTCGCCCTTGGTCGACCTGAGCGTGGTCTGTCCTGTACAGATTTTGTATCACGGTATCTGGACCATAGCCTGCTTATGACAGACTGAGAAACATTCATCGTCCGCGCCACAACCGCCTGTGTTGTGCCGATCTGTAGCATGCCAAGGGCACGTAACCTTTCATTTTGGGTAAGCCGACGCATATCAAAATTTGTTTTCTGGTCACTAAAACAATTAAACTGATGTTTCCACCCTGGAATTCAATGCCACAATGACTGTAACATTCAAAGTCAGAGTCGTGCAAATCTTGGGTTGGACCCCCATGATGATCTCAACCATCACCTGCATTCCATGCGGTAGCTATTGGTGCGTTTGGGCGTCACATGTAACTGGAAATGTTTCTTCTGTTAGGTTCTATAGTGACTTTTTTCGTAGTCATTTGCATATTTTAGTATTATGCCCCCAAAATCAAATATCCCCAACTTTTTTTGAATAGTATATAAAAGTACTGATCATTAGTACCTAACTTGTAAAACCGGATGGGACTATACATGAAGGATTTCTCTCCATCTTTCCATCCTCTATCTGTCATTTTTATATTCTGGACTTAGTTGTCCACCGCCTTTCGAAGAAAACAGGGGACTATTTAAATGGATCTGTCTGTCTGCCCCTCCGTCTGTCTGTCCGTCACACTTTTTGGGACACAATAATTCCCCTTCTAATTGAGCTAGAATGTTCAAACTTGGTGTAGGTGTTTATAGGTGAATTATTCGTATGCTGATGACACTCAACACTCTGCTCTAGATCTGTAAAATCGTTGATGAACGAGAGTAAGCTCAAACTGAATGATGACAAGATGGAAACCATACTTGTAGGGACATCTACTCCAAATTCATGTGTGGTAGGTAATCTGGGAAACCAACATTCAGTTTTCATCAGGTGTGAAGAATCTTGGTTTGCTACTGGATTCCTCGTAAACCATGGAGAAACAGGTCGAAAAACTTTGTTGTACATGCTATTACCATCTCCGATGTATTGGCAATATTCAACACCTCTTGATAGTTGAGGCCTCTAAGCTGCTTGTGCGTTCCTTAATATTCTTGAGGCTCGATTACTGCAACAGTGCTTTGATTGGAATTCCCCAAAACCTGTGAACAAAACTCCAAAAACACCGCTGCCAGAATAACAACAAGAACACAAAAGTATTCTCTCGTAACTCCCTTCTTAAAATAACTACATTGGTTTCTCATAGAAGCCTGGATAACTTTCAAGATTCTAACATTTGTTTATATGTGTCAACACAGTCTTTCACCATCTTACGTCACGGATCTCGTTGTGCTGTATGCTAAACTGAAATCCCATGGGGATAAAGCCTTCAGTGTCTGTGGACTGCGTTTGTGGAATAACTTACCATTGGAGATACAGAGTTCTCAAACAATAGCTGTGTTTCCAAACTCAAAACTCATTTGTTTAAATTACTTATTATCAGGATTAGCTATTATCTTCCATGCGCTTAGAGTGTGTGCAATCATATATGTACATTATTATTAAACTGTAGTTTCTGGCTGTTTCAAAACTGAGCTACAACAAATCTTCATAATCCTGTTCGGTGCTGAAAAGTAATACATTGAACCCCATTTCATTAAAAACTGAAAGTAAAAATGATCACTTTTCTTTGATTTTTTCAGTGAATATTTACATACTTACAGTACCATGTGCTAAAGGGTTAACTTACAATTTCTATTTATTTCAGGGTCCTTTAGAGCACACCGCAGGGCAGTTTTGGCAAGCAGTATGGGAACAACAATCAAAAGCTATTATAATGCTCAACAGAGTTATAGAGAAAGAAACAGTGAGTAGAAATCATTTGAAGTTTAAAATATCAGAAAATCCTGTGATTAACCTGTTCATAAAATCTCAAGAATTTATTTGTTTCAGTCTTTATTCAGTACGATTTTTGATTGTCAAAATTTCAAACTGGAAGTAATCAAATAAGTGAAAGTCGTCTGTTTATAAGGGATGTAACTCTCCTGCTGCATTCGGCTAGCTGTGTTTGTCATCATTTGTCGAGAAGGTCCAACTCTTTAACTAAATCTTAGATTCTTACATAATGCATCTTTAAAAATCTAATATTGCAATTTTTGAATGTTTAGGGCTGTTGTATTGTTTTTGTAGATAAAATGTCATCAATATTGGCCCCTTGGTTCTCGTCAAGATTATGAAGATGAGATGTTATTTGAAGATGTAGAATTAAGGGTTACTTTACTTCAAGAAGAAGATTATGAACATTATACCAAACGCTTATTTAGTTTAGAAGATATGGAGGTAAGTATTGGTGGAAGTCTAGATTAGAGTTGGATAGGCATAGTTATATTTTCTAAAAACAACAGTGAAATTAATATTATGTGTACTCTACATCCTTTTTTTAATATATGCATTGTGTCAACTGAACTTACTAGAGACTATATGGATATGTTGTATAACCTGATTTTATGATTATTGATAATTAAAATTTGATTTGTTTTAGACTGGAGATAAAAGAGATGTAACACATTTTCATTATACAACATGGCCAGATTTTGGTGTTCCTTCCTCTCCGACAGCATTCCTTAACTTTTTAATGGCAGTCCGTGAAACTGGTTGTTTAGAATCGGACTGTGGACCTGCAGTAATTCATTGTAGTGCTGGTATTGGTAGATCGGGTACCTTTTGTTTAGTAGATTCTTGTCTTGTACAGGTAGGAATTGTTTTGTAGGTAGTAATATCTTTCTATATAGCAGTTTTAAAATGATTAACTTGTTAAAAATGTGGTGTTGAATATTTACAATATAAATTTATTAACAAAACACTGCACTAAATTACATACAGTACCTTTCAAATTTTTCAGACCAGAATTGCGGGAACACCGTGGAAAAAAACACTAAGAAATCGCTAAAATTTACGGAGAATTTCCACAATTCCCCTGCTCGTGGAGACAACTTAAAACAACTCCTCTGAATGAACACAGCTAGAGTTTCAGACTAGAATCGCCAAACACGGCGGAATAACGCTGAGTTCCGCGGGGCATCCTTAGTAATTATATAAAAACAATTTGTTTAGTACATGTAAGTTTCATTCATTTCAACAAATTGTTTTTATATGATTACATTTTGGAAGGACGTACATTGCTCTCATCTCTGCGTTCATAGCTCCATCTACAATGTTTTGGAAACACTTAAATTTACAAGAATTGTTCATTTATTTATGGATTAGAAATAACCCTGTTGAAACTCAGATACTTCTGATCTGAAATAGTGGAGTTGTCTCACTGATTATGTTCAAACTATAAAAGCTTATGAACATGATATACGGTAACATATTAAAACGAGACAGGTTTGTTCATTTGGGTATACTGGGGAATTCTATCAAACTTCAAATTTTCGGATTGCAAGTTTTGAGCAGGTTTTGTTGATGTATGTTTCCGTCATATTTGTAAATTTGTTTCCATGGAATTAATACAGTTATCTATACTTCACATAATACGATAGAACATTCCCAAGAATTTCTGGAAATGATTTATATTGAAATAATCAAGGACTACTGAATTTTTATAAATTTGATTTCAGATTGAAAGAGAGAGAAGTATGAAGTGTGTAGATATACGATCTATACTGATTGAGATGAGATCATTTCGAATGGGATTAATCCAAACTCCAGATCAGCTTAGGTTTTCTTATTTAGCAGTTATTGAAGGAGGAAAAAGAATCTTGTTGGACGCCGATGCCAACTCAAATGTTAAAACAATTGCAGAGGATACTGTAATTATTTGTTTCATTTTTCCCCAGGGACGAATAATTAATTATGTAAAAAGAAATTCTTTTGGCATTGTAGAATTTGTTGACATAGTGTTATTTCATTAGTCTTTTCAGACTATATTGTGAAATAACGAAAGAAGTATCTTTTTAAATCTTTGTTTAAAAAAATTATCAAGCGCTATGCTATAAGCTATAGTTATCAGCAAACAAAAAGAGATAATTAGTTCTAACGTTGCACTTATTCCTTATCAAATTTAAAAATATGTAGGCTATATTTACTCTCCATAATAAACAATCCTTCATTACCTTCATTATTCAGTTACTTGGGATAGACATACATTAAAAAATTTGTAAGGATGGTTTTAAGCTGAATAAACGTGAAATGTCATGTTTTAACTTGTTATTATTGGGGCATTGAAAACAAAGTCAGGTTTCCATGGCAAATTTCATGCATTTATATATACAACTGTAACATCCCTTCAAATTTAAATATTTCTTTTTATATATTTAGATTAAGAAAGAAGATATTCCTCCTACTCCACCAATAAGAAGTTCAAGTTTACAAAAGGTTCAATTACCAGATGAACCACCGGAATTACCACCTAAAGTTAGACCTGACTGGACGAAACAAATAAACGATGATACCTCGGATGATATAATTCCTGCTAAACAGAGAAAAATAGAGGAGAGGGATGATTATCAAAGTCCTGCTAAACAGAGAAAACTGTCCAATAGAAATGGTGGGACAGATTTGAATGACAGACAGGACTTATTTTTTAATAAGCCTGATGAAGTTAAAAAAGTAGATGACATTGATATAGTTGATAAAATTGATGAAGTTGATAAAGTTGGTGGCAGTGTTGGTGATGTTAATGATGAAGATGATGAATCACAACAATTAAAGTAAGTAAATATATGGGGACTCAATTAATATTTGTATTAAAGACATTTATAGTTATTGTATAGCATATTATCATTTTATATAAGGATGGCCGATCACAGTTTGGTTACAAAGGGTAAGCCAGTTACAAGACTTACTTACGGAAATTCATTATATCTGTTGTTCAAAGATATATAGTTATTGTACAGGATATTATCATTTTGTATACAGATGACTTATCACAGTTTGGATACACGGAAATTACTTACGGAAGTCGTCAAAAATTAAAACCATGATTTGAATCGCAGCACGAATCGTGATAGTGGGAATCTAGGATTAAATAATCATATGCTTGTCTTTATGATAAGTTAGCATCTACATGCTAAAGTTAATATCCGATTGTCTTGAAATTTATACACAGCGTTTAAGGTCATGAGACGAAGAAGCCTGATGATTTTTAACAATTTTCAATGATAATGGCAATTGATATTAATTGTTTTGTATGCTGAATGTTAGAATAGAGCAGAACTAGAAGCCAAATGGGTTGTTTCTGACAATAGAAAAAAATATGCGACAACCCTTGTTGACTCTTCGGACGACTTAGCTGTTGTGGGCGTATGTTTCATATTTTATCGTATTGAGACGAATTTGTTGAGAATATTAATGACATTTGATGTTGCTGAAGAGCATGTTTGTAGTTTACTATGATAATGTGTGTTCATTGATAAAATCAGATTAATATTTTTGGTGAACAACCATTAAATTTTTTCAAATGGCTAGCCTTGGCTTTCAGTAGATTGTTTATTATTTTTAACAATCTGTATTCATGTGTTTACAGTATACTACGAAAGAGAGTGAGAGGGGAACGTAAAAAACAGACAGCAGAAATGATCAAAAAGATGAAGGAGAAACAAAAGAAAAGTGAATTATGGAAAGAAAGAAAGAGTTATTTAAAACCCATTTGTTTTGGAATAACCCTTTTAATAGGCAGCTATTTATTGTATAGGTACTGTTGGCGATAATTATTAAACTGTTAATATATTAGAATAATATCATATATATTCATATTTCTATTTACAAAAACAATAAAAAAATAGATCTCTTTATTCACGGTTGATTATAATTGTATTATTCTTAAAATATCCCATACTCTTAAAATAGAAAAATCATGCAGCCTCCTTTATTGTTATTTTCAGAATATATCTTCTGATAATAAAAAACCTAAAATATGGATAAAAAAAAATATAAGCTTATCTACGGATTACATTTTGAATTTTACTTATTTAATTATTTCTAGCTTCAAATCAGAGAAGTGTAAATATCTTTTGTCTTTGCTAGAAGTTTTCAAAATTTTGTCAGCGGCTGATATTCTTAGTAATACATACAGTATTCATTTAAATATAACTTCCAGAAATAGTTTGAAAGTATAGAAATATTTAACGGAGAGACTAGAATAGTAGTTTATGATGTAGCTGTAAATAAAGTTAAGGTGAGTATTATAATAACTGATCTGATAGTTAAAGGTAATGATGTACACAACGATATTTTAACTGCATTTATAAGATATATTACAGTCTGTATATTAAAGTATATGTAATCAAAGTCCATATGATGTTACTTTCTATTATTACTTGTTACATCTATATCTAATGTTATCATTAATTGGATATGTTACTTTTCAATTTCACAATCAAAATACTGTTACTAATTTTTTCTACAATAAATAATATTGCAATCATATCAAATCAGTAAAGTTGTAACTTAAATGATAACGAACAGTATAAATATGATTTATAATAGAGTTAATAATTTAAATTTCGACTTTCTGTTTATGAACCTGATAGCAGAATAATATAAAGCCACTGATCGTCATTTACATCTAAGTTTTCACTGTGTTATCCAGATTAAAATGTACTAAACATTTAATACAGAAAAGGTAACCAAACTCAAATTTATAATCCACCAGGCTGACTTCAGTTTGATTTAAAGGAGGTCCATAAAATATTCTAATTGTGGTGTTGGCTTCTTTATATTTATATCTTCTGTGGGTTGGGACTTTTTGATTTTGTCATATCTTGGACTTATATTCCTTTTAAAAGATCCAACTTTCACGATATTGTAGTTTACAAAGGATTCAAAATCCTTCAAATGACGATCAGCAGCTTTAAGTCAGTTATATTAAGGAAATAATTATTACTATTTGTTATAGTATGATAGTGTGATTTTACTCAAAATCAAAAGAAGCAGAAATAGAATTAAATGCTTTATAATTACATACTCAGTCTACCCTGTCCATGTCACGTATCATCTGCTCAAAATATATATTACAATATATATAGCTCATCAAATATTAATTAAAGCTGGATTCCTTTAATAGATTACACTATATAGAGGAGCAGTTGTTACTTCAATAGGAAATTATTTTCATTGTTCTTTGTGTTGAGGAAGAAAATAGTTATTTTCAGATAAGTAAGCTTTAAGGCATGCTAGGTATCCCCAGTGGTCTCATTCTGTTCTATTCCACTATACCCTGGGTTCATCTGTGGAATATTCACGTATTCAATTATCTGCTCATGGTTTACAAACCAGTCTTATCCTCATTACTTACATTCACAACAATATAGCGGCTTGTTTGTTGCAACAAGATGAGAGTTACTTCCCTTCATCAACGTCCTGTGTATTTAATGTTTTTTTATGATTGGTGGATAAAAATAGCAGGGGTTAGTGAAGTGGAGCGGAATGAGACCACTGGGGATACCGAGGATGGCTTTAAGGTTGAAACAGAAAATTGTCTTAAAGGAATCTAGCTTTGCTATCATCATATCTAAAATTATTATATAATATCAAAATTTTTATCATATCAGTTATTTTGCATAATCAAGATTTTAATTTTCTATCTGATTTTGGTTGGAATCTTGTATTCCTTGTAAAAGGTGCAGATTTTATACAAACATCAAAAGGTATCAAAATCATTCTATACTAACTTTATAATAGTTTTGCTTTTACATTATTTTTTTCTCATTCATGTACATATATGTATTCTAAATTTGTTCGACCATGTCCATGTTTTGTTTCTGTTAAGAAGGGTATTGTTACATTTCTTGTAAATACATGTTGAATTTGACATTGGCCTATTATTATATTATTATTATGGTATGTACTTGCAGTGTGTTTCAATTTGACTGTTGACATTTTGTGTCAAATCACATTCTAACAATGAAATTGTCTATATACATGTATTACTATAAAGCTTGTTAATCATCATATTGGTTTGTGGAGGTGATGGGATAATGTTAGATTTGTATATCTAATATGAACATTTATACAGGTATATGGCTGGAAAATTAGGTCAGAATTGGTCTCACATATTTCTTATTAATGACAAGACATTCCATCTTTATAACTTCTTCATCATATTCACCTTTGACTGTAACAAATACTTGGATACACATTTTACTGCAACACATATCAAATGGTTATTGACAATTTGTGGTTAAAATAAAGTGTCATGGTTAAAATGTGAATAGAATTGGACAAGCATTGATTTCACGTCCTTTCATACCTCAGCATGGCATTTCTTTACAAACATTGCATGTCCTTTTTTTCAGAGTATTTAACCTACATGCTTGGAATTTTCACCACAAACTGTTATCAACTATAAAATATGTACTAAGTACAAACTATTATTGTACTGTATCAAAATTTTATTAACAAAATATCCACCAAAATGAGTATGATTTACAACAACTTTATAGTAACCAATGAGCAGTCCATTTATCTTTGTGAAACTATATTCTATATTCACATTGTCATGCTTTGTGCACAACCATTGTGAATAAGCGCATTATAGATATACACACTATTATTATTATAACATAAAAGCCTTAAAATTATTTGTTCTTCAATGGCTGCTCTCTCAGAATTCTGGTTAACAGAAAGATGTTATAGTTTCAGACTAGTTGTTTATTTTGTTATTTAGAAGTAGACATGATAATGGTTTGATGAAGTCAACAAACTCACCACATCCCTGTCGGTAATTAACCTCTGTGACTAGCTATAGTACTGTAACTAGAGGTGTTAGGCCAGCGGCAGGTGGAGTAAGATTTTTATGTGAAATGGAACAGATTTAAATATCTTAGGTTATTCAGAATGCAAGTTTTAATGAAACTGAAAGTGTCATTTTAGATTTATATAAGTAATATTTAAATATTGGTAGTGTATTCTACTATAGTTTGACTTCCACAGATATTAGTATTAGATATAATTATGGAAAATATATTTTTATATGTAGAGTATTACTTATTATATTTCAGGCATAATTTAATGTTATTTTAACAAAGTCTCTTCAAGCCAGTTTAGTGAATACAATAGTATTATTGCCATTATTGATTTATTCAAATATTAAGTTTTAGCGAAATCATTCAGATCGTACAAATTCACTGCATTTTCGTTTTGTTTGTTTTCGGAGCAATGTGTTTGATAAGCGATATTTATGAGACAACGCCACTTTACCTAGCCAGCTATACAGTATGTTTATATAGAGGGAGTATGATATAAATATGATGAAGGTTATTTTAATGGGATGTTGTAAGGTATATTAATGTACTATAATACAAAAGTGAATGCCCATGCAAATAAATCTATATTATTATAGAAAACTTTTGTTTTTTTATTGTGATTTAAGTTTAGAATACATTTGGATATATTAGCCAGGTACAGTAAGCGTTAAAATAGACTGTTATTTGACCCAATCTCTGATACTCCATACTGTTCCTTGATATTGAAAATATGGACATGACACTTGATATATCCGAAATGCAGAATTGAACAAAAATAGGTTATTTTGGTGACAAATTTCTAGTACAAGATGGCAGCTATCAGTGCGTGTTATTTTGGGGAGTTCAATTTTTTTTTTTCATGATGCTTAGGTATCGTACTCATATTACCCCTGTTCAAAAGTTTCATTCTTTACTCAAGAAGTGAAAGTTTTTATGCTTGGACGCTCTAATACAAGAGTTTAATCCAGTGGAATGGAAGGTAAAGGCTCATCTATTCAGTAAAATACTGCTAATTTGTTATTAGTTAAAATATCATTTGTTACAACAGCCTATGCTGTAGAGATACCTGTCTAACCCTGGGTTCCCCCCAACTGTTAAAGACCCCTACATATGCAAGAGAACTACTGACACCCAGATGTACTTAGTTCCAAGGTGAATAGTTTGTGTTTAGTGGACAATGAACCACATTTGTCTATCTCAGTTTTATAGGAATAGAATTAAGTGGTAGAATGTACAGTTGTAGATCATAAGGTACCTCGTTTTTATGGGTTTTTTTAACTTTATCGACTTGTGTCGACATTTTGTGATATCATAAAAGACTCGTCATAGGAGATTCTTTATATAGCAAATTAGCTCTGGAGTAATATAGTGCCATCTGAAGGAGATCTACGTGGCACAGTCAGTAATGTGCTAGCTCACTAAATAGGAGGCCCAGGGTTCAATCCTCAGGATTCCTCCGTCAGTAGAGGGCCTAGCAATGACCTGTGTCCAGTCATGGGATGGTACAAATAACCGCATATTCCTGAAGTAATGGCCCAAGAAATCCCTCTCTGGCCATTGCTGGATTGGCTTCTGATACCTGAGCTTCTGAGGAAGTGTGTCTATTCTTCCCGTTCAATCAAATCTATCCCAAGTACAGAAACATGACAGCCCTTCATTTAATCGGGGATCTTCCCTAAAACTTTGGAGAGTGATTTTAGGTATTAAAAATGGTGAAGGTCTTGTTCGTCTCCATACAGTACTGTTTACATTGTATTTGTGTTGATAGCTTAGTTTGTCACGCAATTAGTTTTTCCGCAATATTCTGCTATGCACTGGTTAATTGGGCATAATAAAATCGCGAGTCCTATTTGGAGCTTTGTTTTAAGCGTAATGACATTGTTACGGAGTTAGCTATTGGTTGTTAATTGGACTATTGACCAGTCATAATTTGGAACAGAAATTTACTTCCATTTAAGCAGTGTTTAGTGGGATTAGCTCTAATCAAACGAAACATTGCGGGGAGTATGAAATAACTGTGGTCATGTGTACACGTTGGTGATAAGCCCTGGCAACAATCCCTCATAGCACACTGTATGACATATGCACATCTTTATTAGCCTTCATTAGACGCCATCTTCTACATTTGAGCAAATTAAAATAAGGAGTTTAAAAATGCACAGTTAGCAAAAAAAATATCATCTTAGACATTCAATAGATATAGCGTAGTCTTCCTTTAAAGTGAGAGGTGGCCGGAAAAAAAAATCTCTTTATCTTTTTCTGGTTTTGTATTATTAATAACATAATTTATACAATTAAAATTCAGATATATTATAACCATAAATAACAATTATACATTCTGTAAATCTTAGAGTTTTATATAGATGATGTCTGGATAAAATAAGTTATCACTGCTCGGCAGCATCTATTGTAAGGTCAACTTTTGTCATATCAGTAGGTTCGGACATTCCACCTCCTCTTAAACCAGCTAAAAATACTTGAGCTTTAGGAACATTTGTGGCAGAATCAACTTTTGTTTGAGTGGCATTATCTTTTGGTAAGTAAACCTGGGTGACGTTGTCCCGCCTCATATTGCTGAGATTCGTTTGAATAGAATGTGTGACCTTTGTTCTTAAGTTGGATAATTTAATAGCTTTCCTTCTTAATTCCCATTCGTTCCATTCATAAGTTTTGACAATGTTAGTGTCCATGAAATGTGTATCTGTCTGTGAACCACTGTCACATTTTGTCACAGGTTTTTCTAACATACGACCAGCATCTTTTCCCTGACTGTATGGAGTTATTGTGGAGAATTGGTTATGAAGCTCGAGTAATTGAATCAACTCAGGACTTCTTTTAGCACCCTCTGCTACCAGCTGTATATACATGGTTGGATTTTCTGCAAATTCGTATGCAGCTGCTTTGGAGGAGAATGCATAGTGATGTTCTTTATATCTAAGAACACCTATATCTGGGTTTGATGGAAGTAAAAGTCGATCAAATTTACCTAAAGTCAGTGCACAAAAACCTCTGTATTGTAAAGAAAGTCTATGAAAATTTTTGGTAGTTTCAGGAAATAGCCAATCATACTGACTGACTTGATAATCCTTCGGATTAACAAATTGATCCGGACCAGAGACATCTTTTACCCTTTCTTCATCACTTTTTACATGTGCGCCACTGAGATACTGACCCAAAACGTCATCGCCAAATATATCTCTGTGACCTCTGGTGAATGGTTCAAGACTTGCCAAGATGTTGCTTAATACACTAAGTAATACCATCTCATCTTGGAAGCCACTCCATAGCTGCGCTAAATGTATGAACTGGGGATAGACTTGAGCTGTTGGAACAGCTGTTTTAGACTGAATGGTGTTTTGCAGCTGTTCCATCCTGGCTGCTAGTTGATTCTCCAGCATCTCAACTTGTTGAGCACAGCTAATTACGTCACTTAAAATAACTCTCAAGAAAGCTTCATGTTGACGGCTATTAATGAGTGATTCTCTAACAAGTTGAAGTGACAAACCTTCTAATCTCTCTCCAGCGTGGGCTTTCTCTAGCAGGGTAGTATATTTAAAGGCTTGATGTAAAGTTGTTTGGATTTCAGTATCAACACTCTGGGTGGTTGCTGGTACAGCCTCATTCAAAATGGCTGGTAAATCATCAATACCTTCGCCACCTTTACCACACTCTTTGTTGAAGAGTCGAATACCAGTAACAATCATAGTTAATTCAAGGATCTGGCGTTCCTTGTCGCGTTTTGATAGGGACATGAAAGTACCTAGCTCTGTTTGTGGGAAGACACTCTGTAAAGCTGCAGTTGCCTCTCTTACTACAGCTATATCTGTTGGGCTTCCTAGTCCTGATCGAAGCAACACTGCTGATACTATCTTTCTATATAGAGATTCTAGCTCTTCTCTTGTCCTAGCTCGACTATCAGTTATCTCCCTTATAACAGGTTGTAGACGGGATTCAAGAACTCTTCTATGTTCGTCTAAGAAATCTGATCTGGTTGTGTAATTCATGTCAAAATAGACCTGCATTTTGACAGTGTCTAGAGCTGGGGATCTGGCATCTAATAATTGCTCCACGCACAATTTTATCAGTTTTTGAACATCATCTTTAGTGAGCGTTCTATCAACATTAAATTCATTAGATGGATTAAGAACCACAGCCTTCACCATAAATGCTACAAGTGTTTCTGAAACAGCCTGACCCTTGCTTGCACATTCTTGAGCTATTTCTCTTATGATATTTTTTATGACACTCTCTGCTTGAGCCCGCGACATGGTTGGGATCTTTAATCTTTCACAGATAACCTACAAATACAAAAAGATGAAATAAACCAATACTTTCAAAACTTAATATACACAAATAATAGGCTATGTACCAAGCAAATGGATTTTAAAATATATTAAAGACTTCAACAAAACACCATGTACAGTTACATGTACTATGACAATAATCAAGACAGACATGTGTCATGCAGTGTGCAGTAAGGGTAATTTATTTCCAGACATCGCTAAGGCCTAGTCTGGTGATAATACAAAACCACAGCATACTAATGTTAATAAATTAAAACCAGCGGCTGCCAGGCAGGATACGCCCACATTTTGCAAGAGATGGATAGAGAACAAGCTAAAAACAAAAACGATTTTTTGAACAATCAGGGGCCATAATCGAGAAAGTTGTGGTCTGAAATGCGCAAATATCAAAAGGGACTGAGATTTTTTAAATATAAAGGTATGTTTTAAGTTTTATCAAAATCGGATAAAAATTGTGACCTCTAGAGGGTCCATAACCTTTGTGTTACATACTTATACACAATTTGCATACAAAGAACGGCCATTTTGTCGGTCAGTTTCATTTCGATTTTCCCGAAATTCCAATTCAACCTTCATTATAGTGGAATGGTGATATATCTAAACGGTTTTTAAAATCGTAAAAAAATTGTGACCTCTAGAGAATCCACAAGCTAAAAATGTGATTTTTCGACCAATCAGGGGCCATAATCCAGGAACTTACGTTCGGATATGTGTGGTTATCAAAAGGAACCAAGATCTTTATGATAAAAAAACATATATTTTATACCATATTTTACACTTTTTGCGTACAAAAGGCAGCCATTATGTCCGTCAGTTTTTTCTGATTTTCACAAAATTCAAACTCAACCATCATTAGTGTATAACTGTGATATATTCACACGTTTTTTTTTTTTTTTTTTAAATCAGATAAGCTCAAAGCGCAATTTTTCGTACAATCAAGGGCCATAATTCAGGAAGTTACAATCCGATATGCGCGAATATCAAAAGGAACCAAGATCTTTGGGTTATAAACTGGAATTTCAAGTTTCATCAAAATCGGATCAAAATTGTGACCTCTAGGAGGTCCACAATCTTGATATACCAGATGTTTACACTATTTGCGTATGAGGGACGGCCATTTTGTCCGATAGTTTTGGTCCGTTTTCACAAAATTTGAACACAACCATCATTAGGGTGTAACGGTGATATACTAAAAAGTTTTTTTAAATCGGATAAAAATTGTGACCTCTAGAGGGACCACAAGCTAAAAACGCGATTTTTCATACAATCAGGTGCCATAATTCAGGAAGTTACGATCCGATATGTGCAAATATCAAAAGAAACCAAGATCTTTGGGATATAAACATGCTTTCCAAGTTTCATCAAAATCGGATGAAAATTGTGACCTCGAGAGGGTCCACTACCTTGATATATCATATTTTACACTATTTGTGTAACGGTGATATACTACAACGTTTTTTTAAATCGGATAAAAATTGTGACCTCTAGAGGGACCACAAGCTAAAAATGCGATTTTTCATACAATCAGGTGCCATAATTCAGGAAGTAACAATCCGATATTTGCGAATATCGAAAGGAACCGAGATCTTTGGGAGATAGACCTATATTTCAAGTTTCGTCAAAATTTAAGTCTTAATATAGTGTCTATCTGCAGGCCTACAATTAAATATTCCCACAAGTTGTCACTTTTATTCATAATTTTGTTAAGTGAATGTATTGTTGAAGTTATTATTGTGTCCTACTTATTGATAGAGTCGAAAACAATTTAATTTTCAGTAGGCTGTAGGTGGCCACAATTGAAATTCAGACTATTTTTCAGTATGGTCTATGACACGAATACTGCCACTATTCACGTAGTATTCAGGGCTTCAGGCAAATTTTTTAAGAAAAGTAGATCTACTATTAGCAATGCAATAGATCGCTAGGGGAGCCACTGATACTATTTTTATCATGGTCGCAAAATCTGATCTTAAAATGTGGCGTTTTGGATTCCATGACTTCGGGAACGTGTATGGACACAAACATCAATGACATGGCACTTTTCGTGAAGGGATAAAATGGAGCTTGTGTCGTGCATAGTTTTGTCGTTAAGAAAACTATTTACAACATATTTTTTATATTTTGAAAAATTAAAATTATCGTGAAACGGCAAAAACGGCACTTGTCATTGAAAGTAAATGTATTTTCTCATAGAATGACATCCTTTCTTGTCATATTGACCCATATTTCATTCACAAATCCATGGAACTAGTGCCAGAATGCGGGAAACAAACCATGTGGAAGACAGGAAAGATAACTTCACCCGATGTGGGTGTACAGCCAAACCGCCTCCTTGTTAAATGTTATTAACATTCTACTCAACTGTTCGAAATAATCATGATTTTTATAAACAATTGTTTTCCAGGAGGAATAAGCATGTCATTTCCAGTGTCCTGTCAGATTTTTCCCCTAAGGCCAGAAAAGTGTAGAAAATTAAATATCATTTATGCTTTTTACATTAATCGTATATTTTGTAAGTTGTATGTCTTTTTTTTGGTTCTGTCATTTTTTGAATTATAATCTTATTCTGTTTATGTAATACCCATATTGTTCATCCTTCTCCATTTATTTGTTGAGCTATCATATAACTGTATTATACTTCTGCAGCCTGATCCTTTATCCTTCTCAAGTTATCTTTATTGTTATTATAATATTATTATTGTAGCATATATCTAAACAGTGCCCATCATAGGCCTACCTAGTAGTAGTTACTTTAGTAACGCCAACGGAAATTCTTGCTGTACTTCACAAGACTTAGTAACAGACAAAACTGTCAATGGTGATACCACTAAAGTTTATGTATTCATTTCAACATACATAAACAATCATTACATATAATCGATAAATGCGTAATTGAAGCACAGCAAGAATTTTCATTAACGGTAACATTCCATTCCTAAATTTGTAATATTGACTGCACACAGATGTGACTATCACAATGGTGTGATGTGGCAAGAAATGATTCCTTTTTCGTGAACAAAGAAGAATCACACTACAGTGAAAAATAGACGGCAAGGATTCCAAAATAGCCTTAGAACCGAGATGGATGGGGGTAAAGCCTTATTTTCATATTACTGTAAGTTGTATTGGATAAGCACTGCCACTGGCTCTCTCTCTAAGTAAGAATCAAGAATTCGTTACTAAAATAGTAAGTGCAGGAGGACCGCACTACACGGTGACACGCAAAACAAAAATCTACAAGATAAACCTGCGGACAAGACAGAAAATAGACATTGCACCAAATAAACAAATATCAAATCAAGTGAATAGATCCGGGGGCCAGCCGTAAGTAAGCGCCCACTGCGCTGCCTGTAGTGTGTACAGCTGTCCCGGGCCTGTAGATAGTGACACGTGACGTACATCTATATATTCTAAAGTCTATCCGAGTAGCCTATCTGTGTGTCATACGACAGGGTCATAATACTTACGATGTTACACTTCTCGGCAAAAATTGAAAATAAAAATCGCACTTCTCCTAAATGTTTTCAGCGGACACCATATTGTAAATAAACAATGTCGCCATGCCAACTGCGCATGTGCGTTACAAACCGGATATCGACAATAGTTTGGTCATAATTTTGGACTAAGAGCATACTGTTACATTGGAGTTGGAACGGACCATACTATAAAATTAGACTAATAATAATGGGATATCTATGGTTTGTTCAATCACTGTGAAAGCTGTCAATCGAAACTTTTAGTACGCCTGACTAGAATGTACATATGGACCAAACGTAAGGGAAATCAGGGCTCAGTAGACCACCGGTCCCAGGAAAATTTGCAGGAGGGGGATTTGCCAGGTTCCTGTTAAGGAAATTTGACAGTTAACAATGCAAGATGCCATCGTCTTCAAATTCAGTGAGCGTACATACACACTGCATGAGGCTTTTAAAGAGAGAAATCCAACAACCCGCTTAACGCAAATTTTTATTATGAATTTATAGGATCACATTGTGATTCAATTTTATTTATTTATTTTTTTATTTTTATTTTTATTTTTATTTTTTTTAGGGGGGGGGGGGGGTATACACACATAGCACGACGTTTCGACAAGTATTCTGCATCGTTTTCAAGCACAAATGATTTGTAATTGAAACCGATATGAGAATAAAAAAACTGGTCGATACGTCGTGCTATATTATTTGTGCTTCAAAACGATAAAAGAATACTTATCGAAACGCCGTGCTATCATCATTTGTGTTTGGATGGCTGAATGGTTTGCACGTGCGCGCTGTAACATAAAGTCTGTAATTGAGTCAACTGGCGGGGTTTCGATTCCCCGGTTGTACGTGACAAGGAGTAGGGTAGCCTGTCCAACCTCGGGGGTTTTCTCCGGGCCCTCCGATTTCCTCCCACTGCTAAAGACCCCTACGCGGAAGCGAATTATGGAAAATAAAATTGAACCATATGTTAGTCCCGAAATGACCTAGTTTGTGTTGAGTGAACATTAAACCCCATTTCTCTCTCTCATTATTTGTGCTTGGAACGATAAGAGAATAATTGTCGAAAAGTGGTGCTATATGTGTATAAACAAGTGATTGTTTTTTCCATGTAAACAAATCTTCCCCATTCTAAAGAAAGCAGCAGCATAGTCACAGCCGGTGAACCATACAACGTTTCTTGCAAAGCACCACACACTGAAGGTATGGAAGCCTATTGCGGCCATTTTAGAATCGGGACTTCTCGCCGCGAGAAGTCGAGTGCGAGAAGACGAGAAGTCGAGGGCAAGAACACGAGGAAATAGGGCGAGAATACGAGGATCTCGCCCCGTATGGAAGCGTATTTTGAGATAATATCGCAACACATCGAACTAAAATATGTCAACTTCATGAGTTATATTACAGAAAATCGACTTAATAAGTCGACTCGACGCATTAAATTCACCTCTAAACGACAAAAACTATGTCGATATGTTTACATCATGCCAATAGTCGATTTGACTCTAAATCAACAAGTCATATTTTAATGCAATATATAGACTTAATAATGTCGCCGTTTTCAGTTATGTACCACGTGCTTAATTTCATTGCCCGAGATTGCTTATTCATGAAAGTGCAGCCTATGATGGGGTTTAACGTCCACTCGACACAAGGCCTGTCATTGAGTCAACTGGCGTGGTTTCGAATCTCCGGTTGTACGTGACAAAGTGTAGGGTTGCCTGTCCAACGTGGTGGGTTTTCTTCGGGTCCTTCGGTTTCCTCCCACTGCTAAAGACCCCTAAAATTAAACCATATGTTAGTCCCGAAATGACCTAGTTTGTGTCGAGTGGACGTTAAACCCCATCATTGGCTGCACTTTCATGAATAAGCAATCTCGGGCAATGAGTCAACTGGCGTGGTTTCGAATCCCCGGTTGTACGTGACAAGGTGTAGGGTTGTCTGTCCAACATAGTGGGTTTTCTCCGGGTCCTCCGATTTCCTCCCACTGCTAAAGACCCCTAAAATTAAACCATATGTTAGTCCCGAAATGACCTAGTTTGTGTCGAGTGGACGTTAAACCCCATCATTGGCTGAACTTTCATGAATAAGCAATCTCGGGCAATGAAATTAAGCACGTGGTACATAACTTAAAACGGCGACATTATTAAGTCTATATATTGCATTAAAATATGACTTGTTGATTTAGAGTCAAATCGACTATTGGCATGATGTAAACATATCGACATAGTTTTTGTCGTTTAGAGGTGAATTTAATGCGTCGAGTCGACTTATTAAGTCGATTTTTTTGTAATATAACTCATGAAGTTGACTTATTTTAGTTCGATGTGTTGCGATATTATGTCAATAAGTAGTGACCCAAATACGCATCCATACCATATGCGACCAATCCTATTCTCTTTGCGACATTCGTGTAATCAGGAGATAAACACCCCCTGTTAATTATTTAGAGGACTGCATCGTTGATTGTTTACTTGATGTGACACCAAAGGATCTGGGTATCAATTACATAAACTTTCCAATTGCCGGCTCCGAATTATTAAAATTCACCAACAGAATACTTTATCGGTATGGCTGGAACTCGATAATGGTGTAATGTTACATCGTAGCATAACATTGTGATCAAATAAAACAAGTTTACCATGATAACCATCATTTTCATTCAGTTATGACAAAATTTCAAGTACCCGTTCCGCATGATTCAGTAAAATTAATGAAAATATATTGTTTTTATTGTAACCAAAGAACTTTCATTCACCCTCAAGTCATACAATGTATCCCTTCAAGCGGCAAGGTAGAATAATTAAATATTTGGAACAACAAAGTGTGCTAGGAATAAAATACGTATTATAAATTAATAATTGGTATAGTATGTTTGGGGAAAAGGTACAAAAGAAACCGTATCTGTTGTATCAAAAATTTTGATAACAATTTATCGTTTGTTCAAGAGGAAAACTGTTATACTGCTTGATACACCATATATATCAATCTAATCCAATGGATAATTCAGGGTTTCAGCGACTTTATAGTCAGTTTTTCGTTGGAATCATGATTGGTACAAATCACCATTAGTCATAAGTGGGTCCATTTTTTGATTACCGATAAAAACATGTGGAAGTTTGCTTGTCTTGTACCTCTTCGTTCGTTAACCATTCAATAATTAAAGTTGTATTTATGTGAGAGCTGCTCGGCTTATTGTCTTTATTTTAGCTTCAAATGTTATATTAATTATTTAGACATTTATTCTCGTAACAAGCCTATTATCAACTTGCGTTGTGGATCGTAAGGTCTGTCATTGAGTCAAGTTGCGTGGTTTCAATTCCCCGCTTGTACGTGAAAAGGAGCATAATATAGTCGCCTATCCAAACTCGTGGTTTCCTCCAACTGCTAAAGGCCCTGATACGCAAGCGAATTATTAGAATAAAATTGGACCATTTGTTAGTCCCGAAATGACCTAGTTTGTGTCGAGTGGACATTTCTCTCACACTATGATGAACTCTCTGGGCACTCGGGTAGCGGAGATATAAACGGATTTAATTTAACAATGGTGAATCGAGTCTAACAAATACCGTTGCTACGATAATAAACAATCTATGACACATCTTGTCAAAACTTCAAACAGCGGTAACGTGGCTCAGAACAAAGTAAAGAAAATTTTTCAATAATATATTAATTTTGCCTTATCTATTTGTGAACTATTATAGCAAGAACGGTCAGCTCTTTGTCTAAATCTTACATAATGCATCTTAAAGAAACCAGTTAAGGTTTATTTTTGTTATAGCTCCTTGGGTTTTTGTTTTATTTTTCTTAACGCAAAATGAAAAGTTTTGTACAAAACTGATTTGTACATGGGCTATAAAAGGACATTAGGACGATTTGTATTTTATTGCATACTTACTTAAGATTAGAATTGTGAACATCTTATTCGGGGATTATTATACTGAATAATAACTTTACCATTACCAATTTCATTTTCTTTTAAATGTCGGTATAATAAATTAATTCTTGCTAGTTCCATATACATGTGATAGGGCATGAAGGGACTCTGGTTAAGTAGTAGTGGTAGCTGGTAGCATAACGTCTGTTTCAACAGTTGTGATATGTCGCAAATAAAGTCCTGGTTAAGTAACTGTCGTTAGCTTATAACCAACAAGACGGATCTATGCGTGTTCCCAGTAGACGATGTTTATAGAGTTTTCTCGGGTTTTATTCTGTTAAACATGTGTTACGTGCTCAAAATCATCATTGTGTGTTTTCTGTTATCAGAAGAGATACCAGAAGGGGTAAATGTACATTCCGGAGTTAATAACTATTCCAGCGAAATACGGGTCTGAATGTTGTCCTCAATTTGATGTAATAGTGTGTGTAGGTGTGTCTGTGCCTGTGAAGGTGTGTGTGGGTGTGGGTGTGTGTGTGTGTGTGTGGGGGATGTACGGTACACTGTTAAACTCCAATTGTCATTCTTCAAAACATGTTTATCTCCCCATGACGCTACTAAAGTCACACACACTAAGAACGCTGTAATCGTTAAAATATACGCCCCGTACAGACTGTCGACTACTGATACTAATCCCTTCTTTAAGTCATCGATCGCTATAATTGATTAAAAGTTTACATAATAATACAGTCTTATTTATCTACAACGGTAATGGAACTCTTAGTTTGTTGCTCTCAGACTCGTTGCCTAGTTTCTTCCGCCTATCCTAAAGTTATATTATCTGGAAGTATAATGTTTCTAAAAGGAAAAAAAATGAAATAATAGATCAACAATGGTTATTAATTCTGTAATATATGAAATAATGGGAGTACTTTAATACAGACAGTGTACATACCGCGTAGTATAGTAGACATCTAAGACGAACAAGAGGTCAAAGGGTCTGCATGCTATTTGAAGAGTGCGTCTATCGTATATCTTAAAACTGTTTACAAGATATTCAAATCCGTTCTACTCTTCAGCTGAATTTTATTAATAGAAATTATGTCCACGGCAGTAGCTTCGTGACATAATATTACAGCTCTGATTCTCAAAGGAGTTAATCAACATGGCCAAACGTTGTCGCGGTTTTTATTTCTAGTTTTCAGGCTGCATTGTCTACTATTAAAGCCTCCCCCC